GGGACCTACAAGGTGTACGCAATGAACCTATAAATGCAGAATGAATTGTTAACTCTTAAGTGAATTGTTGACTCTAGCTTTGAAATTGCGCACACTTTTATACGATTGGTGACTTGCCTTATTAAAAGTTTACCTCAAGGCCTTTCAATTACTCTCCCCGATCAAAGTAACCTAGGATTGTGGGGAAAAGCTACAGAAATGGCTTTTACGATGTGCAGTACCGAATTAGGTAGAACCAGGCACTTACTGACAGGTTGTAAGGCGGTATTAGACGGGGGTCATTATTCACCAGGGTTCAGTGGTGTCGTTTACAATACACGCACCCTCTGATAGATGTATGATGTTCTTGTCTATTATTTTACGTAACAAATAGAAAACAGTCACATAAAAAATAATAGGTATGCCTGAGTGGCTTAGAGAGCCTTCTTCATATCTAGTAAATAATTTTATTGTTTCGTTCATTGTTTAAAAATATGTTGTGAATTATAAACCGTTTTATATTATATTAAGATAACAAATAACCTGATAACCTTTTTCTACTATGTACATATTCCTATATTGTTTTTGTAATCTTAGAAGTCGAGCTATACAACCTATATTTATTGTATTGTATATTATAATATTTATTATTGGTCTATAATATAATTTAAACTTTTCCGTTGCACGATAATACATAAACATTCATACGGAAATTAACGTGACTGATATGACGCCATTTAAGGAAACGAAAATATCAAAAATGTGCGAGAGTATGAAGAACCTTCTACCTCACGAACTCGACGATAAAGGCTTGGATCACCGAGCTGTGGCCACCGCCACTGCATCCTGGGTGAATGTCAGGCTATTCAAAGGTATCAATAAAAGCCTACAGATATCGTTAATTCCCCTTATAAAATGATTTATATAGACATGTTATTCTTTTAATTGATGAAGCTACACTGAATTATACGGACAAGAAGATACCTAGAATAATAAATAGGTATAGTGACTATAGAGTTTAAAAAACTCGTTACGAGTTAAGCTTTTTCACAAAGGAGGTTAAAAATTATTTTTAATATGTTGAACAGCATTTTTAATAGAGAAAGTTAGTTATAACTGATAGACATGTATAATTCCTAAAATAGCCGATAATATTAAATTATCATCAATGTATTAATAAATCTTTAGTCATTATATTGAACTAGCAACTCCGCACGGCTTGGAACTTGGAGGTTTAGCCTTCGAAAGCTAAATAGGAAGAAATTTTTGGTTTTGGTTTCAAAATATTTTCTATTTAAATAAAACTTCATTCCGTTTTATTATGTATTATATATATAAATCTTCCTTGAAAAATTACTTAACTGATTGTGAACACTGAATCAAAATCCGTTGCGAAGTTTAGATAGAATTAGCAGGATATACAGACAATTGCATACAGATTATTTTATTTGTTTGTGTGACTAAGTTTAGTCTTTCTAAAATAAAACAAATACAACCTAGATAGTAAAAATGTCTGGTCTTGTTAGAAAAAGTTTAGCAGAGAACATTATGGCAGTTTCCAATTGCTACTGCAATTGTCCGAAACGAGTTTTCTCTCTTTATATAGAGATTTATGTGTGTGGCCAGACTAGCAATGAGTAGATGACATAGCGAATGAATTTAGGTTTCATAGGGCATACAGGACAGTTCCTTCTTCAGATTATACAATACTATACTACTTTCGTATGCATGGTACCAATATTAACACTTTTATATATTAAAAAGACCTGTTTTGTTTTCAGAGAGTTGCCGCCTGTGACGACAGACAGCGTAGCGGCAAGGATCACACCTTGATTAAAACAGCCCCGACAAGTCTGAGGCTTGTCAAGCTACTAAATTTTCAGTTTAAATTAAAAGTCACAAAAAAGATTTGCCCGTGTAAGCACATGGAGTTAGCAGATAAGGTGTTTTCACTGCTTAAGGAATTAAGAGGATACAGTAGCACCGCCATAAGTCGCAATGCTCGAAACATGCAATTTTTCTCTTCCTCCTTTAAAATTACCATTTCCCTACTAGGAATATATCCTGTGTCGCGGGGTACGTAACAAACATTCATGAAACAGAAACAAAGAACAGACAGACTCAAAACAACAATAGGTATATGGATCACAAAAGGTGTTGTCCCATGTGGGGATTGAACCTACCACACTCAGCGCAGTAGGAAGCGGCGAGGTGACTGTTTAAACCACTACGCCATCCGTGAAGAAAAAGAACGGCAAAAGGATATACATCTAGTGGTCATATAGCGACTGATCTTTTTGGTCGTCGCATACCAAAAGGTATTAAGTACACACAGCTAGAAGTATAAAAGAAAAACCATATAATTTTTTGTTACGACACAGGAGGCAAAGGAGCAGATGTGTTACCTGATGGAAAGTGACTACCGCCGCCTATGGACACCTGCACACATGAGTCTCCACAGAATCAGGGCGAGTGGTGGAGGGAGTTTGATCTCCGTCCAGATATTTGGGACCCAAATTCAAATGGCGTAAGTGGTGGTGTCGTCCTAATTAGTACCTACATAGTAGTAGTATTGTGTCGGCTGATGTGAACGACTATGGATTGAAAATCAGAATGCTCAAACTTTTAATTCTATTGCTTAAAGCATGTAATAGATATTTAAAGTTATGTACCTATGTGCTAGACTTTTAATGATTTTTTATTGTTCATATTTTTAGTCAAATATTTATCCAATAACTTCATGAATCTTCTTTAAAAGTTTATAAACTTATAAATGTGGAAGGGTATTGTTAAAAAGCAGTTATAATTTTTTTAAGGGTGGTTTTCTTAATACTCTACAACATCTACTGGTAGGGTCTTAAATTTTAGACAATACAACATACAGGATATACTGCTACAATAATTAAAATGACTGGTTTAAGATGTATCTTGTAAAGTTTGTAAAATTTTTCGTTTTTTTTTTTTGTGGGTGCTACTAAAGTATATAGAAATACTATTGGTTATTTGTAAGGTAATTTAGTTCAGTATTGTATTTTATAATTTTATTTAACATACATTCTTTTTTTATTAAATAAATTCTGATTTGCAATCTGTCTAATAAGAAGTTAAAAAAAATGTTATGATTTTTATATTTTATTTTTGAATTTTCTTGTTGTCATCACTGAGTTACCAGGCATAAGATAAAAAATGGGTTCAATTGTAAAGTAGGTAATTTATTTCAGTATTGTATTTTACCATTGCCTTTATCATACATTAGTTTTGAATAAGATAAATTCTGATTAGTACCTAATCTATTAAAAAGTTAAAAATGTTATGATTTAAAATTTTATTTTGAAATTTTCTTATTGGCATCACTCTAGGCATAAGTTAAAAAAAATATTTGTAAAATAATTGATTTCAGTATTGTATTTTACAACTTTTTTAACATACATATATACATTACTTTTGTATTGATAAATAAATTCTGATTTGTAATTTGTTTGTTCAAAAATGTTATGATTCAATATTTTATTTTTAAATTTACTTATTGGTGTAACTGAGTTATTAGGCATAAAATATAAAATAAAATTTAACTTGGGACAATTTGATAACTGTACAATTGGACTTTCAGATGAAATCTCAGAAAATTTAAGGTTTTAGTATTTTTTCATTGCATACACTCAATTGTGTGCATTCAGTGGTGAGACTATTATTTCATATGCCATAATCCATCCAGTATTATTACCTCTGGGTATAAAAGTTTAGATTAAATTTTAGCTTTCTACTACATTTGTAAAAACAAGCAGAAGACAAGTTCTCTAATCCTGTAATTAGTTCTTCCAGTTGGACTAAAGAAGTAAACATAAGGAAAGAGATATATATTGAGTAACTTATTTTCCTTTCTAATTAGGACTTTCATACAAGGTTCTTTAGTGGTTTTGGTTTATGGTCGACAGTTTTTCAATAAGATCATTATATATTTCATGGAATGTCATGGTATATGATGAGTATACATAATGTGTGTGTATTTACAGTGTGGTGATGGATTAAGAACACGGAGAATTCACACCTATTCATCTTATGGGTGTCCTAAGAGGCGACTAAGGGAGCAAAATATGCAGGACAACAAAGAAAAGAAAAACTTGACACAAACCCTATACCAACCCATCTGGCCAGTGTGATATAGTAGGCCAAAACCTCCTTTCTAAGGAGAGGCCTATGTCCAGCTGTGGACTATTAAAGGCTGTTGATGATGTGCTGTGTGTATATGAGCCAGACTTTGCAAAAGTTGTGTCAATGTGCAGGAAACAGCAGCCCACAGTACCTTAGACTGTAAGGTAGTGGTCACGCAATGGGCAGGTATTGCCACAGGTGCAAATTACTAAAGAGGGGCTACTAGAGGCCTGTAGATGCTATAAGAGGATACCTTCTGGAAGTAATTAATCACAAATAGTCAGCATTATGAAAACATGGTTTATGAAGTGCATGTCAATCTAGACACCCATTATTACACCATTCAGGTGGTATATCAATTAGCTGATAGCATTTCAGATGTTTAATGATAGTGGCGGCAAACAAGTCTCTACCCTCTGAGGGTGGTATCTTTTGAATAAGTAATGACGGGCCTGTTGGTCTAGTGGTTAGTGACCCTGACTTCTAAATCAAAGGTCGCGGGTGCAATTCCCACTCAGGACAAATAATTGTGTGATAAGCACGGTCATTTGTTCTGTGTCTGGGTGTACTTTATCTATAATATGTATGTATTTAAAAATATATAAGAATATAAACATTCTTAGCAGTCTGGTTACCATTGTATAGGCTTTGCCTAGTTTGGGGTCAGACTGCTATGTGTGAGATATTGTATATTAATATGTGTTATTATTATTATTTAAAAAAAACATTTCAAGATACTGCAAAAACGTTCATGTATTAATGAAAAGAATATGAATACTTTTTATCATCTAGGAACTATGAATGTCTTCGTAAGATCTCGCACACCACACTATAAATGTATATTATGATACTAAGTTTAAGTTTCTTACCTTTAGCTGATATTAGAAGTTGTGAATCCACGACTTTGTTTGGCCAATACTCCTCAAACTCCGTTCCAGGTGGAAAATAACTTTTAATGTCTGTTAAACTAATCACTGAACACGTTTCACTAGCAAACAATTCATTCCTAATTCCTTGCACCTTACAACAAAACTTCAGGTACGACAAGTCCCAGCCTTTTAACTGGTCAGCTTTTAACTTTAAGTTGTCCGTTTCCCCTTCAAAATAGAACAGAGGAACAAACTTTTGACTATCCCGCACAGTATAGGGTACAACAGATTCTTTATTTATTCTAATAAAACCACACTTATCTTTACTATTAGTAGTTCCTCTTAATAATTTATTATAACAAACATCTAGGAAGTTATAGAACTCATAAGCGTCCGATAGCCTCACTACTAAGTCCTTCTGTGTAAAAGGTTCCCGACCAAACTGTCCGTCACAATGCCTGTTGTTAATCTCATTGAGTAGCCTGGCTTCAATTTCTGTGATGTAGTAACTTCTTATACAGGTACATGAGTATATATCTGCATGAAGGTAGTTCAAGTACTTGTTAAGAAGCTTGATCTCCACCATTCTAACAGCCACATATTTTTCATTGGAACGATATATGTATGGTATGTGGCATTTGCCCAACATGTCCCAACCAAAGTGACCTTTCCAACTGGCCTCATCCGGGGCCGGTGTCTTCTTGTCACCTTCAGGCATGGGACGCTGATCCGCAGCCGTAGTCCCAGGTTTTCGAGCGAGGAAGTTGATGATGCCCATTTGGCCACCGGAGCCGGGCGGCGCCACGCCGACCATGCCACCGGGTGGGGCCCGCGATGCCGCCACGGATGCCGCGAGCGCCTTAGCCTTGTTGGCTTCTACCATTTTGGCGGCTAACTCTTGGATCTCGGCCTCATCGGGCCTTTCAGTCTTTATCTTGACCATAGGTATGGTACTACTGGCAGCGGTGGTGTCCGTCATGTTTGCGATCACAGTATTCTTCTCGGACGATAAAATCACAATTTCTGATTTATCACGCGTAACATGAATGGAGAGCTACATTCTGCAGCGTCGCTTTGGTAAGTTTCAGTCAAAAATAAGTAAACAACCGGAATTCACGGTGCGCATCGTCCACACTTATCACTTCACTATTTTGACAGATCGCTGAAGCATACAATGCGCTATCAAATAATTCACAACATTCACAGTTCACACACTCTACGTCAAGTTTTCACATATAATCCGTATAGTCTTCACTGATTCACAGTCCATGTGAGGGTCAGCAGAACAGACATTAAGTTCCGCACTATTGCCGAAGTAAACTTTTGAAAATTAATTTTCGCGGCAATTTCTTTATATTGCCCATTATATTTGTAAACAGTGTAAAACTTAAAAATACTGATATAAATGCTTTTTCGTATTATTTTCCACGATGTGGTAAGTGAGGAACATGAAACCCAAATTTTGTGTTCAGGGAAATGCCCAATACCGTTGTGTAGTCTCGCGAGGAGTGCAATTCATGTACATTTTTCACCTTTTGGTGACTCAGCAGCATACAAAATGGCCGCCGACGAGGCTTTGTTGGCCAATCGGGTTACTGCTAGCGGTCATACATAACTACAAAAGTCCCGTCGATGACGTAGCGGCACTCCTCGCGAGACTTGTTCTCAAGGACTTTTCATTTTGTTCTATTTTCGAATATTTTATTTTTGGAAATTAAGCTCTATAAGATTATCGAAACATCGCATTAAGAAAAATTATTCACAGTGATTTTAAACACTGCTGCAAACCGTCTAAATCTATAAATTCAATACCTAAATTATAATTTATGAATGTACTCTACAAAGTAGTGACTGGTGGTAGTCTCGTGAGGAATGTTTTTATGTCACTTCGATGTTCTCACTCGAATCGTTATTCAAAACTCAACTCTAAGTAGAACGCATACGGTCTGTGAAATTTTCTTGAGATTTTATTTTCGACCGTACTGATTGTGCTTAGCGAGACTAGTCGACGCGCGCATTCCACGAACAATAATCCCCTGCATGAGTGAACGAGACAGCAACAGTTAAAAGTAGATGTCAAATGTTTAGGTATTTTACTATGAACGTAAAGAGAACGTAGGTAGGTAGGTATATAAAGCAATTACAAGCTTACGTAAGTATTTTAACCTACTTTGTAGCGAAAAGTAGTTAGGTGTAGTTAGTGGTTTTCGGTTATTCTACATTTTTCTTCTAAAATAGGTAGGTACCAAAACCCGTAACATTGAAATGTTAATTTGTCAAAGTTAAAAGTTATACCTACGCGACCATACTGTTTAGTGTATTTAGTCAATACTTAATAACAGTACTTACAATATAGTCAAACTCAGAAATATCTATAGGTATCGCATAGTATAATAATAATAGCAAATATGTCACAGATTGAATGAAAAGAGAGATTTGTTAGGAACTTATAAATAAGTAATTATGATTGATCATTTCAATGATTTAATTCATCATAAATATAATGTTAATAGACATAACTTATTATTCAAAAAAATTTTTCTTGATAGGTCGGGTATAAGGTATGTCCTTGCCTATTTGATGAATATGATTCTCAGGTAAAGGTTTCTTTGTTGCAGGTACAGTTTTTACAAAGCTCGGATAAACATTTCATCCTATTGTATTCGGTTTTACGCTTTTTTAATAACCGAATAACCGATACTAGTAGGTAATTAAGTGTGTTCTTCTGCTTATTGAGAAATAATATATCCCCGTTCTGAACAGATTCATACAAGAAGTTACATACATGAGCTAAAATGCTTTTCGTTTAATTGCAGGCGTTATAATTTGGAAATTCTTCGGGACTACCTACTTTTCTATTTTTAATATCTACAGAAAGTCTAATCAAATTTCGATATCGTCATTGATATGCGGAGGAACGGGCGTCATGTTCCTCCAACACAATCGGTTGATATTGGGAAATGTGTTTATGCTAATAGGCGAGAGAACTGTTCATATCACGATATAGGATTAGCAGTTACGCCGTAGTTCGGTGAGTCTCCGTTAGATGGCGCTGAAGTATATTTCTGTTTTATATATGGAAGTCGCCACATCACTCCCCTCCAAGACCCAAGGTCGATATATATTGATAAGTCGGCTGTCTATGCTCTGCTGTGGAGCGTGCCAGTGCTAGATGGGAGTAGTTTAAGTGAGTCACTGTTCACTGAGTGCCGCCAGTCCCAGTGAGTCGGGACTGAAGTCCGCTGATCCCAGTACGTGGGGATTGCATGCGGTATGCGGTGCTACGAAAAAGTCCCCAGTGAGTCGAGGCCGTTGCTGCGTAGTGGCTGGCTGCTGCGTAGACATGAGTGGAGATGCTCTTCTTACGTAGACCGCAGGTGTGCCTAGTACAGTAACCACATTGAAGCAGTCGCTACCTGCAGGTGGTATCCCAGTTGTGGTCGAGATTGCTTGCTGCCTGGGACTTGATTACTGCTCATCGTTTGAAAACTGCTTCCAATCACGTCGGAGTCACTACTGTAGAGGAACTTCTGTCATGTCAATCCAACAGAAAGGGAGGATGAGTTGATCATGCCTGGCAGGCCGCAACCTAACGGTTGATGTTAGGAAGTTGTATAAATATTAATCGGCGAGAGAATTGTTCCTATTGCGATACAGGAGTAGCAATTCTCATTCAGTAGTTACTCCGTAGTTCCGTGTGTATTCGTTAGATGGCGCTGTAGTATGTTTATGTTTCTTTGTATGTGGGAGTCGTCACAAGTCCAAACCAAACCGAGGCAGTGACATAGAAACAATTCTCTCCAAATTGTCAGAAAGGAAGAGGCGCTGTGCTAAAGTTATCATATTTGGTGTGGCTGAGTGCCAGCTTAAGACTGGAGACGATACCAGGGACAAAGAGGTAGGTAACTATATTAGTAGGTTAATCACGATAAAACTCAAGTACAGGTGCTGTCTATCATTTCACGCCGACCACTTAAGGTGGTCTTCTCTAACAAAAAATCGGCAATAAATGTTTTAAAAAATAACAAAAAGTTACCCTCTGAAAGGCAAAAAATGATCTGAAACCGTACCAACGCGATTAATTGAAAACCCTACGTGAAAATCTGAATAGTCGGATTGAGTCTGGTGAAACGGACTTAACTATCAAGTATGTAAGACTACAAAAAACCCAATTGTGTGATGTAGATGTCGATCATTACACAAGCAGGTTGTTGTAATGGTCGACATCTACATCACATAGTGAATTTGTAGATATGTATACACACACCAACTTAGATCAATTGGTGTCCAGTATAAAAAGAAAGCGGAATGATGAAGAATCCTTGTTGTATCTGATCCTTTGTAAGGAGAATAACCTGTGTAAAAAAGTAGGATACCATTCAAACATAGGAAAAAGTGCTCATCTCGTGATTTTAGCTACAATACAAATTCAACACCAACTATCTACAAAACTCAAACCTCAAACACTCCCAAAGACGCCATTTCTTCAAGACAAATTATGGAGAAATGGGTGAAACACTAATAAAAAACAACAGTATGGATTTCAATTGCCCTGATATTGATCAAGCTTGGAATAATTTCACAAGCACAACCCATGATGCTATTTATACTCATGTTCCTTTAACAACCAGACGCTCGAATCGAAACATAAATAAAGAATAGATCAATATCAATAAGGCTGTGTTAGAAATGATAGACAATAAAAAGCGATTGTGGAAAATATACTCATTTAAAGGCACTGATGAGTTATATAAAGATTACCGCAGACTATACAATAAAATAGTAACATTGGTTAATAATGGAATTCGAAAGAGGAATCGTAAATAGTGGGCCTAAAGCCTTTTATTCGTATATGTGCCAACAACTTTTTTCAACGGTGTCAGAATTCAAGGTCATTGAAGTCATTGAATGACGATGTGAAGAACTTAATAAATGACAAAAAGCCAGTGGCCAACCTGTTCGTATACTGCGGAACCATCAAACACATCCATGCCACGCACTTAAAAATCTATTGAAAATATCACAATTTCATCAAATACTGTTTGCAAAACTTTCAAAACACTCAGTCTCTAAAAAAAAGCGATACAACATCAATGGGTCCTGATTCATTGCCCTCAATTTATAACAGGAAAACTACCGTAGGAGTGGAAGGAAGCCCATATGACGCCAATATACAAAAAATGTGACAAATACCTCGCAGCCAACTACCGTCCAATCAGCCTTACAAGTATAGCTTGTAAAACTATGGAAAAATAATAGCAGTAGAAATAAGGCAACTTGTCAGTATGGAGAATTTTACTATGGAGGAACAAGATAGGTTTGTTCCTACGAGATCCACTGTCACAAATCTTCTTACTTGCCTTGATAAATGGACGTGCAACTGGAATAACAATCAACAAACTGATGCTATTTACCTGGACTATGAAAAAGCTTGGCAGCGTTGTTTAGTAGGCCAAAACCTCCTTTCTAAGGAGAGGCCTATATCCAGCAGTGGACTGTTATAGGCTGTTGATGATGATAATGATGAATAAGGGTCGATAGGGTTCCCATTTAAAGATTAACAGCAGACTGATTTCTAAACTAATACAAAAGTTCGGAGTAAGATTGGGCGACTATCAGAAGCTTACATCGGAGTGCCTCGGGGATCTGTGGTTTTTTTTTATTACAACAGGATTTTATTTGGTTTTTTCGATTTGAAAAGTTCCGACATGAATATAATTATGTAAATCTATGTTGTACGTATAGACACAATTTATGTTTATATTAAGATTATATATAGTTATATTATCAATGTATTTCAACCCAAAGTCAACTCTCGTGTAAACGGGGCCAACGTATATAGATACTTATATACAGAGGTAACGGTAACAGTGTGGCGATTGCAATGGTTTTTTCCCATCTCAAAAACTGCATTATTTTAATGCCCAACGTGCCTAAAGAAATTTTCACTTCAAAAACCTGTATAACTTACAAGGCCAACCGTGGTGGAAAAAGTTGTTTCAAGAAAAAAACATTTGAAGCTCTAATGCGCTTTTCTCTACAATCAAAGACAACTTATGTTCAATTTCAAATATTGCCTTAGTAATAAACTCTAGATATATTCTTATAATGCTTTAAAAACGTTTCCAGGTAAGTATATTTTAACTGCTCCGAAAGTAACGGTTGGACGACTCAAACAAAGGACATCTACCTGCGCGCACTAAATTCTAGGATATTCACATTTTTCACAAAAATAAGCCTTAAACTACAGAGATTAACAATCCGTTAAAAAACCGTATATCGAAGCATCGATTTTCTTCGTTTATTCTCCTCTATCACTCGTTTGTTCACAGCTCACTCCCTTTCTATACATATCCTCTTGTGGCGACTTTCCCATACGGTGAAACAAAAAACATACTAGAGCGCCATCTATCGAAGACACACCGAACTACTGCTAATCCTGTATCGCGATATTAACAATTTTTTCACCGATTAGTGAAACACAGTGATGACCCCGATGTGTTCCGAAGCAGCCTTTAAGAAGCAAATCAACAGCAGCACTAGCACCATCATAGTGGTGCAAATCCAGATCCAGATGCAGATCAAAATGCACACCAGTGGTGGTGTGGAAGCAAATCATCACTCCCACAGCGATGGGCAGTAAGCCAGCAACCTCGGCCTTAACAGGGATACCGCACGCAGGTAGCGTCCGCCCCAGCGTGGTTACCCCTACAGCCTCATCAGCGTCTAGGCGTGCTGTGGCTACGCTCCACGTAAGAAGAGCATATCTCTCCCACCGATTTTTATGGGATGATAGACCTAATGGAAAGGGACTACCGCCGCCCATTAACGCCTGCAACTCAGGAGTCACAACGCGTTGCGAGTCTTGGAAAAAGGTTAGGTCTTTCTTCGTTCGCGGTCCGGAAATACCACAGATGATAACTTGTTCCACACATTGGTAGTGCGAAAAGCGCACAGTGGTTCTGCCCATTTGGTTTATTCAAATTTGAAGAAATAATTCTGGAATAAAGATTATACTTTATTACAATTTATCAGAATGTAGGCGTATACCTACCGCATCATTTTTCCTGGGCATTAAGTCCGCCTGTGTCCAACTTGTGCATTAAGTTATATAAATAAATAATCTGTGGAACGGGTTATCGTCTGCGGTATTTCCGGACCGATACGACCTTCCTAAAAGGCCGGCAACGCGTTTGTGACTCCTGAGTTGCAGACGTTCATGGGCGGCGATGGTCACTTTCCATCAGGTGACCCGTCTGCTCGTCTGCCCCCTCTATCATTTTTTTTTTTTATTAAAGTCGTCGATATTATTTTAAAAGCTAATGATATTATTTCATCCCTATAATTTATAACTGTATATATTCTGCGTATTTTGTAAAATAAAAACATAGTATAGAATAACGTGCTTTTGCCTAGGGATTTGCTGGCTTCGGTATAAATGGGTCAGGCTCGACCGGAGTGTGTCCACAGCCTCACAGAAAACCGGTTTTCAGCCATTCTTTCGTTGTTTTTCACCGAATGAGTGAGGTTATCGGCACCCAATGTTTCTCAAACTTAAAACATCTCTATTTCATAAAATTATTTTAAAAGTTGTGTGAAATATCTCTCTCTAAAGTCATAGATCACACAATAGCAACAATCTGTTTTGTCAAATGTTTAGAAAAATAAAGTTCCATTAATGTCTGTGCCGATCTACAACCGCCCGTTTCCAAGGAGTTGAGCCTTATGAGAAGAAAGGGCAATCAAACTCACGGCCACTCTTCCTCTGATTCGGTGGTCTTATGTTGTCTCTGATTCTGGGGTTAGACCCAAATAGTTGTAACGCAATTGTGACTCTTGACTTATAGGAGTCCTTGATCAGATGGCCCGTCTGCTCCTTTGCTTTCTAAACTAATCGGAATTCGTTTATTTACTGTCGATATAAACAAAAGTTTTTAGTGTACAATAAAATTTATTTATTTTTATTATTCTGTTATACAGCAATATAATCATAACAAAAATTAGTATAAATAATTCATCCAAAAGTTGACTGTAATAGTCTAAGATCGTAATGCAAGATCCACACATTAATAAAATAGGTAGTTAGGTAATCAAAACTAAATTTATATGTATAATAATGAATGGGGGAATATGGTCTGGCTAGTCTGTCACTTAAAATTTGGCCGCTAGTATTACAAATCAAAATAATATTATTTGACTATCCGGAACTAATTTCGTTTACCTACTAGTAGTATTAAAAGAAATTATACTGTAGGTAATTCACAGATTTTTTTTATTTCTAAAGAACTTGAAAAATGATTGTTTCAGTGGACGCATCCTCTCTGCAGTCAGAAGGCCAATTCTCGTATTTTAAAACATCAGAGACCGAAATGAGATTGTATCGAAACTGAATTATGATTCGACTAAAAATATGTATTCTGCCAAGAAAGAATACATTTCAGTGAGGTAGTACTAGATTTTGATAAGCGACATTAGGTGGTAAACGATTTGTGATTTGCTTAAGAAGTGAATGTGAACGACGATTAAGTCATTCAATGTGATGTAAGATCCTAACTTATCTACGATAGAAGGAGATGCAAGTTATAGTTATAACTTGTTTTTTTGTAGTTACCGGACTGTCCTTCAGCCTCGTGTTAACGTTCCTTTTAACGAGGTTACGTGATACATTTTTTAAGTAAAACTACTTTACGCACGCTTGACTTGAGCAGTAAGCTGGTAAATGCGTGACGATAGCGTTACGAAAAGTGTGATCGGGCGAGGCAAACGGAAGTTGAGAGGGAGATATAAGTTAGTGAAGATAGAAAGAGAGAGAGTTACGTTTCGTATAATACTGTAGGGGTAAGAGAGAGAGGTGCGAGCACACATTTTGTTTCTCTCTTTCTCTCATAGCCAAAAAGTTTTACTTCAGTGTGGTCTAAAGAACACTCTTTTCTTTCTTAACTATAAAATGTTCCTTCAAAATATGATTTGACTACAGCCAATAAGACTTGCTATGATCAACAGTTCCCTATTTATAAAGGTGAAGACAGCTGCTGGGATGAACATCAGGTATCTGGCAAAGCAAAGTACTTTACACTTACTACGTATGAGAGCCTCGTAGAGACTTCAATTTGAAATATAATTGAGGTCTCTACGAGGCTCTCAGTCAGTTAAACTAACGCAGGTTTTTTTGAAGTGAAAACTTCTTTAGCGGCGTTGTAAACTTTTTTTGTAATGGGTAAAAAATGTTAAACTCGCGTCAGGACACGTGACCCTGATCGAAAATTCGTAAGACGCTCCCTCTCTTTCTACGGCGTGGCAAAAAAGGTATGCCTGCGCCTGCTGTTTCGTTTAGGCGGCGCAGGGCGCTTGCGCGAATGTTCGTTTTTCTGAGAGATAAACTTTTTAATGTAATATAAACTGTCATGTTTGTGTATGAAAGCGCAATAAATAAATATTGTATTCTACCATATAAATGATAGTACTTAAATACTGATAATTAAAGTAATTCGTGCAAAATTATTCCCTAACCATTCCAAAATATCAAATATGCACAACGTTAATATTCAAGTTTTCACTTCTGCCGGCACTCCCGGAGTGCAACCCATTTTTTAACCTTATAGATTTTGTCAAGCCAAATAGTCGTTTTCAAAAATATTTGTTTCTTTGCCTTGTGGATCTGTGTACATATGTACTTTTTTGTATCATTGAAAATATAAGAATGTGTAAAATATCACGATAATGACTTAGTACTCGTAGTAAAGTAGTGAAAAGTCCGTCTAAACAGGGATGAGGATTCCAATCAATCAAGTATTAAAAATCTCGGTATATGCAAAACCCGATAACATTCATAAGCATTTTCAAAACTGAGTTACAGCGATCCACTCTTTTATGTTCTTGTTTAAGGATATTTATGTATTATTATTTAAAAAAATAATTAAAAATTCAAAAATCAGTAAAACTTAGTTTTCAACCATAAGGGCAGGGATACGCTGCGTTCTGTTTTACGGAACATAACGACTTAACGCGTTTAGTATTTTCGGTCATGTCAGTAGTCGTTCATTTCATTCAGTCTTTGAATGTTGTGGATGGAACTAGTATATAGATTATAGTTATCTGTGGTGTGATTCACGTTTTATATCCTATAATTCTGTTGTTAATGTTTGTTGTCCAGATTTTGTTGTTGTTTTGTGACCGTACTGTAAATTCGCCAAATTTATTGAAATACGGAGAATAACATAAAGAACGATTAAAGAATTTGTTTCGGTATGTTTGTGCATTATTTAAGTTCTCGTATTATTGTTTCACTTACTGGTGCGACATAACCTCTAATCATGCTTGCCGTGGTTTGGCAAACATCCACAAGCTTGGTGGTCTTTACAAATGCTTGGATACCATTTACACGCTTGCGAGTAGTCTTGTGCTTAATCGGACATCTGCAGGTTCGCACCGTACTAGTACAATTCGTACAACGTACTAGCACACCGTAATAGTACTATTAGTACAGTTTTAGTAGAAGTAGAAAACTTAAACTTTTCTATTGATATTACCAACATTAATGAAACGGAATACTAATAATTTAATAAATTAAAATACGTAATTTTAAAAAAAGTGCAATAGTTTTTTTTAATATAGATGGCTTTGTATTAGGCAGTTACTTTTCTTCAGTATAGAAATAATTACACAGTTCTTGATTATTTTTAATGTGTTATCCCTTTCTGAATCCCATAAACCCTAACAGTTTGACTTTTAAATACGATTTTTTAGATTACTTTACACTCAATTTTTAAGCATACTATTTGATTTTCCTTCATACTTTACAACCCAACGTATTGTAGTACATCATGTATCGCTGTCCCTTTTACTCTCACACTGTTTACCAATACGGAACAATAAAGCGGAGCATTAATAGTACGTCGCACAGCGAACGAACGTAGACACTAGTAGACAGAGTAAACAATAGATAGTTTTAGTACTGGCTTGAAGTTGACACTGTGTACTAATAGTGCAAAATGTCCGATTAACAGCTGCCTTTCGGAAACATTACTTTTAGTACAACACCCAGTACTTGTACCTATCAGTACATCGTACGTGTACTACCCAAGACTACTTGCGAGTGTTCTATTGTGTTCCGGACAGGCAAACATAGCAGACGTGGACATACTTTTATTCAAAATATAAACGGCGGCACTTAACTAAAAAAAAATATTCTCTAGCCCTACTTCTCAACTAAACTGCTCAATCAGTAGAGCATTGAGACTTAATATTAATTCCCAACTGCTCTACTACAATATTTGTAATATTGAGTTGAGCAGTAGGGAACAAGCACCCGCTAAAGTGTAAATACCTCGCAAACGTTTGCCGCGACCTTCCTTTGATCTGTGTTCAAAAACCGACACCGGTACCGAGGACGAGCATACGCGAGCCGTGCCAAACACCCCCTTTACACGCTTGTGTTTGTGGAGTCTTGTCGAGGCTCACCATGCGTATGCCTATAATGTAATACAAAAATTGTGTTTAAATTGACTCTCCACATAGTGTTTTAGTTAAGGCTGCTTAGGCTTTATCTATCTAATAACTGTGAACAAGCAGTTCTTACAAATATAGGAATATATCTTGTATCATAATTATAATACATGTTAATTGTTAGATGAATTTGTATAGATTCAGTTTTGCGTTTTAGGTATATGTCGGTTTATGATTATGATGATGATTTGTCTATCACATAAACAGGTTACCGAAAATATACATGACATTTTAGAAATAATGAAAGCATCACATCACATCACATCAACAGCCTTTAATAGTCCACTGCTGGACAAAAGCCTCTCCTAAGGAAGGAGGTTTTGGCCTACTATACCATGCTGGCCAGACATATGGGGTTTGTGTCAAGTTTTTTTTCTCTATGCAGTGTTGTTGTTCTGTGTAGTTTTTTCCCTTAGTAGGCTCTTACGACACCCACGGGATAAATAGGGGTGGTGACACTCTGTATTCTTAATCAGCCACCACACGTACCATATCAAAAGCATAGCAAAGGATTAATAATAATACCCAGATAGTATAATTTTACCTTTATTTACTTATTTTACAGGAACAATGATTATCCCAGTACGTTGTTTTACATGTGGAAAAGTAATTGGCAATAAATGGGAGGCCTACCTCGGTTTATTACAAGCAGAGTACACTGAAGGGTATGTACTTGAAAATTGGTTTCATCATCGACAGCCTTCACTAGTCCACTGCTGGACATAGACCTCCACTTAGACTGTAGGTTTTGGCCCACTATACCACACTGACCAGCTCCCTATTGGCTCTTACGACACACACGGAATGAATAGGGGTACAGGGGTACATAGTGAACACAAATTGTTTTATTGTAGTTTCATATATCAACAAACTTGTTTATAATTATTATATTATTACACACAGTAGCATCTCTTATGTAACCAAAGTTACACCCATGACATATAAGCCTAAATTTGTTTTACTTCCGCTTTGGACTTATAACCCCAAGGATGGTGTGGTGGTTTAGTTGTCACCTATCCACTTTCTACTGTGCTGTGCATTCGAACCCCACATGGGACTACACTTGATCCAAGAATTGTTGTTCTTGGTCTTCTTTGCGTCCGTGACATCTCTGTCTGTAAAGTTCCCCACGACACAGACGACGGTTCGAGTCCGACATAATCATCCCACCGGTGGGTGATATCCGAGGGGATTTCCGCACAGGAAAAAAAAGTTAAAAGTAAAAGTGCCGCTTTTAACACGCTTTTAACTGTCAACGATTATTCTTACATATTATTATTTAAGTCAAGTTTCGGAGCAATGATGGCTGTCGACGATTAACTGGTTCTAATTTCCATTATTGCGATGCGTCGCGGTACGACTTCTATGGGCTTTGGCTCAATTTTGCAATGCGGTGCGCTGCGGCCTGTCACGGTTGTAGTATGCGTGAGCCTTTAAGCTTTACCTACTTGTTTCTAGTCATAAAAATACTCAAAACAAACTGACAATAGAGATGAAACAATTTAAGGCATATATACGCAGGTATACGATAACGCTATAAGTCAATATTAATAATTACTTTTTTTATTATTTTCAGTGATGCTCTAGACGCCCTGGGTTTAAAGAGATATTGCTGCAGACGCATGCTGCTAGGCCACGTGGACCTCATCGAGAAACTTTTGAATTACGCGCCTCTGGAGAAATAGATATACAAAAAATATGGAGAATATTTAGTTCATGAATTCACAGAATTGTTTGTGTATAAAGAAGAAGTAGAAAAAACTGCAATCTGTTCGAAATGGATGCACTATTGTTATGTGCCCCCTTTTTTTTTGGTATTTAACTATTCGGATGTCTAGTGTGCGCCCCCTCTTATTGACCGTAGGAGATCCCCTTTTACTGACCGTAGGAGAGCCATGCTTCGGCTGAAATGGGTCGACTCAACCGGTGTGATATCACACCGATGTGAGGCGTTACAGAAAACGGTTGTTTTTTTTCTATTGCAATTTATAAATCCTGCAGATATTCAGCAATATGTGTAATATTTTTTTATTAAAGGGCTAGCACGAAAGCCGTCCAGTGACGGCTCCGTTTATTGTTGTGCCTCTAAGAGAAGGTCTTGAGGAATTTTTTTTTAGTCTGCGTGCAACTGTTTTAAACGGTTGTTAAGTAAGTTTTCGTTGCTCTTCACCGAGTAAGTGATATAGTCAGACCCCACTCCGCCTCTACTCCTGATTCTTGTGGTACTCAAAGGTCCTCAACACGCCAAAGACAGAATGACGTCATGATTAACGTAAGATAAATGTCATATATGGCTCATAATTTCCCACTTCGAGAGGTAAAATTCTTTCATAAGGTAGATGACGTAAATATGACTTCTAATTGACATCAATACTACTTATGTGGCGTCAGAATGACATAACTCTGATGTCATAGAGAAGTAAAGTTGCTACCAGGTGCATACTTGTCATTAAGCTGACGTCAAGATGTCATAAATTTGAGGTACTGTACAAAACTGTGCTTTCTTTCGCTTTTGCCGGTAGACTCGACTCAGGCTTAGGATACTTTTTCCTTAATTTTGCAAGATGTTGACTTCCAAAATGTTTTTATTGCTCACCAGGACACTCTCAGTGACAATAAATGACACACGGAACGCTGCATGTTTTTAGATTAGATATTTATTTCCAAACATTTTCGTTTAATTATCATGAAACTACAACATCTTATTCTTTGATAATATTTTAATAAGAATATAAGTTTATTATGTTATTTTATTAAAGAGAATATTTCACTAGTTATTAAAGGTATTTATTTGGATTTGATTCTTAGCCTTCCTTCTTCTTAATCTCCATTCCATTCTAATAAAAAAGAATAAATCAATAAGTTTGTTACGATTCCAAATTAAAAAGGGTCTAAAAAAAGTAAGTAACTAACGTCACACGTATGATAGGGATAGGACATAATATAACCAACAACCATAATATCACATTTAGTGATATCACTATCACTGAATGTTGCGGCCCGATCACATTTTTGTGCAATCAGGCCGCCATCCTATCCCCACCGTAGTTAAATTGCCACCACAGGTCCCCACTCTGACGTCATATCTATCCCGGTATCCCTTCTTCTCGATTCAAGCCCGTTCAGCGGTCTCTTACTGGAGCATTACAGCTTCACAAAAAGAGACCACGTATTAGGTTTAAAGAATTTATTCCCAAAAAGACATGAGAAAACAAAATGAGATAGTGTGATATTATTATTCTAATGGTCACCGAAACAGTGTTACGTGTTTATAGTTTTAAATTTATGTTATGGTTACACGTTCAGCGATTTCACATCCAGCCAGTATCATAATAGGTTAAACTTATTATTGTGAGTAATTTTCTAATATATGAATGGATACAGGAGATTTGAAAACGCTAAACGAGCTTACATTTTTAATTTCAGACGGCAAATTTTTATACAGTTGGAGCACAACTATATAAAAATTTGCTTTGCTTGCCATAGGTAATGTTTTTCTTTGCGTAGTTAGTACGAGTTTTTGGTAATACAAATAAACTTGGACGATCAAAGACTACGCTTACTGACAAGAGATTTTTTTTTTAATGTAACAACATTAGATTGGATAGTTTTATCTAAAAAAAATCCAACTAAAATACAAGTACAATACAAATAAAGTTGTTTAATATTCATCAGTTTTGTTTTTTTTTTATGATAGAGGCAGACGAGCAGACGGGTCACCTGATAGAAAGTGACCATCGCCGCCCATGAACGTCTGCAACTCAGGAGTCACAAACGCGTTGCCGGCCTTTTAGGAAGGAGTAAGCTCTTTTCTTGAAGGTTTGAAAGTCGTATCGGTCCGGAAATACTGCAGACGATAACCCGTTCCACAGACTTGTGATTGTTTCCTCGAAAATTTTGCGTGTTGGTGTATAGTATGGATAGCCGAACAGTATTTTAATGATTATATTTTGTTTTCTTTATAATTCTTGTATTTTTTTAATTAACTACTGGGGGGGATCTGTAGGCGGCAATGGTCTATTATTTTCAAGTGAACCGTCTGCCGCCCTGTACCTATACCATAAAGAATGTACATGGGTATGTATAATTGAATTGAATTAACGTTACAGTCATTAGAGAAAGATTTATCTAGAAAATGTAAATTTCCTATTTCTTTATCGGTTAAAATACCTAACCTTTTTAAACTGCATTAAAACACCCACATTAAACTTGAAACAAATATGAGGGTGTCGATGCACCAAGAAACCAGTTCTTCAACGCTATCAATCTTTAACCTAACAACAATATAATAATGTTTTTATTTTCGAACTTTACAAACAAAACACAAAGGACAAGTAATTAATACTTTTCGATTTCTCGTATGGTAATATGGTTTAATACTTCTAAATACTAAGATTTCATAAAGAAACCACTTTTATTTAAAAAAAAGTCGTGTAATTTGCAAAGTTAGCAGGAGCGCGTTAACGCCCATCTGATTAAACTGTCACAATGGCGACGAAGCAGCGTTATCATTGTAGAAAACTTCAAAGACTCAAATTATTTATTTCAGAAGATTCTTTAGCACATCATTATTATTAAGTATAATAATGCCTCGCAGAAAACCGGTGTTCAGCAATTTTTTCGTTGCTTTTCACTGTGTGAGTAAAGGTTATCAGAGCGCCACCCCCCTCTTTCACCTGATTCTAGAGGGAGGGAAGGGGGCAAATCAAGTAGCGGTCACCACATTCTGTGACTTGAACTGCAGGGGTACATGGGCGGTGGTGCTAGTAAAAGTGTTCTTGTAATCTATTTGCAGAATTAACGATTTAATTATTAATTATGATTTGACTAAAAATGGGTATTCTGCTCGCAAAAAATACAATTTTTTTTTTGTTTATGGCAAACTGTGCCGATGTCGACAATTCTGCCAAAGTCTAGTGTGTGATGAAGGTGCGTGTGTTTGTAGAGCCGTAGAGGGTCAAAACATAACCTCTGAAGGACATCGCTGCACTAAATGTAATCATCATCATCAATCAATCATCATCAATAGCCTTTAATAGTCCACTGCTGGACATAAGCCTCTCCTTAGAAAGGAGGTTTTGGTCTACTATACCAGCTGGCCAGACGGGTTGGTATGTATAGGGTTTGTGTCAAGTTTTCCTTCTCTCTGCAGTGCTGTTGCTCTGCGTAGTTTTCTCCCTTAGTCGTCTCTTACGAAACCCACGGGATGAATAGGGGTGGTGACACTACCTGGTTCCCTGGCTATTAGTACGTGAAAACTGGAACGTTTCTTACCTGTGGCACTGTGTGCCAAATATATATAATCTGTCTTCCACCCCGGTTTGAAGTTCATTGAATTTACGTGTGCTTTTATAGTCATTAAAACCTAGTATTTAATATAATATACAGAGTTTTATTAATATATAATATTTGGTGACACTCTGTATTCTTAATCTGTCACCACACGAACTAATGATCCAATCACAATCCAAATGTGATCTGTTTGTTGTATAATCTCAGTTCAATCTCATGACGATCTATTGACTGATATAGATTTAAAATATGCAGTACTACACGAAACAGATACAGAAAAGACAAACTTAATTCGATAACTTTATAAGTTTAAAACTTATTTTGTTTATCAATATTATGTAATAGTATTTTTTGAACTTGAAAAGGAATAAAAAGTAATACATAGAGATATAAGTACATTATTAGGGCTGCTCCATTGCCCATGATTACACGAAACAACATATTAAAACACACAAGCATAGCAAATAGCAGTTTGAACACCATGATCATCATCATCAACAGCCTTTAACAGTCCACTGCTGGACATAGTTTGTACATAACAATATTTAATTTACAGAAAAATATTGGAAAGCCACTCAAAACCAGTCCTCGTCATCATCATAAATAGTAATAAATTTATTTCAATAAGTAGTTTGTATTTAGCATACATACCTAAATTTTATTGAGAAAAAGCAGTACAACAAATATAACAACGGGTTATAAAACTCCCTTTCCTAAAATAAGCAGGAAATCTGTCTGTATCTGAGGAAATAGTTGAACACTCTTATAAGTAGTAGTAGTTTTAAGAAGTATTAAACTTAATTTTTCTTGTATTACATAGGTTTTTTGTTTACTTAAACTTTTAGTTAGCACAAAGTTTTTAGGAAACTCTTTGTCAATAGTACAGCTTTGTCTTTGTCAACTGCGTGTTGAGCACTCCACAAATACAACCAACGTTTATATCTACTCATATTGACCGAATTAAACTTCCAAACATTTAGGACGACAAATGTATAGAAAATCTTCTTCAAAGAAATTCAATATCTTATAATTATCAGTAAGTATATGAGAATACCGATTCACACTGTTTTCAACTTTCGTTGACAACTCGATATTACAGTCAACTTTGGATGTCGAAAATTTGAATACGAGAATACGATTTTTGACATTGATGATATCGAGAGTAGATCGGGACCAAATTGAGACCGAACTTTTATTACGAGAATTGGCCTTCAGGTGTGAATTACCTATTCACATATTTTGTAAAATGTTTACCTTCATGACGTTTAATTATTTTTTATATTCCAAATTAAAGCAATACCTTTGCCGAAGTAGTAGAGAATCAAATCTTCTAAAACTTTTATCCCGAACATTTTTTTTTACTCTACCGTGTTTGAGATAAAGGTGAAGAGCTAGCCGCGCTTGACTATTCACCGTGTGATGTAAAGTCAATTGTAAGTCACGGCATACAATACGCCGCATAAAGTTAATAAATCATTAAAATATAAATAGGTATAATTACACACACATGTTATGAATTAAATTCTTAAAATATTGTGTAATTTCAGAAAGACGCTAATCTACTAAAACAATCATACAATGCTTAACGAATAACGTCAGGTTAGGCATTTAGTGTAATTATAAACGAAATATAGCATTAATATTTATAAAATAGCGTACAATTCTAAATAAGCATAAAATATGAAAACCATTCTATGTACAACTTACAACTGGCGAAGCATCGTGCTTCAGACAGAATATAACACACTTTGTTAACAGATATGCTTATCATAAAAGGTAACATTAATAAGCTAGTTGGCTGTGACTTACAGCAGCAACCTAACTAGGTATTAAGGTTGATCCATTATTTTTGGGACATGCTGTATAACTTTGAACGCCACTCGAATGACAGTCAGCAACTAAACGTAACTTAAAATTTTAGAAGATTTTTTTATTGTTATTTAATATTCTTTTTATCTTTTATGTAAATGAGTTATAATAAAATATATATAAATAAAATAACATAGGATACCACATATTGGGTTATACAAAAGTAGCAAAACGCTTCCAACGTCAGTAACACTAACAAATGGCAGGAGGTTTGGCGTCTGTTGTAGAATTAGACATTCTATCAATATTTTTCTAACTAAAATCCAATTTTAAATAATCATTTACGGCTTATAATGTGAATGGCACAAAGTAAAAATAAAAATTGTGCAATAATGGCCTTTTATTTTTATACAGACTCTCAATTTAGAGGACTGCAGATAGTTTATTTTGTTTAGAAGTTCTAATATTTTATAACTCTATCTTGTGCCGCGAATCCGTGAATTTCAATTTGTGATTATTTTACTATTGAAAATTCTAAAGTTTTTACGATGGATGACGTGAAAGTATGTCGTATATGTTTGGTAATGGATGTCAAAATGCAGCACTTGCAGTCATATCCCTTAAATACATATTTAGAGCCCCTGTTATCGGGAAGCAATGTAAGCACATATTATTTTATTTAAGTTATTTTTAAATTAAGTTTTTCTGCTTTGTTATCTGTGCCTACGCACTCTGTTAACAATATATTTTTTTCTCTAATGGAACTTAAATATTTAGATATTACATTTGACAAAGTAGTTTAAAGTTGTACTTATTCTAAATATATTTTTTACAGTTAATGACAATTAGTAACTCTCCACCCTATGCCTGTTATGAATGTGCTGAGTTAATAAAAAAGTTTTACTTTTTTAAACAAAAGTTTCTCAGAAGTCAAGCTGTACTCTATGGATTAATAGATGTCACTGGAAAGGTAAATTTTCATTTAATTATACTAAAATTAATTGTGAAAGTTTTGGATGCATAGATGTTTTGTACTCAATCTAGAAAAGTATTTAAATGAGATATGTTACCGAGATACAATATAGCTTGAAATAAGACATTGTTTACATTTTAGAGATTGAAGCCACAGCAAAAGCTTTTAAGTTATAACTATGACTACTAACTTTGACATGCTCATCACACAATATTAGTCTTGGTTGGGAATCAAACCTCTGACGTCTGGCTTAGCATTCACAATTTCTAACCACTAGAATGTAGTCTAGTCAAGAGTTGATATATTCGTGTGATGAGGGATACCGACCCGTCTGGCCAGTGTGTTAGAGGCCAAAACCTCCTTTCTGAGGAGAAGCCTATGTCCAGCAGTGGACTATTAAAGGCTGTTGATGAAGAGTTAATAAGTAATATTATTTACGATATATTGGGTATGGGGTCCAAACAAATAGTACACTTCCACTGCTTTCCTGGTACACAGTTCCTTCCCTTTACACAAAAATATGTTATAGGCTAAAATCTCACTTTAAATTAATTAGAAACAAATATTAATACAAAATCTTTTATTGCCAGGTGATGTCTTTGGAGCTAAAACAAATAGACCGTCAAGGTCTACTGTTATCTTCAAATCTCTCAAAAGTTTCTGTTACCATAGAGAACATTACTTACTCTGATGCTCATGTTAAAGAAGAAACTGAGAATGAAGATGAGAGATCCAATATATACAAAGCAGGAAGCATTAATGGAGATGAATGTGAACTTTTGTGTCCTGAAAGAAGTTTATCTAGCGATGATGATGAACCACTCTCTGTACAAAAGAAGAAGAAGATTGAAGAGAGCAAGGAGTGTAAGAAAGCAGAAACTGCTATAGAGGGAGAATTAGAAGAGCCTCTTTGTAAAAATGAAGAATTAGAAGTTAGTATGTGTAGTGAATTTATGTATTGTAAAGGTGCTGATAGACTATTTACTTGAAATGAGCATTCTGGCGAATGTAATCTCTCAAAAATTAAACAAGAGCTTTTAGCAAGCATCCTAGTGAACATTCTTTTCTTTTTCTTTAATAAAGACAACTCCCGCATTAGGAATATATCCTGTGTCACGGGGGACTTTACAAACATACATGAAACGGACACAAAGAACACCTAGACTCAGAACAACAATTTGTGGATCACACAAAGTGTTGTAGTAGGAAGCGGCTTGGCGACCGCTTAAACCGCTACGCCATCCGTGCAGTCAATTCATTCTAGTCAAACAATAGTAAATTTGTACATCTGTCACTGTATTTACTGAATCGTTCACCAGAAGGTTAGCTCTATGCTTTTTTATAAAAGACAGCGCAATGTACTGGGTGATCGCTTTTTTGTAACCACCTAAACATGGTCGGATTGCGGTCTTGCACCTTCTAATGACTTTTATTTAATTATCTCGTAAATTATTATATGTACTACGCTGAAATTTTACAGGTAGACAACTGAACTAAACAACTAATTATTGGCATAACATTCAGTTTATATATCCACACACAGGCTTATCGGTGGCCAAAAAAGACCGCACACATTTTGATCGTGAACGTGGAGAGCTACATTTCATCGTAACTTTTTAGTCACTTACAGTATCCTTACGAAAATTCGTATACATTTGAAGGTAGTTACAAGCAATAGAATAACGTTTGAAGAAAGTCTTTAGAGGTCTTATTTAAAGTGTTAGGACGTATTGAAGTGTTTTCATACTTACCTAAATAATTTTTAAACGGTCCATTATTTTTGTTATTTTATTGTTGAACAAATTAAAACTAATCCTTAAGAAGTTATGTACAAAAGATGGTTACAATACGCTTACCCGTTTCAGAGATCCAGCAAACCCACAAACGTTACTCCAGCAGGATTTCGAATAACTTCGCAGCCGAAGAAAATACAAATACCAAATAAGTTGTAACATTTACCTAGTCCAGATAACTAATTATTTAGCTAAAATTTATTTCCATATTACAATTAAAAAAGAAAATGTCTGGCTGCAGTAATGTTTCAAACGTTACCCCAGCAGGAAATGTTTTTTTGAAATAACTAAAAAAGTTTAAGTGAAACAAATTTAAAAATATGCCTAACAATTACAGAAGGGGAGCAACTAATTATCTATAAAGTTTAAATGACCATTTTCGACATTATTTTGCTGGGGTAACGCACACCACCGCAATGCTCCTATTGGCTACAACCCAATAGGAGCATTAATGAAAATCTTTGAAAATTATTATTACATGAAGTATCATGTAATAATAATTTATATATAGTATACACTTATAGTAATAAGTATGATACGAATATCCTTGAAATACCTAATCCAAACTACAGAATATTTTATTACATAAAATCCTTATTAAAAAAAGTTGAACTGACTTCAAATAATAAGCAGCAATCGTGGTTGATTTGCTGTCATTTTTTGAATTGTTCCATTGTGTGTCTCAGAAACTCATCATCAGATATATATGAAATTTAAATGAGACCATTTCGGAATAAACCTCTATATATAACGGAGTTATGCCCGAATATTCATAAAAAATATATAAAGTCCTCCTTTTTGAAGTCGGTTAAAAACCAATGTCGTTTAGAAAGTTACAGCGCTTTCGAACGCCTCTATTAATACAATGTCTTTTTTATACCTCCTTTCAGGCTACAGATGATGTGACAGACGCGTGCAGTCCAGTAGTAATCGTAAGAAAACGAGGCCGGCCTAAAAAACATGAAGCTTCTAAAAAAAGAATCAAGCGGACTATTAAATCCCCATATAATGATATTGGCCTTGACTTAGGAGTGGACATCACTGTTATTAATTTATCGGTAAGTAGATAAAGGCACTCTGAATTACGAGATATTTTATAAACTTAACTTCTAAACTGTTTAATGTTGTATGTACTAATCTATACTAATATTATAAAGCTGAAGAGTTTGTTTGTTTGTTTGTTTGAACGCGCTAATCTCAGGAACTACTGGTCCAATTTGAAAAATTCTTTCAGTGTTAGATAGCCCATTTATCGAGGAAGGCTATAGGCTATATATCATCACGCTAAGACCAATAGGAGCGGAGCACCAATGAAGAATGTTTCAAAAACGGAGAAAATTTATTACTATTGAGACACGCAGACGAAGTTGCGCGGGTCAGCTAGTTCAGAATAAAGGGTTTATTATTATTAGTATTATAAGTAGATAAAACGTTGAAGAATGAGATAGACTAGAGACAGGACATTGTAGATTATGGATCAATAACACTCCAAGTTATAATGGCATCTGGATACAGAATGGTTGGTCACAACCATCCAAATTGACAAAAATTCTACATTTGGATGACATTATGAGATATATGTTTTAGCTTTAGTATCACTTAAATATTGAGTAATTCATCATCATCATCAACAGCCTTAAATAGTCCACTGCTGGACATAGGCAGCTCCTTAGGTTTCGGCCTACTATACCACGCTGGCCAGACGGGTTGGTATTAGCATTACAAAATTGTCTCAAGAATTTGCAGTTTGTAGACAAACAGATGTTAACGGGCAATGACTGCTCGGTCGGAATCATCTACTTTATTACATTGAATTATAAAATACTTTTCTAAATAACGTTTGGGATAGATTTTTTTTTTTTTGTAGATTTAATGTGTAGCTGTAACAGCAATACTTATAAAAAGTCCCCGAACATTATATAGAGGGACTAAAGTTGTAGTCGTCATGAGGTAATCTATAAAACGCCTCTGCCCACCCCTTCCTAGAATGGGTATGATTGTATGTATCTTTTCCAATAAAATTTTAGGTTGAAGAACAACTAGAAGAGATAAACAAAAGGAAAGAGACGTCAAACTACCTGAATTCTCCGTACCAGTGCAATTTGTGTTACAAAGGCTTCATCGACACCCAGGCCTGGAAGCACCACGTCAGTAAACATTCCTTGGTAAGAGAAACACCAGAATCTGGGGGCCCAGCAGTGCTCCCGCCAAGTCTTAATAGAATGACCGACTGTTAATGTTTTTGAATAAAAGACTCTGTTATGTTGGCCTAGTGGTCAGTCTGACTGCTGAGCCAGAGGCTGTTGGTGCGATCCCCACCCAGAAGAAATGATTGTGTGATGAACGCGATATTCAGTGTAGTTTTTCTATAATATAGATAGGTATATTTAATAAATAAGTTTGTCTTTAGCAGTCTGGTTGCCATAGTACAACAGAATCTAACGACAAATCTTCAGCCAAATCCATAAAGTCGTTCAGGCTACAGAGCATGCCAAAGAAATATACGTACATACAGTCGAATACCTTCTGGCGCAGTCGGGTAAAAATGCCACTTACGTTTTTGAACATCTTATTTTTATTTCTATTTTGGTTTTGGTAATGTACAAATGGTATTATGATTTAATGTTCCACAGAGTGCGGGGGATGTAGAATGTCCAATATGCAAGTTCAGGTTCAAAACTAAACGCGCCCTGCAGAAACATTCGTCTATTCACGAGAAGAAATACGCTTGTAAATCCTGTCCCTACATATCATCCAATACGTAAGTAAATAGAGTTTTTTAAACGTACAATACATACCTAATATGTGTGATTGTTAGGGTAGGTCCGAAATAACATATTCTGAAATAAATATACACTTTTATTATTCATCATTTTCTTGCCCAATCATGACTAGCTGTAGTATATTTTACTTCTACATTTATTACCTCTGCTACATTTTGAAACCGGTTTATTAATTTAACAAACCAGGCAACCAACATAATTTGACCCTTCCTGGCTTTCAATAGGACCCAGGCAAAGCAACACCAAGGCTGGCACAAAGGAGTGACATACAAATGCAAGTTTTGCGCGGATATATTCACGTAAGTACATTCTTAACTTTTTTATGTTCTGTAGACTCATTATAACTACATCAAGATTCTACCAGCATTTTTTTTACGCATTCGTTTCATTTTGTGATGCACAATTTTCACTACAGGTCCTTTTTATACGTTGAAATCGGAACTGTTGGGTCCGTTTTTTCCACTTTCCATATTTATTTTCACTTGTGACGTTCTTGTTTACACTTGCTGTTGACGATGCTGTTTTTACTCGTCAACATTAATCTTGAACTCGTTGCGCTTCTTTTTCAGACTTGGCTTCCTTTTTATAAGCTTTTCGAGCTACTTTTATATACTTGTGGCGTGCCGCTTTAAACACTACTGCTGCTTCTCTAAACGCTCGTAACTGTTTTTTTGATGTTAAACATCTAATGCGGAAGGTCAAATTGACTGTTTGCGTGGCGACGTGTCTATAAAATAGTATATGTAATGCGGTGTGGCAACGAGTCGCCATGCGCAAGTGACTGTGACTCTCTCACGTTGATTAATTATTTTAAACTCATTATTTGTACAAAAGAATATTTTTGTTTCATATATTATATGCCGTGCCGTATATATTATTGTCCGTGTGGTGACGGATTAAGAATACGGAATGTCATCACCCCTATTCGTCCCGTGGGTGTCGTAAGAGGCGACTAAGGGAACAAACTACGCAGGACAACAGCATTGCAAAGAGAAGGAAACCTTGAAACAAACCCTATACCAACCCGTCTGGCCAGCGTGGTATAGTAGGCCAAACCCTCCTTTCTAAGGAGAGGCTTATGTCCAGCAGTGGACTAGTAATGGCTGTTGATGATATTATATGCCATACGTCTCATGACGACTCATTTCTTCTTGTCTTTCTTTTGTTGTCTTTCTTGTGTTCCTTTTTTACACTTATGCCATTCCTTTTCCACTCGTGGCACTCTTTTAACACTTATGGCGTTCATTTTAACACACGTGGTTCTCTTTTCTATAGACATGGTGGTCCTCCTTAAACTTTTGAATCACTCTTTTTTACACCTAATAGCCGTATTACAACACAGTCGTATTAGAATTATTTATAGTTTATCTATCTTTAGTGTGTGGACGTCATACATGAGCCACGTGCGAATAAAACACCCGTCGGAGTTCATCTGCGGCATTTGTGGTTACTCGTACATCAGCAAGTTGGGGCTCGCTATGCACAAGACCATGATGCACAAAGACATTATGGTTAGTATTCTATTATTGTATTTTTTGTGTTTTAAAACTCTGATATATTTTAGATTCTACAGTACAGTTCTGCAATATAAATATACTAAAGAAAATACTGTGTCAAAGTAGATAATCGAGGCGATGTGATTGTTTCTGACTTTGACGAACTTGCAACCGTTCCTCCTTTATTTTACCCCTTCAGGGGTTAAATATCCAAAAACTCCTTTCTTGGTGGGTGCTTACAACATACAAAGCATCTGCTGTCCGGTTACTACGGCTACTGGTACCCGAGACGACGTGCGGTTTTTAGTCGGTTCGAGTCCGACATAGCCACCGGTAGGTGGTATCCGAGGGGATTCCACAGAAAAAAAAGAGGTACATTGCCAAAAGATCCTTTCTTAGTGGGTTCTTACAACATACAAAGCATCTGCTGCCAAAATTTTAGATTTGTAGCCCCATCGGTTTAGGCTCTGCGTTCATGAATCTGTCATTCGGGGCAAGTAATTTTATATGTATAGATAAAAGATTTTTTGTGTGAATTACGGGCAGGGAGAACTTTGTCTAAGTGTGTAACGTTCAGTCCGATGGTGTCAGACGTCATACTTGTCACACGTCTTTCACACCTCCGGATGGCGTAGTGGTTTAAACGGTCACCTCGCCGCTTCCTACTGCGCTGAGTGTTGTGGGTTCGATCCCTACATGGGGCAACACTTTGTGTGATCCATAAATTGTTCTGAGTCTGGGTGTTCTTTGTGTCCGTTTCATGTATGTTTGTAAATTCCCCCGCCAAACAGGATTTATACAAAGGATAAATGATTAGGATAATGATTAAATGATTTAGGATTTATTTATTCCTAGTGCGGGAGTTGTCTTCAAAAAAACAAAATAAAGTTTATGAATACGGCACTCACTTGTTTTTATTCTAAAATTTATTTACGGAACTGTCAAGATGACTGTCAAATTAGTATCATTTTATTAAACGTCACAACGATAGACGTGGATGAAATATTATGTCGTGACATCATATGTATTTACCTAGTTATTGTAAAATTATTTATTTTTAATATTGATTTAAAGATATCAAACAATAAAAACATTACATTAAAAATGGAAGATAATTTAGGCTGTACTTTAAGATGTTACTTAATTATTCAGGCAAAATAATTTATTTAAACCAATTAAGGGTTTTTGTGTATAAAAATAAACCAGGACTTTTCTGTCGTTGTCAGACTAGTGTTTTCGTTTTTTAAATGACATACTCAAACTAATTGTAATGTTAAGGAGAAAGGTGAAACTGTAGAAGAAGAAGGCCCCTACTGCGAAGAATGTGACGTGAAGTTCGTGTCGGTGGAAGCGTTCAAACGACACATGGTTATGTCTACTAAACACACGAGGAGTACAAAAACTATGTGAGTGTTACCCTCTCATCTTACTGGATTGGACTGTGATTACCTATAATTATGTTAACGGGAATTAACTGCTTATGGGCACAGTCAGAAGTCAGAAGGTTTGTACTTAATACTGTCGTTAATTCACATCAACATAATATTACTAGCCGTCGCGACTGCACGGATGGCGTAGCAGTTTAAGCAGTTGCCACGACGCTGAGTGTTGTGGGTTCGATCCCCACATGGGACGACAATTGTCGTTCTGAGTCTGGGTGTTCTTTGTGTCCGTTTCATGTATGTTTGTAAAGTCCCCCGCGACACAGGATATATTCCTAATGCGGGAGTTGTCTTTAAAAAAAAAATGGACGATGTGAATATAATTTATAGCCTATAGCACTCAGGGATAACGCAGCTACATATTATTGAAAGAATTTCCAGAGTAGGTTCAGTAGTTTCAAAGATTACTACCAACATACAAACAAATTTTACCTCTTTATAATATTAGTATAAATGGAACGCTATAGTTTAAAAATCTCAGTACTTCCTACTTTGTAGGATCTCTTTTGAGCTCCTAAAGACCATAACTTTACTGTAGGAAGTAGATAGAGGTGGCCAAAGCTGAGTGCAGTTTGATCAAAATCTGACAGTAGTGTAAAAAAAATGTGTCCACTTTTAGGTTATACTTTATTGTTGTCAATTCCTTGTACTTGTAGTTTCTGGTTATATGAAATAAAACTTTTTCCTAGTTTTAAGAGGTATTTTATACCAATTAATTTTAACTGTTGGCAACTTATCCTATTATTTGTGCCATCCACAGATGATTATTGTGAGTCTAAGTGCTTTTTGTGTGCATTATTTTATTTGTTTTAAATAATTTGTCATTAGTGTGGCAAACAAGATATCATGAATATCTGTACATAGGTATTTTACTGACAATTAGGCTGTGTGGTGACGGATTAAGAATACGGAGTGTCACCACCCCTAATCATACCGTGGGTGTCGTAAGAGCCGACTAAGGGAGAAAACTACGCAGGAGAACAGCACTGCAAACAGAAGGAAAACTTGACACAAACCCTATACCAACCCGTCTGACCAGCGTGGTGTAGTAGGTCAAAATTTCGTTTCTAAGGAGAGGCCTATGTCTAGCAGTGAACTATTAATGGCTGTTGATGTGATGTGCGACTAGTTTTGGGCTCCTAGTTTTCTTTTCCTCCTAGTTTAGTCTTAACTTACTACTTCTTTATCTAAACATTATTTCTTTCCTTCACTGTTTATTAACATGATTTAGGTATTTATAAACCAAATTTTGTACATAGTAATGGTTGTCGTACATGCGGTGAGACGTTCAAGAACGCAGAAGACTTGAGGGTCCACCACCGTAAGGAACACGCAAGGAAAAGACCCAAGAATTATGGGAAGAAACCGCCTAATATGAGCTACCCTGCTAAGTGTGAACACGTATGTATATCTTGTTCCATAATTATATTCTTTAACCGACTTCACAATTCAGGAGATCCAATTTGGAAATTAATATTTTCTATTTGGGATATTTCTCGTTTGGTCCCATTTAAGATTGAAACTCATTTTAATTTGAAGAAAAACTGAGCCTCTGAGCGATAAGGCCGCCATTTGTACCTCTTTAACCTAGTTTCAGTTAATTATTGGCTATACATAGTAGGCCAAAACCTCCTTTCTAAGGAGAGGCCTATGTCCAGCAGTGGACTATTAAAGGCTGTTGATGTGATGTGATGACATATACCTGGTGTATGATTAAGCGATATATTATTATTAAGAAAATAGCACCCCTAAGGATGCAAAATTAAGGGATTAATTGTACAGTATATTGCAATATATAATGCCTTACGAAGCTGGTTTTTTTTTCTTGTTGGCATCTGTTCTGATTTAGTGAATTGCCATCGCTTTGCTATAGGCAACGATTGAAGGGTTTATTTATTTATCACTTGGTATACCAACACCATATATACACTACACTCCTATACAATATTTCCACAAAATATAACACCTGGTGTGCATGCCTATTACAAAAACACACAACATTCACCACCGTAGGCGACCGGATGGTTTAGTGGTTTGTGTAACGGATTGCTTTTCTAAAGGTCGCGGGTTCGATTCCCGCTCAAGTCAAACATTTGTGTGCATGAACATTTAACGTTTGAATTGGTCTGGGTGTTTCTATATATAATAAGTACGTATTTACAACAAAAAAGTATAAATGTATTTATATCAGTTGTCTAGTACCCATAGTACAAGCTCTGCTTAGTTTGGGACTAGATGACGTTGTGTGAATGTTAAAAAAAACAAATCAAAGAAAACCTGACATTACAGGAGAGAGAGTTGGAGATACATTCTCAATAGATTGTATTCTTAAAAAAAGATTTTATTCCCCAGTGTTCAGAAGAAATTCCCAATGGTCGCGAGCATTGGTTCCACTACCGACGCATGCACCCCGATAAGAAGTATCCCATACAGAAAAACTACGTTTGCGACATATGCGGCAAGAGTTTTAGAGTAAGTTAAAGAAAAATAGTGTTACTGATGATTATACTTACCACATGAATAGCTATAAAACATTCGCGTTAAGAAAATAGTGACGAGTCAATCAAGCCCAAACAACCCTGATCATCAATTTCTTAGACACCGATGTAGTTTATGAAAAAGGCTCGCAGAATAATATTCTATTTATTTTCTCTCTTTCTGTTTCTCTTCCCCCCTTATTTTCTCTCCGTCCCCCCTCTCGATTTTAATTTTTCCCCGCTTTCTCTAGCTCTCGCGCTTTTTTTCTTTCTTTCTTCTCTCATCTTTATATATATAATTCTTCTGTGAGTGTGTATGTCACTGAACTTCTCTCAAACGACTGGACCGATTTTGATGAAATTTTTTGTGTGTGTTCAAGGGGATCTGGGAATGGTTTAGATTCACAATTTTGTCCGCTGGACAATGTTTTTTAATTAATTTTTTTAATTTATTAGTAGTTGTTGATTTTGGAATGTTTTACATTGGATCAGACAGACGGCGCTACCATCGCAGTGTCAAATTTGACAGGACAACGTCTGTCGGGTCCGCTAGTTTTTATATAAAATGGAAGATCTTAAAGTAACAGATTTATTAAAACAAAAAAATACCATATTGCCATTACTGTATTTCTGCTAAAATGTAAAATTTCATGAAGATCAGATGAATGGTATGCATAAAACTGAAGAAACATATAAATCGATTTTTATTTTATGAATTTATTTTGTAGGCCAATGCATTCCTAGTATATCACAAGCGTACCCACGCAGAAGAGCGAGCGTTTAAATGCAACCAGTGCGACAAGGCGTTCTTCAACCGAACCAACCTGCAAGTGCACCAGAAGACCCACAGCGAGACCAGGCCGTATCCCTGCTCCGTGTGTTTTAAGGCCTTCAAGTGTAAAGGGGCGCTTAACCGACATTTTAGGGTGAGTACGTCATCAACTAATCTTCAGGTAAAGAAACTATCATTTATAAAAAGTGTCTAGTTCTACCAAATAATTTGTATGTTCAAATCGGTGTGGTGACAGATTAAAAATACAGAGTATTATCTCCCATATTCATCTCATGGTAAGAGCCGACTAAGGGAGCAAACTACCACTATAGGATAACAGCACTGCAAAGAGAAGGAAACCTCAAAACAAACCCTATACCAAACCGTCTGGCTAACGTCGCATAATAGGCCAAAAATTCCTTTTTAAAGAGAGGCTTGTGTCCAGGCCCCTCTTTCCCATGGGCACTCTGAGAACGTGCCCAGGGCCCCTCGATGGATAGGGGCCCGATTCCCGCCAGATTACAAATCGAAAATCAATATGTATCACCGAAAAACAAAAATCCATTTGTAATGACCGACTACAATACTTTTTTTGTCTATTCTAACAAAATAGTGTTCAGCTAAGTTTGTAGGGGCCCCATTCTGCTAATTTGCACAGGGCCTCCAACAGATTAGACACGGGCCTGCTCGTGTCCAGTAATGCTGTCGATGTTTAAATGTATTTTCCGTACCTGGCAGAGCCACACGGGCAACAAGCCGTACGAGTGCGAGGTGTGTGGCAAGGCGTTCACGCAGTCCAACAGCCGCAAGGTGCACGTGTACACCGTGCACCTCAAGCAGCCCGCGCCCTACGTCAGCCGCAAGCGCAACAAGCTCGCCGACAAGGAGCCGCAGTCGCACACGCAGTTCCTCTACTAAACGTGATCATCGTAAAACCCGGTTTTATTTGACGTTGCTACTCTAGGTTTCAAATTCCTAGGAACAGAGGAGAAGATAGAAAAGAGGTTATGTTATATATGCGTATTCTGTGTCCCTCTATATTCGGGGGGAGTGGCACTCACGGGACGGTAGTTACTTACTATCAGGTGACATCAGCCCGTTCGCTCCATCTATACCAATATTAAAAACGCAAAAGTGTGTTTGTCTGTATGTTATCGCTTCACGCTTAAACCGCTGAATCGATTTAAATAAAAATTTGGTTTAGAGATAGTTTGAGTCCCCGAAAAGGGATCGGGTAAGTTTGTATGGGGAATCAATAACCGCCGAACCCATTTCGATGAAATTTGATATGAAGATAGTTTGATTCTTGAGAAAGGGGCGGACGGAGCTGAAGGTATAAATTAGTATACTATTAAATATGAAGAGTCTTGTATAATGAGGAGTTATTATGAACTCAAAAATAAGATGTATAATTTAATTTAATCAACCCACAATGAGGCAGGTTACCTTATCCTACTAGTAAGTATCTCTAGCGTTCATGAGCGTTGGTAACCGCTTACCAACAAGTATGTTTGTTTACCTAATTTATTATAATATGTACATAAATTTACTTACGTATTTATATAAATGTAGGCTAAATGTCAAGTTCCAAAAAGGTTATTTCACTTTCCCTTTCAAAAAGACAATAGGCCTTGAATAGGGCACTTTAGGCATTAAAGATTAAGAAATATAAAGTATATTGTAAATCACACTAATATTATAAAGCGAAAGTTTGTGTGTTTGTTACTTTTTTACACTCAAACGGCTGGACCAATTTTGATAAAATTTGGTATAGAGGTAGCTGACACTCTAGATTAACACATGCTACATAACTACTTTTTATCCCGAAAAAATGCAGTGTTCCCTTGGGATGAGCAAGGAATTTTGCGGCATGTATGGCTTAAGCGGTCACCTCGCCGCTTCCTAATGCGCTGAGTGTTGTGGGTTCGATTCCTAGATGGCACAACACTGTGATTCCCAAATTGTTGTTCTGAGACTGGGTGTTCTTTGTGTCCGTGTATGTTTGTGACGACCCCGCGACACAGAGTTTATTCTTAGTTTAGTGTTTGATAAACCGCAGGACCCTGTTAATAGAAAATAAAAGGTAAGTAAGAAAGGGAAACAGTGGAGAGATAGGGATATTATTTGTACAAATGGATGTGATGAGGAGTTTAGAATGAAATAACAGTAGCTCTAGCAAGTCAGGTTAACCAGGCTTGAGTAACTGGCTGTTGCCGGCAAGTTCAAACTGTTGTAAATATGTGCTAAAGAGACATCACATTGTTTGCACAAGTGATGTGTATTTGTGCTCTAGTACATTAGTAGTATCATCATCATCAGCCACTGCACGGGTGGCGTAGTGGCTCAAGCGGTCGCCACGCCGCTTACTACTACGCCGAGTGTTGTGGGTTCGATCCCCACATGGGACGACACTTTGTGTGAGTGTGAATTGTTGTTCTTAGTCTGGGTGTTCTTTGTGTCCGTTTCATGTATGTTTGATAAGTCAAGACACAGGATTTATTCCACGTGCGGGAGTTGGCTTTTTTCAAAGAAAAGAAAAAATAAAACGCCTATCGCAGTCCACTACTGGGCATAGGCATCTCCTATTGCACGCCACTTCGATTGATTAACAATAATTAGTTGTATAATATTATTTATTTAAGTAATTTCAAAGAAAGAAAGTGGCTCACAGCGGATGCATGCTGACTGCCCAAGACCGGCACAGTTGGCGCTTCTTGAGGGAGACCTTGGTTCAGCTATGAACGGCGATAAGCTGATCAAGTATTTTCAACTTTTGTCATAATAAAAATGGATCGCAAATCGCAAGCGATATTAGCAATGTTACTAAGAATCCCATAAGAACTACAAAATGAGACGTGCAGCTTTTGCCTAAGTTAATTTTACAGATATAAGTAGATTATTATTTTTTTATTTATACGACTATACACTTATAAAACACGAAAATTAACTCCCTAAAAATTCAAGCAAATATGCATACTACTAGGCTTGTTTGCACGGCACATATGGGCCGTCTCAACCGTATTGAAACCACTGCCTCACGATAAACCAGTGTTAAACAATTCTTTTGTTGAATTTAAAAGAGAGAATGAGACACCTTCCTGCCTCTGAGCGGAGCACCGAAAGGACGGTAAGTGTTACCGTCCTTTCAGTTGCAACGGACTGTAAGGTGTCCAAGAACGATAGTTGTCACTTTCCATCAGGTGACCTAGCTGTTCGTTTGCTCCCAATAATATGAAGTTTAAAAGAGTCCTATTACAGAAAAATAAAATGCAAAAACTTTAATATATTTTAACACAAATATCGTGCTGGACGCAACTTTTACTAGGAGAGGAACTAAGACAGGCCCGATATGAATGATTGTATTATTAATCAATTTTAAATTAAATATTAAAAAATGACTGAAAAATCATGGCATATATCACATTAGAGTGCAATTGGAGACAATCAATTTATATCTAGTGTTTACAAGTATGTAGTATTATTACTTGAAATGTAGTAGGGTAGGCTGAGACTGTTTATGAGTTTAATGAAAATGTATTCATAAAATGTGCTTTATAGATAATAAATATTTCGTAAAAAAAGAAATAGTTTTCTTTTAAATGTTATATAATTTCTTAACTAAACTGTCACCCTACTGGCGATAGAGACTGACCATGCCGTCTCCGCACTTTAGGCATGAAGCTACAAGTACTTACCTGCCTACGTCGATACTTACTTTACTCACCAATATATGTGTTTGTACCGTAATATATAAACAAAGAAAGCATATTCAATCGTATTCAACAATTGACTGCACGGATGGCGTAGTGGTTTAAGCGGTCGCCACGCCGCTCCCTACTACGCCGAGTGTTGTGGGTTCAAATCCCGCATGGGACGATACTTTGTGTGATCCACAAATTGTTGTTCTGAGTCTGGGTGTTCTTTGTGTCCGTTTCATATATGTTTGTAAAGTCCCCCGCGACACAGGATATATTCCTAATGAGGGAGTTGTCTTTTTTAAAACAAGATAATTATAAAAAAGATCTGGAAATTACGTTTTTCGGACTTCCATAGAACAATGAAGGCTAAAGCAATGCAAACCTGACGTTAGAAGTGATAATGGCTAGTAGCATGGGCATGGCATGTTGGAAAGAGGGGAACATATAGGTGATTTTATGTATATATATACACAATAGATGCTTAGCGCTGTGCGACCTGCATTTCATAAATTTTATTGAGTGCATCTTTTCACAGTACTGTCACGAATTATTAGAAAATTGGAGAAAGAAAGAGAAAATTCCTTTAACCTCGAAATTCCAGAAATAATTCTAATAATAATTCATGGTTACACGGAACAATGAGTTCTATACCAACACGCATGCAATCGAAAATAGATTGTCGTGCGATTATCTTGTTTACATTTGAAAAGAATTTGTATTTCTCAGAAAAGAAGTTCTTCTAGGGATTACTCGGGATTAGAAAAAAGCTGTAAAGAGCTTTCTAGTCGTCTGGCGAGTTTAATAAATAAAATAGCGATCTAAGTGAACTGAACCTCCTTTCTAAGGTGATGCCTATGTCCAGCAGTGGACTGTTAAAGTCTGTTGATGATGATGAAGTGTAACCCAGCGACCTCCGGGTTCTATCATTCCGGATTCAATATTGTTTGATCGTTCTTAAGTGTGTTAGTAATAAAGTCTCTGTAGTTGTCAAAATGTATATTATTTCAAATGAGTGAACCCTAACACGTAACATTACTATATATTGTGTTTGGAGCAAGGGGCAAGGAAGACTTCTTATTTTATAAGAAAATGTCCCTCAGACATAACTGCATATTTAAATGGTGCTACTGCAGCTAAAAAGTTAAGCCAACAAAACTTCTTTGACGCGCTCACGGGCCTGTTGATCTAGTGGTTAGTAACCCTTAATGCTAAGCCGGAGTTCGTGGGTTCGATACCCACCCAGGACAAATTATTGTGTGATGAACTAATGAACACGATAATTTGTTCTGTGTCTGGGTGTAATTTAGCTATGATACGAGTATGTATGTACTTAGAAATATATAAGTATGTTTATCAGCAGTCTGGTTACCATAGCACTGTCGTGCCAATCCAAAAGACTAACTCAACTTACAGTGTTTTGCATTAACAGCGCTATTAAAAAATTGTGAATTAAGAAAAGAAAGTACTCGGCTATGTACTAGACATATACAACTAACTAATACATATGTAAAAAATATGTAAAAATAAAAAAAAAGCAATTGATTATCAAAAATGTAAGTTGTCAAAAACCTCAAAAATCGTTTCCAAAAGTGACAGTGTATTGGATTGGCACGGAAGAGTACAGGCTCTGCCTAGTTTGGAATCAGACGGTCGTGTGTAAGATGTGTGAAGTTATCATTATTATTAATAATAACGTATGAATAGTTTTCTTAATAAACATTAAATATTTAAAGGGTAGAGGGCGGGTATGCTGTTATGCACAATAGAACGCAAATAATATAGTATCATGAGCATAAAACATGAGTGTGTTATCGTTGTTTTCCTATTATTAGTTAATTCTGACGTGATAATTACCTGAGATAGTGTGAGAGGCATGTGTATGTGTATGTTTGTATTATTAAGCCCTACCATTTCTTGTTTCTGTTGGTAAAAAAGAAATTGGGTGATTGTCATAGTTGTCACTCATTGGTTTTGTACGAGGGGTGATCAATAAGTAATGATAATCAATATGAAACAGAACTATTAGATTAAAAAAAGTATTTTATTTTTCAACATAGTCTCCTTGCAAGTTAATACATTTAGTGTATCTTTTTTCTAAGCCCATGATTCCCTTAGAAAAAAATTCTTTGTCTTGTCCCTCCCAAAATGCCTCTACTGCGGCCATCACTTCACTATTGTCCTCAAATTTGTTGCCCCGGAGGTGTTCTTTGAGCCGAGGAAAGAGCTAGAAGTCACTGGGAGCTAGATCTGGCGAATAGGGAGGGTGTTCGAGCAGTTCGAACCCCGTTTCTTCAATGGCAGCCATCGCAACTGCGGCTTTGTGAGCCGGGGCGTTATCTTGGTGAAACAGCACTCCAGCGCGCAGTTTACCGCGTCTTTTTGACTTAATAGCTTCTCGCAATCTTCTTATTTGGCCTGCGTAGTAAGAGCCTGTTATAGTGGCCCCCTTTTCCAAATATTCCACCATAATAATTCCTTCTGCATCCCAGAAAACAGACGCCATAACCTTTCCCGCTGAACTTGACACTTTGAATTTCTTCGGCGTTGGTGAGGAAGCTCGTTTCCAAGTCATTGATTGTTGTTTGGTTTCGGGATCAAAGTGGTGGATCCAGGTCTCGTCCATGGTCACAAAACGCGACAAAAAAAAATCTTTATCGGCCTGGAACTTTTGAAGATTCACCCTCGAAATGTCGACTCGTTTCTTTTTTTGCTCGTCGGTTAACATTCTCGGTACCCAACGCGCAGAGACCTTTTTCATATGCATTTTGTTGACAATGATTTTTTGAACGCTGCCATAGGAGATCCCTGTGACCTCAGCTACATGCCTTACGGTCACCCTTCGATCGGCCAACACGATATCTTCCACTTTTTTGACGTTTTCTCCAGTAAGGGACGTGGAAGGGCGTCCCTCGCGATGTTCATCTTCAGTGGAGGTTCTGCCCAGCTTAAATTCCTTTGCCCAGCGTGCGACTGTGGAATATGGAGGAGCAGACTCCCCCAATGTTTCCTCTAAGTCGCTGTGTATGTCTTTGGTAGACATTTTTTTCAGGCAGAGGTACTTGATGACAGCTCTTATTTCATTTTTCTCCATTTGGATGTTTTCTCTTCGACAGTTCGTATTCAAATGAATGTATCTCTCTCGAGTCTTCACACCGTCCCGTAGGGGACGCGTGGTGGCTGGATCGGGGCTGTGGCCCCCTGCCAGCGGTGTCTTCCGCTGCTCCTAAATAGGAGTAGGTCGTGGGGGTGCTTTGGCAGTGTGGTGTCATGTTCAGGTAAGGCGGGGTTGCTTCGGTCTTCACGCCGCCTCGGCGGTCAAGCCCGAGCCAGGTGAGACCCCAGGCGGTACCTGGGGAGGCCCAGCTCCGAGCGACCAGCGACGGAGGCGGCGACTTACTTGCAACCCTCTGGTGTCTCGTCCGGGGTATGTGGGGCAGTCCGCACCGCTATGCGGTCTGCGGAGTGCGCTGTTCGTTATTTGTTGCGGCGGTCACCGGCGCCCACACACAGTGCGCCTACTTAGGCCAAGTAGGCACAGGTGCTCGCGAGCCGCGGGGTGGCCGCAGCAACAGGAATGTCGAAGTGTTGGCGGAGCAGGGCGCCTACGCCCCCCAGGCCATCAGGGCAGCTACGCCCTTGGTGGCGATGCGAGCGACGGCGTCTCTGCTCTGCTCCTGGCTCATGGCGGCCAACAACTCTTGGAGCAGCTCCAGTGTGAAAAGGATAACAGCTTTTGTGCTGCTATCCTCTTCTGCCCTTTGGGCGTTTGCTGGTCCGTAGGTGCTTGCGCAGGCGGTCGGCTTGGTCCTCTCTGTCTCCCTTTTTCGGGGGGGGGACGATGGCTTCGGTAGTAGCTGGGTTGGTGGCGGGCTGACCGGCGGACGGTCTCTCCGCGACGCTGTCAACCTGGGTGTCTGCAGCGGGGTTTGCGGTCCTCCTCTTGCCGCTCCTCTTCTTACGCCTTCTCTTGGAAGAGGTGGATGCTCGGGGAGGTGCGGGGTTCGCTGCCGCCATAAGCGACGCCCCTTGCGCATTCTCCCCGGTGGGCTGTGGGTTCACCGGTGTCGGCCTTTGGCGCGACTCCCCGGTGACGGCGACCGTTCCCGCCTTCCTGTTACGCTGTTCGCGTTGGAAGACGGGGCAGTGGGTGTTGTTGGCCGGGTGCTCTCCTCCGCAGTTGGCGCACGTAGCGGGCTCCTGCAGAGGCCTGGGGCAGTTCGCAGCGGGGTGCTCACCGCCGCACCGCACACACGCCTGTCTGCGGTGGCAGTGGTGGCTGGAGTGCCTGAACTGCTGGCAGCGGTGGCATTGCGCGGGCCTCTTTTTCCCGCGCCAGGCTTCTATTTTCACACCGGGGATTCCTAACATCTCGTCGATGTCGTATATCCCCGGTGTCAGGTTTGGTGTCCTCTTTAGGATGGCGAGGAGAATGCACCCGGGACGGTCGCCGCGACCCCGTATGTTACGCACATACTCGGGGTCGAAGCCCAGGTCTCGGAGCTCCTGCTCCACCTCTTCCGGCGTCGCGTTGCTCGGCAGGCCACGGATGGCCACCTTCAAGCTGCGCTCCTCCGGGAGGGAGTAGGAGAACCAGGAGATACCCTCGTTCTTCTCCAGCGCCGTGAGGTAGCGCTGGACGAGCCGGTACTCCTGGTCGTCTTTGGGCGAGAAGCGTATCCCCTTGCCGAAGGGGCGGGCGTTTGCGGCCCTGCCTAGGATACGCTTCAGCTCTCGCATATGAGTGGCCCAATTGGGTAGGTATTCTACAACTAGCGGCGGATAGCGACGCTTAGGCGCCTGGGTTGTGGTGGCAGCGGTCATTTCGGTGTCTACGGTGGGGGCAGCGGCGGGCGGCGGGGACCTCGCGGCCTGCGCGTAGGTGTCGACCTGTCGCTCTGCTTCCTGTTGCTGCCTTCTTACCACCCGCGGGTCACGCTGTGAATACAGCGGGGACCTCTCGCGGGTGGTGAGGCAGGGGCGCTTTCTTTCGTCGCACTGCTCCTCTTCGGGGCTGTGCTGACGACGAGTGGGGGTAGGTGGCGGTGGGGCGTCCGTGTCCATTGCCTGCGAGGAGGCGGACAGCGGAGGCGTTCGTGTTGGCAGTCGTTGGCGGGCTAGCCACTCCTGAATCTCACGTCTCGTTTCGGCCTTCATTTGGTGACGCGGGGAGGCTCCGCGGCGTTCGGTTGGGGTGCGCGGCGTCGAGTCCTCGCTCGAGGTCGCCGGTGCCGGCGACCTAGTAGCGCGACTCGCGGCGCGCGGTTGCGCAGTGGCCCTTTGTCGGGGGCGACGCGCGAGCGCTTCCGGTTGGGGCATGGGTGCGCGGTGCTCACCCTCATGCTCAACGCTGGCGAGCGCAGGTGCAGCTCGAGCCTGCGGAGCGCGAGGGGAGCCCGCGTCACCCTCCTTGGGGTTATTGGCACGTCTCCTGGGCATAGCTGGCGCTAGAAAGCGCGCGGCCTGCCCTAGGAGGTCTGTGGTTGTCGCTCGGCCGGAGCCGGGCGGCGCAGGGGTCACACGGGGTTGCAAACAAACACAACAGATTCACTGCTGAAAACCAAATTGGGCTGTGGTCGACCCACAATTATATCAGCACTGTTGTGCTTGTTTGCCACTGCATCGGTGGGCGGACGTCTCCTGCGAACACTCGGCTAAGGCCGGGAGGCAAAGAAAAACGGTTCCGTGCAGGCAGCAACAGCTTCGGGCAACTTCGTCAGGCTTCGTGAGTCTTCGGGAGCTGCGGAGAGGTGTTGCTTCGTCGACGTCCGAGCGAATCCGAATGTATCTCCCGGTAATGGTGTCCTATTTATACATTTTTTTGAAGCTGAAGTAGTGGATATATAAGCAAGCAGAAAAAAAATAATTTGGGTTTTTGTGCGTTCTAGAAATACTCGATTATCATTACTTATTGATCACCCCTCGTATTATCTATATCTATGGTTGTCACTGTCAAATAAATATTTACATTTCTTACATTATTGCTTTATTGACGAGAATTTACCATGATACGAGGTAATAAGTAGTGGAATACATTTTAATAAATTATGAAATAAAGGTACTTTGACTTTGATAGTGTTGTGATAGATTGATTAGTGTTTTGAGTCCGTAATCATGGCTCAAGCATCTTCACTTGACGCAGCTCATCCACGATTTATGAATCCTCCGTTCCCTAATACAGGCGGTACAGTATTTACATTAGTTTAAGACTCTCTAGCTCGTAATATGGTTCTACCTAATTGTGCTTAACCACTAAGTTCAGTTAATTTCTAGTATTATATTTAACAAGTAACATATTTTCAGAAGTATTCAAATATGAAGTTAAAACTAATTTATCTTTTTTATCTGCCTAACCTTTCACTTCTACTGATAATATGGTAGGTATTATATTTATTCCATACGGCGTAGCAGTATTCAAAGTTTTGTTTGCTTCAATTTGAATTTCTTTGATGTTCTCTCTTCTTTATTGATTTATTTATGTTCTAAATGGTGTATTTGTTGGTAAAATAAGACAGTTCTGATTTCTGATAGTTAAAACCAAGTCGACAGTACCAGGTACAAGTGTAAATGTGTTCAATCTCCTGTTTCTTTTCAGTCTTTCATGTGGCAAGTGTGATTTGAAAGTTGTAAAAAAACAAAGGAGAAAATTATGTTTAATAGTATGTTTGAGATAAATGTTGTTTTCTGTTGCTCTTGGATGGAATCCCATTGTTGTAAATCCATCCCATGATTGAAGAGTTCACTAAGACATGGCCTTGACACTTTGACGGGCCTGTTGGTCTAGTGGTTAGTGACCCTGACTGCTAAGCCGGAGGTCGTGGGTTCGATTCCCACCCAGGACAAATATTGTGTGATGAGCACGGTCATTTGTTCTGTGTCTGGGTGTAATTTATCTATAATATGTATGTATTTAAAAATATATAAGTATGTTTATCAGTAGTACATATATAGTACAGGCTCTGCCTAGTTTGGGATCAGACGGCCGTGTGTGAGATGTGTGAGATATATTATTATGATATATTAATTACCTGGCCTCGCTTTTTTGTTTATGTTTTAATTTTTACTACATTTTGTCAATCAAAATGAAATAAAAGCAATGTTGTATTGTTTAACCACATTCAAGAGGCTGAAATCTACTGTGTTGCTACAGCAATAACCTTTTAATTGACAAGCCTGTTGGCCTAGTCTCACCACTAAGTTAGAGGTTGTGGGTTAGATTCCCACATAGGACAAAAAATTGTGGGATGATTGTTTGTTCTGTGTCTGCTTGTATCTACACAAATAAATAAAATGGAAGTGTCAGTTTGTAATGTCAAAATAATAGGTTTTTTTCAAGCTCACACATTTATTTGCACAAAACCTTTGCCTAAAAACCTTTTTTTGTTTGACTGTCTGTTTGTTCCCGGTAATATTTTAAACGGTTGAACCGATTTTGATAATATTTTACTACCAGGTAGCTGACTATATATGGAGTACCTTAGGCAATTTTTTATCTCAGATAACCCCTTTAAAATTTGGCCTGGTCCAAGAATGGAAGCCACTAAGGCAGCGTTTAACAAATTCAAGCTTAATCAATGCAGAACTTTTTGTTTTTTTAGGCTTATGCAAACCACCTTGACATTTATATATATATATATATATATGAATGTATTTAAAAATATATAAGTATGTTTATCAGCAGTCTGGTTAACATAGTACAGGCTTCCCTTGTGTGAGATGTCTGAGGTTATTATTATTAATTATAATATTTTCAGCTCTGAAAGTAGCCTTAGTTCAAATGTCAGTGGGGTTTGATAAAAAGAAGAACATACAAGTTGCTGTAAATGCAATTTATGAGGCCAAGAAAAATGGCGCACAGCTTGTAGCACTGCCAGAATGTTTCAATTCTCCATATGGAACAAGTAAGGTGTCTAAACTAAGTGCATTTAATATATTTATGACTATTAAGAAGAAATATTTCATCTGTACTTTTTTACAGAGTCAAATAGTTTGTATTGTTGCATACTCTTATGAGCGGTATATAATAAATAAAAGTTGTCGGTTAATTACTTTATTGCACTGTATTTACAAACACTCACTATAATAAACTAGAAATCACTATATATCTCGTTAGTCGCACTAGAAATTCACTCTTGATGTTAATTCGCTGTGTCGTAAAACAATACTGTGTCGAACGGCCAACACGTTTTTATAGCGCTATTTACCAGAAAGATCCCTAGTATTCGATAGTCCGTTCCAGACAAACAAGAATATTCCAGAATCAGTCACGCGTCACTTTCAGCGCCATCTAGCGCTGTAAGGATCAGAACTATTAACCACAATCTTAATACATATACTTTACTCGATACTAGATGGCGCTGTCCTCGACATTCCATACAATTCTTGGAATAATCGAACCATTTAATCCTATGTCGCAACAATACAATTGAATCTAAAATTACTGAACAAATTTTAATTATTGTTACTGCATGATTCGTATTAAAATTAGATGTCATTGCAAAATTGTTTCATTAAAAAAGAAATGCATTTATTCTGTAGTGAACAATTTTCAGAACAACCTTGGTAACAAATGACTTATATTGCAGAATATTTTGATGAATATTCGGAAAGAGTGCCAGCAGGAGAGACATGTGCAGCTCTGTCCAAGGCAGCCGCTGATACCGGAATGTGTGTAGTAGGGGGTACTATGCCTGAGAAGTGTGATAGTCGGCTGTATAACACTTGCACAGTATGGGATCCTAAAGGGACCATGATTGCAAGTCATAGAAAGGTTAAATATTTCCTATTGTTTACAGTAGTTAAATCTTGTTTGGACATAAATATACCACTATCTAGACCCAAACTAGGCGGAACTTGTACTAAACGGGTTTTAAAACACAGACAAACAAACATACTTTTTTTTGTAAAAACATGTTTATTATTGACTAGCCTGTAATCTAGTAGTTAATGATCTTGAATGCTAAGCCGGAGGTCGTGGGTTCGATTCCCACCCAGGTCAACAAATTGTGTGATACACGATTGTTTGTTCTGTGTCTAGGTGTAATTTATCTATAATATGTCATATTTCAGCAGTCTGGTAACCATAGTGTCTGGTTCGGAATCAGACGGGAATATGTATTTATTACGTTATTTCATCATCAACCTATCGCAGTCCACTGCTGGACATAGGCCTCTCCCTTTGTTACGTTATTTACTAACACGTTATATCGCTGAGAGTTTTAAGAATGAATAACGCTCGTTAATTTGAAGCACAACTCTCTGTAACGCGTATATTTCCAGGCACATTTATTTGACATCGACATTCCAGGGAAGATAACATTCAGAGAGTCGGAATCGCTATCAGCCGGGAACAAGATCACCACATTTAGTTACTGCGGCGTTAAAATTGGTATTGGTATCTGTTATGATATAAGGTTCGTCGAGATGGCTACGCTTATGGCTAAAGAAGGTGAGAAATCAAATTTACAAGAAATTATTTTATATACATCATCAATAGAGTTCTCTGGCAGTGGTTTTTTTTTTTATTTCTACGGTATAGACTACAGCCATCCATAGACACCTACAATTAAAACAAAAGTGTCACCATCTTTACCGTAGCCAAAAAGAAATTGTATTCGTCGTCCCTTAATTTTCCACTCTTAACCGTGTTTTTTTTTTCAAATTTAAATGAAGGCCTTTAGTAAAGCAATTTAACTAAAAATATAAAAAAAAAACATATAAACTCGAATTGCGAACGTTTTCCTTTTTAAAGCAGATTAAAAATTAAGTACAACTGACAAATTTAGTTGACACGCTTGCTTTCCAATCTTTTTTTAGGGTGTTCCTTCTTAATCTACCCTGCGGCGTTTAACATGACGACGGGCCCCAAGCATTGGGAACTGCTTGGTCGGGCAAGGGCTAATGACTTGCAACTATATGTGGCGTTAGTGAGCCCCGCGCGTGACCCTAAAGCGGACTATGTGGCATGGGGCCATACTATGCTTATTGATCCCTGGGCGAAGGTCGAAGCTAGTCTGGATGAGAAACCTGGTCTGCTTTACGGTACCATTGGTAAGTATATACAGGTAACATTGTCATTTCCGTCAAAATTTTTTTAGGCATTAGGCATTGTTTATTATTTTTGCAAAAAAATGGTAGGTCAAATTTTCGACAATATTTCATCTCGAAAAAAATATTTAGCAGCGTGGTCACTAACTCAAACGTACAAAATAGTTTTGAAAATAGTTTTGACCAAACAATTAAATAATTAATTACCTATTGATTATTTAATTGTTTGATCCGCGATTTGAGTCGGTCCATCCTTCTTCTTCTGTGTTAATTTGGACGGAGAAGTGGAAGTCTAAAGTTCTTAGTTAAGTTACTTTATATTACAGATACAAAGGTCGTCCAGGATGTGCGAAGCCAAATACCCATTAGGATGCAAAGGCGGACGGATATGTACGAAACAGTGAACAAAACTAAGTCGTAAAGCAATCGCATGTTTTATACCTGTATAACCTCACTGGGGCTTGCTAAAACCACACGGTGTTCACTCGCATGTGAGTTGCAAATGACTGGTATATTAAAAAGAAAGTCCCCGAGAACACTGGCAGACCATACGCAGAACACGCTACACTGCGGATATTGAGTTTAAGCGTATCATTTCAAAAGAATTAATAACTTGGAACGATATCCACCATTAGCCCTGACAGTTAAAACAACTTCATGTGCCTAATAAAAAAAAAATACATTTAGTTTTGAAAAAAATTGTCTAAGATTGCCAGATGCGTAGTTTTCACTATGGATAGTTGATATTTATTCCCTTCTTTTCTTTTCTTGTGAACAAAGAATTATTGTTAAAATTGTTATAGGATAAAAAGGTAATTTAAATGATAGTTATAATACTAAATTTAAATAATTTTAAGGAACACATATTTGCGTGACCCGTTTTTATTGAATAAGTAAATAAATATATTTATGTTAAAGAAAACCGTGTTTTAATATTAAAGTTCTTTCTACCCTTATTAGTAATATCTACGTAATAATTAAAGTGTGTATAAAGTTATTTTTCTCGCAATATTTTCTACCAATCTGATCCTGACTAGGTGGTGTAGGGTCTCATGCTTAAACAAAATAACTATAAAAGTCATGTTGAGCGCAATTATTTGGTACTAGCTTTTATTGCCGTAAAAAGTAGCCTATATCCTTCCTCAAGAATTAAACGGTCTCCATTCAAAATTTTATCTAAATGGGTTCAGCAGTTGTTGATTTCCTATACAAACTTCCACCCCTCATTTCACCCCCCCTTAAAGGACGATTTCTGAGATAAAAATTATCCTATGTCTTTTCCCGAGACTCAAACTATCTCTACACGAAATTTCATATAAATCGGTTCTGCGGTTGTTCTATTTATTACTTAAAATTTGACATTATTTTAATTATTTGTTAAATGCAATAGGAGTGTCTGTAATGATATTCTGAATAAGGATAAGAAACGATAGAAATTATAATATCTAAGGTTTGTAGTTGTACGTTTTTTTTTTTGATAACATCGTAAGTAGGTGTAACGATATTAGAATATTTAATAACCTCTGCTTAGAATATCTTCAATACAACGTTTTATCTCTATAGGCGAAAGCCTCTCTCACTAACAACATCTGTTTTGGTGAGAAAATTTGTGGGCATACAGATGACAGCTTCTTTCGCTTTATAATATAAAGAAATACAATTTGACAGGAAGTATTTTTAATATTACATAATGTTGTATAAACCTAGTAACCACAACTTTGGTGGTACCATCAGATTTTTGTCCTAAATGTTTAGTTTATAAATTGTAAATTTATTTAAATTCTGTTTTTTTATCGGTAGAACATTTATTTACCTTGTCATGTTTCACATACGAGGTGTAACATATAGACAGATAATACATATAAGAATATTACAATAATAGACTTAGTTAAACACACGTGCAAGTATACGCAGTTACATCTTCGAAATTAAAGTTTAGATGTCCTATTCGATAAGTAGCTTTTATTTAAATACGTTTCGAATATTTTTAAAACTTGGTTGCTGCAACCCCAAAATAGTGTAAATCCACTGCCACCTGCAAAAAGGCAGGAATTTAGAACGTTTGAACTCACAAACAATATACTGTTAGTTAATTTTATTCTCCTCTTAAGAAATCTCTCTAAATAACCTCTAATAATCTTAAGAAAACGGTGCTTTTTAAATTGGTAATGTGTACTGCTTCATTGTCATAATATGGCAGAAATCTATTGGAAATTAAAATCACAGTACTTTGTACTAATTACTTAGGTACTTATGTACTCGTTTTGTTTGCGTTCGTCACTTCTGTTGGCCGGCTCTGCCAGTGATATCACGGCCTCACAGAAAAAAACTGTTAAGCAGTTCTTTCGTTGTTGCTTTTCGTGAGAGGTCACCAGGACAACCCCTCCGCCCCCTCTAATCCTAGGAGAGGACTCTAAGGGCGGCAGCGCATTTGTGACTCTAGCGTTGCAAGTGTTCATGGGCGGCGGTAGTTACTTACCGTCAGGTGACCACCCTTGCTTGTTTTCCCCTACACCATAAATAAATTGGGAAAGGGGTAGAAAAATGATGATGCTTAGTTGTGGTACTGCAGTTGCGTGAACACGAGCCTTTCGCATTTACAAGTGTTATGTATCTGTTAATAGTTATTCAGAACTCATTTTACCATGTCCATAATTATGGATGCACAGTTTGCCGTCGACCAGCTCCGGTTCCACTCTGATAGCTTCACGTACAGGTCGGAGTCCCACCCACTGGCTAACTATCTTCGAATGCTGAAATATAATTGGTACAGGTATTTTCTAGGTAGTTACTACTAATCATAATTGGTACAGGTAGTTTCTACTAATCGTAATTGGTACAGGTAATGTCTACTAATCAGAATTGGTACAGGGTATTTTCTACTAATCACAATTGGTACAGGGTATTTTCTACTAATCATAATTGGTACAGGTTTTTGTATAATAAACATAATTGGTACAGGTTTTTGTATAATAACCATAATTGGTACAGGGTATTTTCTACTAATCATAATTGGTACAGGTTTTTGCATCTTCTTCTTTGGCCTCGCCTTAGACCTTTATGAAATACTAGCTGACCCGCGCAACTTCGTCTGCATCTCTCAATAGTAATAAATTGTCTCCGTTTTTGAAACATTCTTCATTGGTGCTCCGCTCCTATTGGTCTTAGCGTGATGATATATAGCCTATAGCCTTCCTCGATAAATGGGCTATCTAACACTGAAAGAATTTTTCAAATCGGACCAGTAGTTCCTGAGATTAGCGCGTTCAAACAAACAAACAAACAAACAAACTCTTCAGCTTTATAATATTAGTATAGATACTCACGCCTATAAGAGGCAGTAACGTTCACGGTTTGACTGCAATTTGAATCCCTCTCACGTAGGTAATAGAGGGCAAGCCTATTACCATCTTCTTTAAGAATTAGACGAGAAAATTGAGTTCAATATGGTATGAGGTATGAGGAAACGGTGGGGAGGCACTGGTAGGAAAGGGGTATTGCTTTTACGGAAGAATTAGTGAGTGTAAGGGTCAGCGCAGACCGTGGGGAGCGCAGCGGAGAGGATTTTTTCAAGACACTCGATACATTTGGCCCGACGCCGCGCAAGCATTTTTTGTCATGTTCTAACCTGTATGCGCTCTATATTAAAGTTTATTTTCGAGAGTCTTAAAAAATCCTCGCTCCTCTCTGTAACTCGAACTGGCTGTTGTCGGGAAGTCTGAACGGTTTAACCTCTTTCTGAAATGCCTCGTTCATAAAACAAAACTAACCTCTAAACTGGGTATACGTTTACAGCACCCGTCTAAAATAAACTCGGTGTCTTTTGGTTCCAACTTGGTATCGCTGCTATCTTGATGAGTACCGCCGAGAACACAGGCTTCGACACTAAAAACATTGTGAAATAAACATTGTTAGCTGGTAGCTCGAAGTTATTTCAGCGTTAGAAAACTACATAAATATTAATTGCAGACTGCAGGGATGGCGTAGTGGTTGAAGCGGTCAACGCGCCGCTTTTTACTGCGCTGAGTGTTGTGGGTTCGATCTCCACATGGGGCACCAATTTGATCATCAAATTGTTGTTTTGAGTATGGGTCTTCTTTGTGTCCGTTTCATGTATGTGTGTGCGAGAGTTGTCTTTTTCAAATCAATAAATTAAGAAGTAACGTGTTTTTAGTCAATTTAAAAATGGAAAAGGTAGGTTCTCTTTGTGTAAGTCATTAAAGAACGGATTTGAAAAATCCTTTTATATTCAAGAGGGTTTTAGTTTGAAGAAAACATACCACTCCTGAGGGTAGCATATTAAGAATGAAAAAACGGTTAAGTACAATTCATAACTACTACTACTAACTGAAAGTAAAGTATACCTACCCTCCTAAATAAAAAATAACCCAAATGCGTTCATAAAGTACAAGTTCTGAGGTAAAAAATACTTATGAATTGAGAATCTCCTCCTTTTTAGAATTGGTTAAAAAACTTTTTAGCGTTAGTGTAGTAGTACCTACAGATTAACGAATTATAACTTAAACCTTACTTGGGTATAATGTAGTGCCCAGAGTCATCAATTACCACTTCGTTTAGCCATGGAGCTTGTACCTACAATCAGAATAATCAACTCAACTTTTGGTTAATGGCTTTGTGGTAGAGTGTAACCACAATTTCGCCAATGTCATGTATTTGAAAGCAAACAGAATAATAAAATACGGTTCACTGTCTTGTCAAATCAGTTGTACGTCAGTGCCTTCACACTTAGGTAATGCTTTTTTTTGTTTGTTTTAAATTTCAAAATAAAAATAAACAGGAAAATAATAATAGATCGAATCGCTTAAAAATACCACATTGAAACATTATCAACTACCTACCCAATTATATATAAATTCAAATTAAGAATTTTCAATATTTAAATTCCGATTAACCAATAACCAACTAATTAATAATTAAAACATTACTCCCCTTCAGGACTTGACCTCTAACAGGAGCCATCTTATCATCTGACACTAGAAACTTTGCGCCGAATCCTGTACAGTTTATTATTACATCGAATTTTTTCAACACAGGATCCTGTAGCGATGAAATGTTTGCTTGCAATATTTCACCGTGTGCGTCTTTAAAGCGTTTAGTAAAATACTCCAAAAGTTTGGTTGTGGGTGTGACAAACGTCACGAAAGTCAGTCCTGCACTGAAAAGATTTTAAAATTAAGTATAAACAAAAAACAGTGTCATTTATAATTATAAAAACGTTTTTTTCTCACTAAAACCGAAACTCATAATTTAGTTTGTGAGGTGACTTACAAATTGCTAGGTAATACTTTGGTTGAGGATCACTGGTGCCCGTGGCGGGCAATAAATTACCTGTTTTTCAGGTCACCAGGTCTCTCCGAACCAGGTTACACAAAATCAAACAATTACGAATAAAAAAATAAAAACAAACTAATATGTAAAAATAAAAACCTAAAGGACCTACCTTTGAAAAAGACGACTTATATAATTTTAAGGTTTTTATTTTTACATATTAGTTTGTTTTTATTTTAAGTTCAAGTTAAATTAAAAAATAATACAATTTTATTTTGAACTCAATAAGTCGAGAGTTATGTTAACTACTAACTAACACATTTTTTTTTCTTTGCATCACTGTAAATCAATTTCCTGCTTCAATCTTTCTGAAAAAACAGGCTAACTGTTTGGAGATAACAGAAAATTGATTCGAACAAGACGTTGAAAAAAACAACCTCACAAAAAAGAGTTCGGTAAAGGTTGGTTGAAATATTTACTTACGTATATTTTCTTGAGTAACGTTCGCTAAAGTATTCCAATTGCTTACTATTGAGTTCTTTATACCCATAAGCTATTTCAAGCCAGTCAGGCTTACTTAATTGTTCTTTATCCGTGAACAGAGAGTAAACAGGCATAAGACAAATATTTACTGCACCTGTTTGCCACAATTCATTCAAAAACGCTAGTGTATCACTACACCATTGCCTAAAATAAGGTACATCTTAATTTTGATAACAATTGAATTTTGTCAGCAATCAGTAGTTTTATTTTGGCAACACCTATGTTCTGGCTTAACAACATCTACTAAAAATCATGCCATTTCTATTCGGATTAAAGTAGCTGAGTCTAACAAAGTAAAAACGTAATAATAAAAGACTATTCTTGACCTCTAATTCTTGACTTGATGGTAACTGACTTTAAGTGGCCCCTCCACCCGTTATTGGGGGGGCGAAGAGGTTTTACTTAACGCACTAGGTGTTGCCAGAACTCTTATAGTTATTAGAGACTTACGTTATAAGTTTGGAGGATGTTGTCCCATACATGTATGGAAACCATAAACCACCCGCTCCATCTCCTGTCGTATTTGGTGAGAATTCATTAGATATTAGTGTCACCTAAAAAAGTTTAATGCATTGCATTTGAATCTACCATTTTATTTTATTACCTAATACGTATCTACTATCGCACACACGCACATACACGTATAAATACTTACGAGAGTATAGTCACACGTATATATACAGTATAGTCCATCCTGATTTTCTGGAGGAAACCACTGACTGTGAGACCGCCCATTGTACCTACTGTTTCATAACGTTTCTCTACTAACTACAATACTTTTCTGGTGTGCAATAAAGAGTACCCATCTTTTTTTTTTATTTAAAACATATTATCTATCTAAAAACCCACCCAAAAACATGTACTACAGCCACTTTACAAACATTCTCGCACAGCTATAGCACGGTACTATTATAATACAGTAGCGTAACTCGGCCGCATAATAGAAATAAATGCCTACAGCCGCGCGGTACGTAAACATGCGTTAGGGCTGCCCGTCTCCAGCATTTTAATTATATTTGCCTACTTTCTGTTTCTATTTAGATTTGTAATTGTAAATATCCTTTTTATATAAATAAATGAAATACTTTGTATATTGAATAGAAAGTGTTCAATAAAAATGCGTGTTGTTTTTTGATTGGTAGATATAATTATTTTATTTTCTTTCTGCATTGGAGGAGTTTTTAGTGGTATATGTTGTTATAGTAGCAGCAGAAACAGTTTGTGAAAATTTCGAAAACTAAGTAATGACACACAGACGGTAAAAAAGGTTCTACGGTTCTAGTATTATTCATACACACAGATAATAAACAAATATTATTCAAAATAAAATACCACGTCTTTACTTTGAATTATGCAAAGTAACAAAACACACATGCACCGAAGTTTTAACACAAGCGTAAGTAGGTAGGTACCTACCGTATCATGATTCATTCAGAACCTCATATAACTACCTATTTCACTCGTCTCAATAACTTTCCGTTACTCTATTCGCTTTATTAGTTAATCCAAACACCTTTTTTTTCGTAAGATAAAAGGAAATACTTATCCATAAAAAAGACATATATTATGTACCTACCTACTAGTAAGTAAAATTATTTTATAGTCTTACCTTTCAGAGTTTCCAGGTAATTTAAAAAAATCCTTATGGCTGGATGCGTTATTGACGAATTCATACAACCAAAAACAGCACAATATGTCCTACTCGTCATATTAACTGATTTTTAGAGAAAAAATCGCGCGGTTATTGTTAAAAAAAACAACACACCGTCCGTTCGACACTGCGGTACAGCCGTGACTGTCTGCGCCCCGAGCGCACCCCGAGATCGAGGCGCGTAGGTATAGCTCGCATTTCGTCCGTTTGTATAAAGTTGGAGTACTGCATTATAATTGTACCGTGGCTATAGTTAAACCGCCGTAAGCTTGGCCCTCCTGATGGTTTGGGGGACGCGGGGCGGGGGTGCATTCAACCAATTAGCTAGTGCGTCGCTGTCCGCCGGCAGTGACTGACGTGGAAGCATGGCCGTACGTGTTATTTTTCTTAAGACTATTATATTATTTTGCAACATGGACAATCTGCTGACTCTGAGTCACAAAAAGATTAAAAAACTTGAAGTTCGGCTTACAGAGTTTCTACTGTTAAAGTTCTAATAAAGAATATTTATTATTTTACTTAATTTTTAAATTGTATCTGAATATAATTTACATGATGAACATAAGGTGATTTTATTAAAATTATTTTACGGTATTAAATTTTACAATTAATCATAAAAACTTCAATACACTGACATTATAATACATGGAAATAAATTCGATTTTTATTACATCGTGTGTAGATTAAATCTCAAACAAATAAATCTGAAGATTTCGAGTTAGTACATCGTGTCATGTATAGCCGAGCGCATCACCCGCCCCGCGTCCCGCAAACCATCAGGAGGGCCAAGCTTACGCCGGTTTAACTATAACTGCAAAACGTGTGTTCTTGCGGGTAAATAATGCACTTTAAACTGCGCGTAGGCTGACACACACTTACTGACTGAACTGTGCGTTAACTACGTTTTTAATACCTACGTACTATAAATATCTAACCAACGTTTATACCTTTTTTTTTATTTCGTGCGGAAATCCCCTCGGATACCACCTATCGGTGGCATGTCGGACTCGAACCGACTAAAACCGCACGCCGTCTCGGGTACTAATAGCCGGGGAACCACGTATACAGTCGGGGAACCAGGTATACAACCAACGTTTATGAGGTATAAACGTTGGTTGTATACCTGGTTATACCTATACACTCAACACAATGTACTATCTATGACGAACAAACAAATTACCGACTAGCGTTAAAAAAATGCTGTATAGCGCTATAATTAACTGATAGGCCGAATGAAACAGACTCCAAACCTAACTACAAATGTATTTCACATTGTATTAATAATTGTATTGTTTTTTAGAATTCCATAAAGTATGATCTGTCATATTGATGGTGTAATTGGTGTATATATAAATATGCATAACATATTCTGTATTAACGAAGTCAGTAAGTCGAAAACTTAAATAACATAACAAATTAATAATATAAGAAACATCACCCACTTTTTAAATACATATTATAAGTATTTGTTTAGGTATTAGTCATTAGCGACCCGTTCCGGCTCCGCACGGGTGCAGTGTAGATACTGATGGGTGTTAGTGTGGGAGAAAAAAAAACTACCTAGTAATAATTTATTATCTAGAAATAATTAATTATTTATTATTATGATTCGATACTAGATATTTTTGTATTATACAACTTTTATAGACATAATCCTCGTCTGCCAGCCGCTCTGCCTGATCTACTAAATCCCGCACTAATCCTTGATATCTTCTAAGATATTCATTCAAGAATATGCTGCAAACGGCAATCTTGATCTACATTAAATGCAGAACGTGTTTAATAATACTGTATTGTTTAAAATAGTTTCTTACATCGCATTATTTTTTTTTTGTAAAATGTAAAGTGTAGTGAGGTCCGTGTGATGACGGATGAAGAATACGGAGTGTCACCAATAAGGAAGCAAACTACGCAGGACAATAACACTGCAAAGAGCAAATTTTCTAGTTTTTTGTTATAGTAAGTCAAAGCCTTCTTTTTAAGGAAAGGCCTATGTGCAGCAGGGGACTATTAAAACTGTTGACTGTTAATGATAAAGACTTAAGTAAAGGTGAACATGGTTACTGTGGTTTATCCTTAGGAGATAGACAGATACCATCGCGGACTATTTTTTGTACATCTTTTTAAGATATACAATTTCTTAATACCTACACATTATTTTGTTGTATCTCGTAAGGTGTAACAGCGTTTGCAATATAAGCGCACAAATACGTGTTTTTAAGACATCACAGTATAAATAATTAAATTTTAGTATTTTTTCTATATAATATGAAGTTGGTTTGTCTATGCTTCTAAAACTCTGCACCGATTGAGCTCAAATTTTGACACGATATACAATACGCTTTAAAGACTTTTTATCTATTTTTCATGCAGCAATGTCTAATGGCTTACTTGAAAATTCTTATATTTCTCCTTCAGCTGAACAGCACAAGCCAAGCCATTTATTCCGGCTCCTAAAACAGCAACCTTTACCATTTTTATAAACCAACTTCTGTCGAATGAAATGATATAGGTACATCGGTGAGTCTTATCATAAGTAAAGGTCACAAAACAATAAATATACTTAACCCTGCATTGTTATGATTAGATAATAAAATGCAAGGGTTAATTACCTAGTATAAGTATTAATTTAAGAAAAACAACTAATAATAGATACACTATTGATATATAAAAACTATTGATAGCCCAGAGAGGTTGGTACACAGTATTGTACTTAAACTGTCCCAAATTATACGTATGTACTTAGTTAGGTATAGTTGTGATATTAACACACAGCAAAAAAAGGTAAAAGCATTATTATGAGTGTACCTTAAATCTGTATTTTAAAAAGCTATCTAAAAAAGCATTAAAATAATATAATGAATAGAATGAATGTATAGTGTTAAGGAACAAAATATTTGTTCCGCAATACTATACATACATCTATTAATGCATTTGGAACAAAATATACACTTACCTGTTTCATGATATTCCTTTATCTTTATTTACCTCATTGTCGTAATTTGTGCACTTTCGGAATACACAGGAAGGCATTTTATGAATTTCCTCGAATTATTTAGTACGTGCGGTTGCTCGCAGTGGTCCTAATTAGAACCAATTAACAGAACGCGTTTTGTGCGTTGGGGGCTTAAGTATCTCTTGTCTATATCTATAAAAGAAGAACGTGACAGACTAATTCAATAACTGATCGATTAACGCACAGCTGAAACCGATGGGTCTAAAAGCATGAAATTTTGCACAAATGTTTCTTAGAAAGAAAGAAAAGAAAATACGTTTATTAGTCACAACACAAACACAGCAAAAAAGGAATTACAGATATAACATAGAAGAGAAAAAGAAAAAAACACAAACAATTTGCTCAACTGAAGAATAGCACAAACAATAACAAAAACAAACAAGTACAAAAGAATAAAATGATCACTGTGTGTGACTAAAGGGCCACAACTCAGCCTATGCTGTAGTCCCTAAAAGTGACCACAGCCCTGATTTTCAGCTGAAGCCCAAAGGTACCTCACGGACGTGTGCACAGTTCAATTACTATAAACATAACAAGTGATAATTACATACATTAATTACATAACATACATTCTGTTAATATAATAAAGATATCAAATAACTAGTTAGTTGGAAATTGATAGATATAAGTAGGTGAAGTAAGCACGAGGTGTACACTAAGAAAGGGGTTTTTAAAAATTCTACTCCTAAAGGTGCAAAGCAAGATGTGAGTTTATATGAAAGTAGCGTTTTCAAACACAGTAAAGTAATAAAAAAAGGTTATTACACATTTTTCAAAACTACCCTTAAAAAGTTAGTATTAGGAACTATTTTTTTTACTTATAAAAACCAAACTCAGAATAATTACTACGATAACAGATGTATATAGATACCACGCGGACGAAGGCGCCAGCAAAAGCTACTTTGTATATAATATCATTGCTTCGAGCCTACTTCAACATGACATATCCATTTCTTCTAAACTTCCTATAAGATGGCGATCTGTTTTATACAAATACTGTTTTAATCTTCATGCGTCTGACCAGTTTATTTTCATTGGTATTCGTTGTATTTTACTCGGAATTATTTAATGCTAACAATGTATCTCGTTTGTGTAAATTAATAGTTTAACTTAATATTCCTCAATCTAAGGTTCACATTGCAATGCTTAAAAAAGGCAACTTAGAAATTCATCATGGCGGATAACTAGATGAAATAAGACCTGTATTCGGACACTTTAGTAAGCAATAAATGTTTTGACCCGGCCATGAACGGCTGTAACTCAGTAATAAATTATCCACATATATTATTATTTGTTTGGTTTTATTTTATCAATGAGATGTAGCAACTATTACGACTATTACGACGACATTTTAATGTTATATACTAGGAATAATGTAACCACAACGTGATGTATCATCGCAGAGCCATGCTTCGGCGCACGTGATTGCTTTTTTTACGTGCGACAACTCTCTCGGGCCGATAGCCCACCGGGGATTGCGGCGGGGTGGTGTTTCGGAATCGAACCGACTAAAAATCACACGGTGTGCCACTCTGCGCCTGAAGTAGAAGGGATCCAAGTCACCATTAATGGGACGGACGACATAAACGAGGAAATACGAGGAAATTGCCACTCAACGGGCTCGTATCATACCTGATACAGAATCGCTCTTGGAAGCCTGTGAACGCCCCAGGAGGCTTCTCCCCTTTTTGACGCATAAAGTACCATTCTTTATTCTAAATGCGGAAACCGGAGCCCGAAACTTCTGTTAATAAGACATCCAGACCCAGACATATGAGTGGTCTCACAGAAAACCTTATTTTATACTTAGTACTAATAAATCACTAAAAGAAAGTCATTTTTATTTATTTAATCGATACGTAAGTAAATGCTATAAAATTTATTAAGATTTTTTTTATTTTTAAATTTCGAGCGTAATTTGAGAAAACGCTGGACGTATTGGATGCCATATTGCTCTGTGGACATGATGTCCTATGATGTCAGTTGTACACAAATGACGTAATGTCAATTGGCAGTCGACACTGACTTTTTTTTGCCTTACACATCCTTATGACGTAATTACATGGGGTGATCGCGGCTACTATTTCATGGTGTCATAAAACAGATTTAAAAACTGAAAACGTCAAATAACTTTTTTTGTTTATTTTTTGAAATAAAACTAACATTTTCAACTTCTTTTGACCTGAGCCATTTAGAGTTTAGCTAACATTTACAGTAAAATACCTTATTCTATGCAGAGGCACTCAAAGTGTGGCAACGCACTTTCTCGTGTTGCAGGTGTCCATGAACAGCAGTTGTCACTTATCATCAGGAGACCTAGTGTGAGTTTATTAGGAATGGAAAGAGACCGAAGAAGAAGTATTTCCGTTCACATAGATGTTTGTGTCCGAGCAAGAACCTTGTAGACTGTATCGAAGTTATTATAATTTTGTTCAAAGGAAATTACACCTAGATTTCTTTTAAGTGTACATGCCTTTGAATATTAGATCTCAATCGCTAGACATCAACATGAAGCCACAGTGATGCATACAGAATGAATAAAAAAAAAGAAGATTTCCAGAATGCTTACTGATAGGATAATAATAAATATTTAATTTTCATTAATATCTATGGCACCTAATTTATTTAATAATCTTAAATGTGTGACTCTGTCTGTAACAGACTTGTGAAAAATAACTTACCAAAATTATTAATTAATAGGTATACTTACGTTTCACTGTGATTCGAGAATCGAGTTACTTCGAATGTTTTTTGATTTTTTTGTAATTTAGAGGTTATCTGTTTGTCATTTGTCAGATCACTGTCAGTGAGTGTAGTGCGTATTTATTGTGTTCGCCGCCGCTAGTACTTTCTTTTGGTTAGGAGCCGGTTATCAAATTTAACTTTTATTTTCCTATTTAGCGTCTTTCACAATGAAGTACGTAACTTAGATATCACACAGAACTGTAATCCTGTATTTGTCAATATTGGTTTATTCCGTAAAGTGTTTTTATTAACTTTTTATATTATTTTACAGGTTGACTGTAGATGGTTTACTTGTTTACTTTCCTTATGATTACATTTACCCAGAGCAATATGCGTATATGTTGGAATTAAAGAGAGCTTTAGATGCTAAAGTAAGTATATAATAAATACGGCTTCAAAGATTTCAATTTTTTATTAGGATTTAATCAGAACAGCAATGTTTGTAGCTTACTTACATTAGACATAGCCCCATATTTTTTTAAATTTAAGCAACTGTTTTCTACTGCCCATTACTATCTGCTCATGGCAATGAGAACAGGATAACTCCAAATATATTTAAAAGTAACCCATAGTTTGAACACTACCAACTGAGCTTGGTAACTTATCATTTTATTACTCGTCTGTGTCTCAAAAAGAACTTGATGTGCTCGGTATATTGGTCATAGCGTGATATTATATAGCCTTCAAGAATGATGTTACGAGGGCTGCTATTTATGTATCCGGAATAATAAAGTGACATACAAACAAACATAGCATTTCTTATAGTCTTATTGATTTTCAAAATATTCACTGTGATGATCAATGCACTTTTGCATATGTTGGAACTAATTTTCATAGCACCTTTTCCATTCTGAATGTCTCCAAAACGTGAATTTTAAATGCATCAACAGCCTCTTCACGGTTTAAAAAACGTTGACCACGTAATTTATTCTTCACGGTTGGGAATAAATAGAAGTCATTGGGAGCAAAGTCAAGTTTTGATCTTCCAAATACTGAGTTGTTTTGGCTGATGTGTGGCAACTAGCATTGCCATGATGAAGAAGGATTCTGCGTTGTCGGTTATTCTTTCTTATTTCTTCAAACACTTCTGTTAAACAAATGGTTGTGTACCATTCAGAATTAACTGTTTTACAATCCTCTAGTGGCACTGTAGCTAGGTTGCAAAGTTTTTATGACATGATCATGTGTTTTTAGGGTCATGGCTTGTTGGAGATGCCTTCAGGAACTGGAAAAACTATATCACTGCTGTCATTGATTGTTGCCTACATGATCCAGAACCCTCATCATGTCAGGTTGGTCCAAGTTCTTTTTTTTCTTTTTTAAAAGACAACTCCCGCATTAGGAATAAATCCTGTGTCGCGGGGGACCTTACAAACATACATGAAACGGACACAAAGAACACCCAGACTCAGAACAACAATTTGTTGATCACACAAAGTGTCGTCCCATGTGGGGTTTGAACCCACAACACTCTCCAAATAATATTACCCTAATTCCATTGATTCTTTTCTCACAATGTGATATATTAATTTCATTGTTATTTTAACAGTAAACAATATATGTTTTAATACTCACAACAAGTGTCATTCATTGTACTGTAAGCACCAGTACAAACAAGAAAATAAAAATTAAAATGTTGAATGCTTAACTTTCTTTATTAAATAATTGGAGTCAGTCAGTCGACCAATTTATTAACGACATTATCTAAAGGCATTATATTAAATTTCAGGAAGTTAATATACTGTTCCCGTACAGTACCAGAGATAGAAAAGGTATTGGAAGAGTTGAAGAATCTCTTCAAATACTATGAGAAGACTCAGGGAGAGAAGCCTAGTCTGACTGGAGCTGTACTGACATCACGGAAGAATCTATGCATACACCCAGATGTAAGATCATTCAAACGCTATTTACGGGGCATGATATTATGTGTTGTGTTACTACCACTGCAAAAGTTTGCCAGTAACTAGCAAGCTAGTGCCAGTAACATTCATGAGCCATGGGAGAGACCTGCTTCTGCATGAATTGGCGGGCTCAATTGAATTAATATCAAAAACTCTCAGAAAATCAGTGTTAAGCAATTCTTTTCACTGAAAGAGTGAGGTTACTGGCGCCGCCGCTAATCACAGCAGGGGAGAGGCCTCACAACGGACAAGTATCATAACCATAGAAATATAAGCATAGAGTGAACAAGAGACCCAATCTTGCAATATAAGCAACAAGAGAGATTGATAATAGATGGTTGACTCTATCTCTTTCTAGACGAGCTCTGTGGTTGGGGAAATTTCTAATCTCCCGCCTGTTCTACGATCAAAGCCATGCCCACTTCATGGTAGCCAATCACAACTTAGCTAAGCAGAGACAGAGGGAACTATCAGACATTCATCTCCCTCGTTGCCTGTATCGCTTCCACTTACAGACAGCTGAACCCCGTGTTCTCTCTGTGATCATACCTGATACAAAATCGCTCCTAGAATCCTGTGAAGGCCCAGGAGGCTTCTGCGCTTCTGGAAAGAGCTGGATTGGCTTACCTAGCCAACCTTACAGTTCTATATGGGTCGTGACCCATATAGAACTGTTCTAGAGTCTAAATGTGGAAACCGAAACCCACCACCAATACCAATACATATCTAATTATATAGCTGCTCATCTACTTCGGTTTCTTACTGTACTATTATAAAAGTTGTATTTTTTACAGGTATCAAGGGAAAAAGAAGGCAAGTTGGTGGATGGTAGATGCCATGCTCTGACTGCCAGCTACATCAGGGAGAGACATGAAGCTGATAGCAGTGTAAACATCTGTGAGTTATCTACATATTCTAATATGTATACATATTCTTAAATACAATAATCAGAGTAATCTGCAATGAACAATCATTTGTACTGATATTCGCTTGTACTGTTTACGATTATTTCTTAACGGGAACAACTGACTCCATGGGTCAATAACTCACTGGGGTCACGGTGAAGTAGTATATCAAAATCGAAGCGACTGAAACCACTGAAGGCCGGCAAAGCGTTTGTGTTGCAGTTACAGACGTTCGTGGACGGAGATGGTCACTTTCCATCAGGTGACCCGTCTGCTCATCTGCCCCCTCTAACATAAAAAAAACAGAACACCATGTTTTTTTCGACACATGTTTGTATATTGCTAGGGACTCAGGTATACCCTAGGTTGAAAGTCACGGCAGCACTCCAACTCGATTAAATGCTGTATTTATATAAAAAAAAACTGATTTTATAAAAAAATATTTTGCCAGGTCAGTTCTACGAAGGCTTCAACCGCGAAGGTAAAGAGTCCATGTTGCCGTACGGCGTGTACACCATAGACGATCTCAAACAATATGGCGCCGACAGGAACTGGTGCCCTTACTTTCTCTCCAGATTTGCCGTAAGTATCGGAATATGGTTGTTGACTATAGTGAAATACCCTTACCTTAATGAGTTGGCTCGGTCAGCGTAATGCCACGGCCTCCCATGAAAACTAGCCGGCATAAAACCTATGTTAATCCCTTCAACTCTTTCGTTGTTTTTCACTGAGTGCATGTAAATACTGGAGGTCCAACCCCCCTCTCTCCCACATAACTTTTGTAAGGGGGGAGGGAGTAATGTCTCCAGAATTATAAAAGCCCATGAACGCTGGTACTCACTTACCATTATTTTCAGATAATCCACGCAGAAATCGTGGTATACTCGTACCACTATCTCCTGGACCCGAAGATCGCCGAGGTGGTATCGAAGGAGTTGAACAGGGAGGCGGTGGTTGTGTTCGACGAGGCGCACAACATTGACACCGTGTGCATCGACTCGCTCAGCGTCAAGCTCACGAGGCGGACCATCGACAAGAGTATTGTAGCTCTACAACAGTTGGAAAAGACCGTAGCACAGTTAGTGCCGTTTTTTATTCTAAGAGTCACATACCCCTGTTCTTTTTATGGCATGGGGGGCATTCGAGCAGACGGGTCACCTGTTGGTAAGTGTCGTTCATGAACATTTGCAATTCGAGAGTCATAAGTGTGTTGCCGGCTTTTAAGCCTCCCCACCCTCAAGGGGGGTACTTTAGACTCTGGTAACCTCACTCACTCTGTGACTGTAATACTCAGATGCACTTTATTAATGTCTACTATCTTAAGTACAGTGGTGTAAATGTTTGATAAAACCCAGGGATTCCCAAAGTGGTCTATATCCACCCCCCAGGGTTGAAATTGTTTTCCAAATTGTCAATATAAACGAATACTAATTTTGGGGTCGACGAGGTCTAAAAATTGAGCCCTATTAATTAACACAAGTTCTTATTTGATTTAATTTGAAACTTTGAAGCTTTGACGCCCGAATGGCGTAGTGGTTTGTGTAGCAGACTGCTATTCCAAAGGTCGCCGGTTCGATTCCCGCTCAATTCAAGCATTTGTGTGCATGAACATTTAATGTTTGATTTGGTCTGGGTGTTTCTATGTATAATAAGTATAGTATGTATTTACAAAAAAAAAGTATATATGTATTTATATCAGTTGTCTAGTAGCCATAGTACAAGCTCTGCTTAGTTTGGGACTAGATGGCGTTGTGTGAATGTGGTACAATATTATTATTATTATTTGAAGCTACCATGTTAGTTGTGTTACTTAAACCAACTTGTTATAAGAATTACTAATACATAAGTAGTAAATATCATTGTTGTACTTTCAAAAAACTCAATAAGGCGATAAGCGTGCAGTAATGTGGCTATGGGGGTCTAAGGTCAGTCATTATAGCTGATTTAACCACTTTCTTTGATTCAAACACTCACTTGTACCATGTTGTCAAAGTCTTAATACTTTCACTTACAACTTTCTTTGATTTAAACCCAATCTTGAACCGTTTTGGCAAACTATACCACTTTCACGTACCAGTTTATTTGATTCTAACACTCTCATGTACCATGGTGTTAAAGTACATAACACTTTTTGGATTTTGCTAAATAATACAAAATGTTTAAGGTCAAAATTATATCTTACTTGTAATAATAGTACTAACAAATAAATTCATATTAAGGCTGGTTTTCATGTCAGGATCCGCGAGGCGGACGCGGCTCGTCTGACGGTGGAGTACGAGGAGATGGTGGAGGGGCTGCGCCAGGCCGCCCTACAGAGGGAGACCGACGCTATACTAGGGAACCCCATCCTGCCCGACGACATACTCAATGGTAAACTTTACTTTTAAGGAAAAACCACGCAACCTACAGAAATACAGAACACTTATACTTCAAAATATTTGTATGCGTAAATAAATCTATATTTGTTTCTCTGGGTGTTTCTGGGTATGGATTACAAAAACAAAAATAAGATTATAAATGAATAAATAAATGAAATTCAAATTATAGAATTACTGTGCTTACGCTATACATGGCGCAGTGGTTATAGTGGTATCCTAGACGACTTTAATATGTTTGATTTTCAAATGTTTTTAAATAACTATTTCTGTGACCTACAAATCCCATTGCCGTAGATATTCCTTGTGACGTGTCACAGGAACCTTTCCTAGGTCTTTTTTAAAAAAGGAATAAAAAGAAAATAGATTACTCAATCTTCACAGAGGTGGTCCCCGGGAACATTCGGAATGCTGAACATTTCCTCAGCTTCCTGAAGCGGTTCATAGAGTACATCAAGACGAGGTTGAGGATACAACATGTCGTTCAGGAGTCGCCTGCAGGTAAACTTCACAAGACATGTTTTTGCTACTTCATATCAGTATTTGTAATATACAGTTTGTTCTAAAAAAAGCGTTTTCATAAATTAAAATTGTAATGTAGAGTAAATTCTAGATGACCCACATCACATCACACATCAACAGCCTTTAATAGAGTCACTGCTGGACATAGGTCTCTCCTTAGAAAAGAGATTTTGGCCTACTATACCACGATGGCCAGACGGGTTGGTATAGGGTTTGTGTCAAGTTTTCCTTCTCTTTGCAGTGCTGTTGTCCTGTGTAGTTTGCTACGTGGATTCTTACGACACCCACGGCATAAATAGGGGTGGTGACACTCCATATTCTAAATCCATCATACTTGATTTTTAGTTTATTTGACTTTATTAGAAAAGTCAAAAATACATTAACAAACTCACGTTTTTCTACCTTCATAGTAGACAAAGACAACAGTTCTTTACTATCCTGACGTAATTCAGAAGTTAAGCCGGCTCGACCGGAGTGATGCCATGGCCCCATGCCCCACAGAAAACTGATGTTAAACGACTCTTTCGTTTCATTTCACCGAGTGAATAAGATTACCGGATGTCAATCCCTCTCCCAAATTTACTAAAAGCCCCCAACGCATATGTTTCCTGAATTGCAGAATATTTGACAATTTTTTTTTTTATTATTGTCTGTGTTAATCTATGACTTTAGAGTCGAAGACGATTTGAATATATTGAGTTTGCAGGGTTTCATGGTCGGCGGCAACAACTTACTGTCAGAAGGTCTTCCGGGCTCTCAAGTAGGGCCTCAGACGACCGTTCTATCTGACATTATACGGGTCATGTTTTCCTATGTATAGAATTTCATTTCAATTCATTTATACAGAACGATTTTAGTCGTTTCGAGTAATAAACGATCAGACTACTGATAGTTTCCCCTCCGCTCCCTAATTTTGGAAAATGAGGGAGTACCCTCCTTCTCCAGAATTAGAGAGCGGAGGGGGTTCAAAAGAATTGCTTAATAATTGGTTTTCTGAAAGGCTAAGGTATCACTCTGGTCAACCTGGCCCATTTGTGCAGAAGCTTGGCTCTCCCTCGGTAGCTAAGTTGTGTTGGGCTGCTATTAGCGTAGTATGTGTGTGTGTGTGTGTCAGGGTTCCTGAAGGACGTGGCGGCGCGCGTGTGCATCGAGCGCAAGCCGCTGCGGTTCTGCGCCTCGCGCCTCGCCTCGCTCATGAAGACGCTGGAGATCCCCGACCCCTCCAACTTCGCCTCGCTCACGCTCATCACCCACCTGGCCACGCTCGTCTCCACGTACACCAAGGGGTTCACCATCATTATTGAACCGTTCGATGATAAGACACCGACCGTTTCAAACCCTATACTGCATTTTTCGTAAGTTTCCGTTTAAATGTTTATGAAGTTTAACATATGGATATAAAAGTTTTCAGAATACTTTTTTTACCAACTGTGCCAGAAGGAGAGTTATGAGTTTGTTACGAGTGTAGTCTAAACGGCTTTACGGACTTTGGTTTGGGAAGTGTCGTGAGATTCCTCTTAATTGTGATACAAAACTGCATATAAATATTAAAATCGCCAGATTGTAAACTAAATTAATATTATTTAACGGGAATTAACGCGATCTCTTATTTAGGGTATTACATACCTCTGGTGACCTGTGCCCACGGCCGGTGCAACCTGGTCGAAACGTCAGGCAAACCAGAGGTATGTAATACCCTAAATAAGAGATCGCGTTAATTCCCGTTAAATAATATTAATTATCATGGAACGCGAAAGTTTAAAAGTTAGTGTAAACTAAATGTCCACACATTTTCACACAGTCGAGTTTTATGTTTTTTCAATAATTAGTTTGATTATTATGTACCTTTAAACAAACTGTAGTCTTAAATATTACATTTGATTCAGGTGAAATAATTTATTGTGAACATATGAATTAAAACCTACCGTACCATACCCTATTCGAGCTGCAATTGTGTAATAACCATATATTTAAATAAATTCTTACAGATGTATGGACTCTTCCATAGGCATGCGACCAGTGTTCGCTAGATTCCAGACAGTGATCATAACGTCAGGTAAACATTAATTGAATTGTGATGCAATGTGATTATTGAATATTAATTCCTCGTAGTTTTTTTGACGTGACAACGTCTTATAATTCGATGGAGCCGGCTGCACGCACGAAAAAACATGACTCATGCGGCGTTACCTCGCTCTGAGGCGTTCCATTTAAGGCTTGAAGTGCAAGCGAGAGCGCGGAACGAGTGACAAAGAGGCACAATCGGCCTCCGCGTTCGGCAGCGTTCGACATCTGTCTCTCTCAAGTAGGAACTTGAGTGAGCGATGCGTCCGCGTGGACAGCTACTACTCGTATACAATAATACATTTTTGAAAAATGCAACCATTCCATCAGTATTTTCTTATGACGTTGTCACGTTCAACTATCGTCAGTAAACCGACTTTACAGACAGCCGATTTTTTTTTATAAGAAGTCTATTTAATAATACTTTTGTTACAGGTACGTTGTCGCCCCTGGATATGTACCCAAAAATCTTGGACTTTAACCCAGTTATCATGAGTTCCTTCACCATGACGCTCGCCAGACCTTGCATATTACCTATGGTTAATATTATGGTATATTTAGTAACATGTTTGATCTTAAACTAATAGAGTATTTTTTTAAAACATACATACGCTCGAAAAACAAATCTCCTGATGCAGTCGGCTGTAAATAAGGCTTATAATACTTTCAGATAGTATCCAAAGGCAGTGACCAGGTGGCAATATCATCTAAATATGAGACGAGAGAAGATGTAGCAGTCATAAGGAATTATGGACAGTTGCTCGTTGAGGTAAGGATATTGCATTAGGAATTGGGTAGTCTATGATATTAATATGTTTTTTTAAATATCACATCACACGCACAGCCTTTAATCGTCCACTGCTTGACATAGGCCACGCTGGCCACACGGGTTGGTATAGGGTTTGTGAAAAGTTTTCCTTCTCTTTGCATTTCTGTTGTCCTGCATATTCATCAATCTGGTTTCTTTATTCATAATTTTACAGCTTAGGGGTGAAATTTTTCCTTGAAATTCGAATGAAACCAAATGGGAAGTGTACCCTCTACAACATAAAAAGGTTTCAAACCGGTTCATAAATTACCAGAGTACTGACTTCTGAGGTAACCAATACCGGATTGAGAACATTCTCTTTTTACTGAATGTTTTAATTTTTTTTAAATGTTTTGATATCAACGTTAATAGTAAATCATTTGATTATAGCTAGGTATGACGTCACATCTTAGTATTTCATACAAAAATATATGGCGCCTAATGTTTGACGTTTAATAAAAAGATAGTGATTTGACTTGATAGTCATACCATTGTGTTGTATGTTCTTGTTGACAAACTTACCTATAATGACAGATAGCCGCATGTGTCCCGGACGGTGTGGTGTGTTTCTTCACGTCGTATATGTACCTGGAGAGCGTTGTGGGCGCCTGGTACGACCAAGGTACGTCGTTATTACTTAATATTCTTTCAGTTGTCCGTGTGGTGACGGATTAAGAATACAAATTGTCACCACCCCAATTCATCCCGTGGGTGTCGTAAGAGCCGACTAAGGGAGCAAACTAAGCAGGACAACAGCACTGCAAAGAGAAGGAAAACTTGAAACAATCCCTGGACCAACCCGTCTGGCCAGCGTGGTATAGTAGGCCAAAACCTCCTTTCTAAGGAGAGGTCTATGTCCAGCAGTGGACTAGTATAGGCTGTTGATGATGATGATTCTTTCAGTAATCAAGTTTGATAAAAAAAATGGCTTCCGGATCTTTAAGTTTGCAGTTATACGTAAGAGGTTTTCGTCTTTACTATACCTACACCTGTCTAGGTTTGACAGTAAAAATAATAGTTGCTTCTTATGAGAATTGAATTGTGTAATTTTTGAAGTGAAAACTTATTTAGGCGCGTTGGGCATTTTTGAACAACAAACAAAAGAATGTATTTTTTGAGATTGGAAGAAACCATTGAACTCGCGATACTGTTACCGTTACCGACACCTCTGTACATAAGTATCTACTTATATTGGCCCCGTTTACTCGAGAGTTGAGTTCGGGTTGAAACATATTGATAATATAAACATATATTGTGTATATACGTACAACATAGAAATATATTCATCTCGGAACTTATGGATACAAAAAAAGAAACAGAAAAAATGATGTTAAAATAAAATTTTATTAAATTTTCAAGTTTTAACTTCTGTCGGCACTCCCGGAGTGTTTTTTTTGTAGTGTCGTTGTTATATACGTATTTATTAATTCCGTTACGTCTTCACAGGTGTGGTGGCGAGCTTACAACGACACAAATTACTGTTCATAGAGACACAGGACTCGGCAGAAACTAGTTTTGCTCTCATCAATTACATTAAGGTAATATTTACTTACCATTGAACCGTCAACATTCGTTTTGTAAGTCACAGATGCTCAATTTGTCAACCTGTATGATGACAGAGCTGTTAAAACCACCTCCAATTGGATGGCCAGACTCAAGAAGCCGTGAAGAGAATGACAGAGCTGTTAAAACCACCTCCAATTGGATGGCCAGACTCAACTTCAACTTTTGGTTAGTGGCTTTGTGGTAGAGTGTAACCACAATTTCGCCAATGTCATGTATTTATGGCCAGACTCAAGAAGGCGTGAAGAGAATGACAGAGCTGTTAAAACCACCTCCAATTGGATGGCCAGACTCAAGAAGCCGTGAAGAGAATGGCAGAGCTGTTAAAACCACCTCCAATTGGATGGCCAGACTCAAGAAGCCGTGAAGAGAATGACAGAGCTGTTAAAACCATCTCCAATTGGATGGCCAGACTCAAGAAGCCGTGAAGAGATTGTGTCCCGGAACATTTTACGATGTATAGGCAGACTAACATAATTATTGTCAGGAGGAGGAAAAGGATTGTTGAGGGCGTCAAGACTTATAAAAAAAACCTCTTCCTCAGAGCTGAAGGAAGCGCAGGATTTACTTACATAAATTTACCAAAAACTGTACCTAATTTTTAGTAAAAACTTTCTTTGTCTATCTTAGGTTTATAAGTTTGGTGTTTTTTTTTATGGAATAAGGGGCAAACGAGCAGACGGGTCACCTGATGGAAAGCGACTACCGCCGCCCATGAACGCCTGCAAGTCAGGAGTCACAAGCGCGTTGCCAGCCTTTGAGGAAGGAGTACGCTCTTTTCTTGAAGGTTTGAAGGTCCTATCGGTCCGGAAATACCGCAGCCGATAACTTGTTCCACAGGTTGGTAGTGCGAGGCAAAAGTGTCTTGACAAGCGCACAGTGGTGGAGCGCCAATTATCCAAGTTGTGGGGATGAACATTTGGAAGAAAGATGTATTAAGATATAAATATATATTTACTTGTAAATAACCTATTGTAGGACAAAAACGAGCAATTGATCAGCACTTGTTTAAGATTTTTGTTAATTCTGGTGTCCCTAAAGTAAATTGCAAGATTTTACGTTTTAAGGCGTTTACTCAGGCGACCATCTTGAAATTTTGCACAGATTGTCACGAAAAGAACATTGGTAATGTTCCCGAAGTTGAACTCAATCAATATATACAGGTTTTCTCTTTATTAATTAGTATATTGTGTTTAACGTCAGGCGTGTGAGAGCGGGCGTGGCGCGGTCCTGCTGTCGGTGGCGCGGGGCAAGGTGTCGGAGGGGGTGGACTTCGACCACCACCTGGGCCGGTGCGTGCTCATGTTCGGGATACCCTACGTCTTCACGCAGAGCCGGATACTCAAGGCCCGGCTCGAGTACCTCCGAGATCAGTTCCAGGCGAGTATCCAATACTAAGGAGTCGAATAACACCTACTGTTTGTAGTTCTTACAATAACTAGAAATTATAATAATAAAATAATATTGTCAACATCATCGACATCTGACACACAACGCCATCTAGTTTCAAACTAAGCAGAGCTTTTACTATAAAGCTAGATTGACTGATAGAATACTTATATACTTTTTTTTCGTAAATACATACATGTTATACATAGAAATCACCCAAACTCCGAAACAACTATTTGCAAATCATACAAACATTTGGTTCGACCCGGGAATTGAACCCGAGACTTCAGTACAGCAATCGCATACTCTACCACTGCACCACTGAGGCAGTTCAACTAGCCTAATAGAACTCCACCCAGAATAAATGGTTATGACCACATAAGCAATTATTCTTCTTGAACTTGACTTCACGTCTGCCTTTTACCAAAAAGTCAGTCGTTAGTCAAGATCATACGTTCTGTGTTTGGGTGTAATTAATCCATAATATGTATCTGCATACTGTTATCCCTTGGGTGTCGTAAGAGCCAACTAAGGTAGCAAACTACGCAGGACAACAGCACTGCAAAGAGAAGGAAAACTTGAAACGAACCCTATACCAACCCTTCTAGCTAGCGTGATATAAAAAGCCAAAATCTCTTTTCTAAAGAGAGACCTATGTCCAGCAGTGGACTGCTATAAGCCTTTGATGATGTATATATTGTTTAGCAGCAATCTAGTTATCATAGTACAGGCTCTGCCTAATTTAGGATCAGACTGGCATCTGTAGATATGTTAAGTTACTAGTTATTAAGGACCAGTTGAGTGTTATTCAGTAAATGAAGAATATAACTAAATTTTCAGATCCGTGAGAACGATTTCCTGACATTCGACGCGATGCGACACGCGGCGCAGTGCGTGGGGCGAGCTCTGCGGTAACATCTTATATAGTTTTTATATATAAAAAATCGGGATCCTTTTGACGAGCCAATTTGTCTAATAGTTACGCGATCATGACTGCTCAGCCCCAGAGGTCGTGGGTTCGATTCCCACTTATCTCACAAGTGGGATAATAATTGTATAGTGAAAATGATTTGCTTTCTACATGAGTATGTTTATTGGCAGTCTGATTACAATAGCACAGACTCTGCCAAGTTATAATTAGACTGCCAATTACGAGGTACAATAACTTTTTTGATCGCCTTGTTACCAGTGTATTTATTATGTTGATTGTGCAGTTACAAACTAGCTATTTTATTTTATTGTATATTATATGCCAACTCCATCATCAACAGCCTTTAATAATCGATTGGGCTTGACATATTGGCCTCTCCTTAGAAAGGAGGTTTTGGCCAGTAGGCCTTGTATTAGACAATTATAGATTTGTATGGGATGATTTTGTTCCATATCCATATCTATTATTTCCACAATAACCCTCATATTAATTTTTTTGCATTTTCTTATTGATTAAATAAATACTTTCAGTGGTAAAACGGACTACGGTATAATGATATTCGCGGACAAGCGGTTCAGCCGCGCGGACAAGAGGACCAAGCTGCCGCGCTGGATTCAGGAACACCTCAAGGACTCGCTCTGTAATCTCAGCACTGAGGAGGCCGTACAGGTAGCCTTTGTTATAATTCCATCTTCTACCTCAGTCCTTATATCAGTTATCACAGATTTAAAAAGGAAAGATGTGGAAAAGCTTCGTGTAAGCATATAAAAAGATGAAAACGAGTGACTTCTGTTAAAAAAAAAACAGGCAATTTTTTTCAATTAAAACATAAAAAAAAAATGTTTTTTTTCCATTTGAAAAGTTTCGACATGAATATATATCTATGTTGTACGTATTTACACAACATATGTTTATATTATATAGTTATATTATCAATGTATTTAAACCCAAACTTAATTCTCGTGTAAACGCGGCCAATATATGTAGACAGACTTATATACAGAGGTGTCGGTAACGGTAACAGTGTCGCGAGTTCAATGGTTTTTTCCCATCTAAAGAAATAAATTATTGTGTTTGTTGTTCAAAAGTGCCAAACGCGCCTGAAGAAGTTTTCACTTTAAAAATCCGCACTATAAATATGATTTTCTCATTTCTCAGTTGTCATAAGATAAATTAGAAATCAGCGACATAATTGATTTCCCCCCTCCCCCCAGATCTGCAAGCGCTGGCTCCGTCAGATGGCGCAGCCGTTCACGCGCGAGGACCAGCTCGGCGTGTCGCTGCTCACACTCGCGCAGCTGCAGTCGCAGGAACAGCAGGACAAGATTGAGAAGCAGGTCATACAGAAATGATCGCTCATACTTTGGGTTACCATAAACGTTTGGAAATCCATGGTTATTGACATATCTTCGATAACAAAATGCTGTGTATGTAGTAAATACTACATAAAACTTACAATCTATACTAATATTATAAAGCTGAAGAGTTTGTTTGTTTGAACGCGCTAATCTCAGGAACTACTGGTCCGATTTGAAAAATTCTTTCAGTGTTAGATAGCCCATTTATCGAGGAAGGCTATAGGCTATATATCATCACGCTAAGACCAATAGGAGCGGAGCACCAATGAAGAATTTTTCAAAAACGGAGAAAATTTATTACTATTGAGAGACGCAGACGAAGTTGCGCGGGTCAGCTAGTATACCATATATATGAGAAGAATAAAGAAACTGGTCATTTTACAAAGTGACGGTAATTCTAAATGATTGCTATTGACTGTTTCTCAAATGTAGTATTTACCAAATGGGATTAAAAATGTCGGTACACTATCACTTGTGATATGACTTCATCACTGTTGTGTTATCATTATTTAGTTTAATGATAGCGATATGGAGGCAGTTCAACTCAAATATGATTCACGAACTTTTGTGTGTTACCTAATAATTTAAAAAATGTTGAACTTTGTACATAGTATTATTATTTTTGTATGTTTAAGATTTAAATATAAGATAATTCTTTTTATATTCCGTTTTTTTTATTTTATTCTCCCTTCGACACTAATGTTAGAATTAGTGACTGTACGAGAATTATATTTACATTGACTGCACGGATGGCGTAGTGGTTTAAGCGGTCGCCACGCAGCTTTCTATTACGCCGAGTGTTGTGGGTTCAGACCCCACATGGGACAACACTTTGTGTGAGCCACAAATTGTTTCATGTATGTTTGTAAAGTCCCCTGCGACACAGGATTTATTCCTAGTGCGGGAGTTGTCTTTAAAAAAAAAAAAGATTAACGACTACAATGAAATTGTAGTCGTTAATCTTTTTTTTTACCGAAGCCAATAATTAGTTAGAAAATTGTTTATCCTACTTAATCGCAACATAGAGAGGTCGGTACTTGTAAAACGGTGTGAGATTCGAATAAAAACACAAACTTACAAAACAAACACAACATTTTATTTAAGACACATTAAATGAAACTGTTGCCGCTTATATATTTACACAACCAGATATAGGAAAAGTAATTAATAACAATTCAATGCGTTTAATACTAATTTTACTAAAGAAACCAGTGAATGTTGGTCAGGTTTCAAGAGCCGACACGAACTTGTCAGACATTGCACCGTCCGCGTATCGTTTAAACTAAATATAACTAACTATAGTCTATTCGCGTTAAGAAAATAGTGACGTATCGATCAAACCCCGCCCTCTGACCAATCCAAGAAATTATCGTTTCGTACAAAACCTTGGAACCTGAAAGTAAAAGTTCTCGTAGTAAAAGTTCTGTCGCAATTCAGTACCGATCAACTCTCGATCTCAACTGTCATAAAAGGTATTGTAGTGAAATGATAAAGTAGTTACTAAGACTAGCAGATTACCGATTCAATTTTCGGTTAAAAAACGATATAATCACATTACAGTCAACGTTGGATGTTTAATACTTTACTGCGAAAATACATTTTATGACAATTGTGAGATCCAAAGTTGTTTGGAACTGAATTGAGACCAAACTTTTATTACGAAAATTGGCCTTGTGATTGGTTAGGGGGCAGGGCTTGATCCATGCGTCACTATTTTCTTAACGCGAATGGACTATAAATATAAAAACAAAGCTATAGTATTGCATCAACAATACTTGCACTAAGTGCAAACCAATCGGTCCATCCAGTGGGGCCCCTCGTGTCACACAGAAAGCACATATCCCCACTGTGCATTAACTTATTAACAAATCATTTGACAATATTGCAATGCTTAATTATAACAGTCACTTTGTGACTAAATGTGTGTGCTGCTTAAAACAAAATGTAATAATATAAAAAAAAAAAACTATATATTAACAATATACCAGTACTTACTTACCTTTTATTTGCAATTACAATCATTACTTGGCATCTAAATATGTATGTCTCTGGACTTCAATTATGTTTAATTTAATATTTTATTTTGCACCTACCGCTTCATATTTCTACATCACCTGAAGGTTGACTTTGATAGAATGCCTAATGACATTAAGTCCGCCTTTGTACAACGTGCATTAAGTTTTAAATAAATAAATATCAACAGTTTTATTAAAACATTATGAGAACATTTATAAATTATTTAAGATACAAGATGTATTAGTATGTATGTATTAGTTTAAATATTTTTTCTACTAATATTGTTATTTTATTGTTATAGTGATTGTCACAGCAAAATAATTAATCGTGCAGTATTTATACAATGTAAAATTGACAATAACATCTTAAAAGACAGTGGACATATTCGCGTTCCGGAACCACGCACGTACAACTCTACATATACAGAAAACAGGCTTACGAGAAATAAAATGGGAGTAAATAATGTGTCATATTTATGATACAGAATATGCAACTACTATCGCCATTGTAAACAATATTCAGACTAGGGTATAAGAACCTAATTCTATTTGCCATAGGTGAAAGTTAAATGACTGTATTTTTACATTGGCGACGATGAAGAGTTATTCCCTTGAATATACATATTACACTTTGTTAATCGGTATTCATTACCGCGAATATGAAACATTGGTTATTTTTAGCCTGATGGTGCAACTCATCCATACTAATATTATAAATGCGAAAGTGTGTCTGTCTGTCTGATACTTCTTTACGCTTAAACCGCTGAGCGGATTTATATGAAATTTGGTATAGTGATAGCTGGAGTCCCGGGAAAGGAAATTTTTTGAACCCAGAAATCGTCGTTTAAGGGGTTGGGGACGTTTATCCATCCCCTTAAACGACGATTTCTGGGATCTAAAAAACCATCCTAACATTTATAATATTATTATTAGTTTACGAGTACTTTAAAGTGAGGAAAGAATTGTTTAACGTCGGTTTTAAAATATAACAAGTGTTGTGTAAGTTAGAAGTAAATTGGTTTATTGTCTATTCGACAGTTAATGTCACATTCGCGTTATTGAATACCGATCGACGGTTTGTTGAACACATGCATGGGGTTTAAATTTAATTTATATTTTGTACTTAATAAAAGTATCACACAACACAAAAATCGTCTTATGAATATAAACTTAACATGTGGTCCTAAATACTTGTAGTAATACATAATATAGATTCGTGTAAATTTAAGATAAGAAACAACGATTTGAATACGTTCCAATTTACGTTATTATTGTTACAAAACAAACATTTTTCTTACTTAAAATCTCATCATTCAGTTACTCTTAAAATGTACATTAAAGGGTATAGTAAAAAGCATTTTTATTGGGGCATTCTTTTCCAAAAAGGTAAGAAAAATATAAATGAAAAAAAAATTTTTAGCTTCACCAACTAAACATAAAAACGTACGCATAATCATTATTTTTTAGAAAATGTTTAGTCTGTGTATCGTCATTAGCAGAATTTATTGAAAGATATTCAGTTAACAGCACAATTTAAGTGATAGTTAAGTACAGTTTAAATATGAATTATATTGTGATTAAGGTATGCTAGATGTACCTTAACACTAAAAAATCAATGGATGCGTATGCAAGATTTAACTTAGGAAATATCTTCAACGGGAAATAAAACATATGTGACTAACTTAACTTGTAGACGTTTATTGATAACAATACTTAGATGCCAACATATCAAAAATAATCTGGATTTATTTTTGTACTTGAAAAATGCTATCAATGGCTATAAACTTTTTTTCATCACACTACATACATGGATCTTTTCTTAATATGAATTCAGAGATTTTTTAATTATTTGACTGTAATTCTGAGAACACTTTGTGATTGGATTAATGCAGAAAAACACTGGTCATTTTAACTAACTAATTACAGTTAACATTACTAAGAATAAAATATACTATGGACATGTTAAAAAAATGATCAGAAATATAAAGTTTCTGAACGTTATCAAAAAAGTACTGGCTTTTTTTAGTCAAATATAACTCATAGGTATTGTAAAAAATGTATAAATAGAGCATGAGTGTCTGAGACTAAAATCTAACGAGAGACAATGGTACTAATTCTGTTGTTCGAAAACTCTCTAAACTAAAAATTATAAAAAATCTGTTTAGCCCTGTCAAGTACTATGTTTTCAGAATATGAAACGTTTGACAGGACTAAACTAATTTTTAGTGTTTTTTAGTTTAGTTTAGAGAGTTTTCGAGCAACAAAATTAGCGCCACTGTGTCTCTGGTTAGATTTAAGCTATTACAAATTGTTGAGGTACTCCGTAACATTGAGTCTTGGAGACTCGACTGTGGATCTGCCTTAAGAAACTTTTGTACTGGACAAATATATTTTGACATTTAATAATTATTCGTATAAGAGTTAAAAAGTTAGTTAGTTTAACGATGCACGAAAAAATAAGCATCAGGTCATATTACGTGAACTTTTAAAATTCTAGACGTAAAAGGATTGCATTGTGAACCTATACTAAAAGCAGCTTGGACTCCGAAAAAATGAAAAGGTGACTTATGAATAAAATGTGTAATTTGTCATAGACTCATCATCATCAACAGCCTTTACTAGTCCACTGCTGAACATAGGCCTCTCCTTTTGGTCATAGACTATCAGGTCATAAAAAAAAGCGTCAAGAAAACGAATGTTTTGTGCACTGACATCGATCGATCGACATGTCACTGTATCTATGGTTTAATTTTTATATTTGCTGCCTGTACCTTCAATATAGTAATTTATGTCCAAAGAGTGTAAAAAAAGCTACATATACAACAAATATATGGAAAAAATCGTTCTAACTTAGTTCTTTCACACAGTTTTAAGACAAAGCAAAACCGTTTTGTTTTACTTTTGTTTCTAAGTTTATTTTGCTTCGAAATAATTGTGTCGCGACAACAATATTACTGGGTTTGGTTGGGTATGTACTTCTAAAGTTTTTGCTATTGAAGCGTATTGTCAAACATACTAGGCAAATATTTTAACTAAATAATACTACTTTTTTAACAGGATTTTTTATAATTTTATCTATTATGTATTTACATTACCGATGTTACTAAGAATAATTATTTAACTTTATTTTAAATCCAATTTAGATAAACTAGAAATGTATCTAGATATTAACGGTTTCCGTCATTGCAGCAAATATTTTAAGGACTTTTTATCACGTCAGTAACGATGAACTTGGTCCTTTGTTGAATGATAATAATAATTAAACGATAATAGAGGAACCATCTTAGTTGTACTGACAGGATACAACTAAGCTTGTCCGAAATGTTCAAACAGAAAACTTTAAAACGTTAAATAATACATTTAATACACGTTAATAATAATTCGTCTAAGAATATTTTAACTAAGTTGGGCGAATTAGGGGAGGTATGATTTGGTTGGTCCCAAACAATTTTAAAATACAGTTGCTCGTTTTAAAATAATGATGACGGGACGAACTTACTAACATTTAAACCTATATATAATTGTCACTAACGAATGGGAAATAAGGCTAACAATCATACCTTTGTATTTCCCGGTATTCCGACCATTTTGCACTGCCCGTGGTCTATTATCTAGATAGGTCGTTTTCTCATTATGCTTAGTTAAAATAATAAAAATGATATTAAGGTAACATTGAGGTCGCTTATGGCGGCTTTCAGAAAAAAAACCTTTATATTGGATTCGAATACATTCTTTTTGTCCTGAGATTATAGAGTTACAACCGTAGTTATGTCATTTAAAACGCAAAACACGTAACATTTAAAAAAAAGGATTATATAGTAATTCTAAAGGTGTGTACACACTACACATATATCACTACATTTTAAAGCCACATATTTAGACATATAGTTTTTTTTTTAATGGTTATATACACTCGTAATAATCTATTCATGACTGTACCGAGAGGAGGACATGGACGGTCAGCTGGCTTGACTTTTGATAGATAAAATTTCTGGTTTGTCCTTCTAATGGATCGATAAATAAGAGATGTTTCAAAAAACGACGAATGATTACTTTAATTTATTTTTAGGTATTTTTCTAGACATGTATAATTTTATTACTCTAAACATCGAGTATTTTTTTCGTAATTTTAATTAATTGGTTAATGAATGAATGTCTCTTAATTTAATTTTATTAGAGGAATGATAAGTTAATTCGTTTTCCACGTTTTGTAGTTTTAGAATATATATTTTAACAAGTGTCATATTTATTAAAGATTTGCTGTTTTACTGAGTTTTTTATGGAATAAGATGGCAAAGGAACAGACGGACCACCTGATGGTAAGTGGTTACCGTCGCCCTTCGACTAACTGAAACTGAATAATCACAAATGTGTTGTCATTTGCCGAAGTTCTCAGTAGGATTAGTGTTAGGAGGAGGTAGAATTAGTGGGAGAGCTAGGGTTGGGCTTCGGCATCCACTCGGTGACAAATAGTTTGTTATGTATATCTATGGTTTATTTATTTGACAAGTAGATGTGTTTTTATTGTCTTTTTTTGGCAAAATGTAGGTACTGTGGTAGTTTTGAAAAACGAGTTTTGTAAATACTGAGGTGGATGTCCGGTGTGATCATACTCGATAAGATACAGAACGAGCATGTATGTACTCATACATGCTCGTTCTGTATCTTCTTATGTATCTAGCTTAGGTGTGTGCGATATTGCCGACAAAATGCAGGAAAGCAGACTGCGATGGTATGGTCACACTAAGAGGTGACCGCATTATGTTGGCAATTTAGCGCTATAATTATCGACCCTGGTTAAAGATCTAGGGACAGATCGAAGACAAGGTGGGAGGATATAGTGCTGAGGGACATGAAAGTCTGTCGGGCTCTCGCGAAGTGGAGTAGACAGACGAGAAAAGCTGATACCAACATCATGTGGGATGAATAGCTTTGAAGAGAGAGACAGTGGTACTGAGAGTTATAATTTTGTATCTTTAATATTCTTTTTATTATACAATTGATTCAAATGAGTAGGATGGGTTATTTGATGGAAATATTGTGTGGTATTTAATTTATATTTGTTATATAGTTTTTAAAGTTGTACAGTTTATAGTGTATAATATAATTATGTGGTATAGTTTTAAGTATGTATGTATTTTTTTATTAAATAATTTTGAAATACTGATAATTTTTGTATGTTATTTTTGTCATCGGACTTAAAATATTTCATTCTCTCGTTGTCGGAAAATTAGTAGGGTGGAAATATTGGTTTGCAAAAATAACCTAACAAGATGGAAACGTTATATTCGAAATGAACGGCGTCTCTAAGTCTTCGACGTTTTAAGAAGTTCAGTCTGTCTGTATGTTTAGATTTCGTTATAATTGTAGTATCAGGTTAGGCATACTCGCGGTGAAGAGGGGTCCGCTCAGGCGTCGGCGGCGTGCTTCTGTATGGCGCGCGGGTGGGCGTGCGGCGCGTGGTGGTGGCGCTGGTGGGGCTGGTGGGGGGCGTGGGGCGCGTGGGGCTGGTGGGGCTGGTGGGGGGGGCGGCGCTGCGCCAGCGCGGCGAGCAGGGCGCGAGCGGCGGGCGCGCAGATCTCGGCGCCGTCGCGAGCGCCGCTCACGCGCGCGCCGCCCGCCAGCGAGTTCGAGATGTGCCTGACGAAACGTCGACAGCCTTTAGTGATCCACTGCTGGACTTAAACCTCTCCTTGGAAAGGAGAGACCTTCTATACCACGTCGACCAGACGAATCGGTATACGATTTGTTTCAAGTTTTCCTAAGGAAATACGACAACCTATCGATACATTCGATACCCCCACGACCGCAGTAACCGCCATCTTAATTCGACGTTAAACAGCAATAGACAGTTGACATAAATAAATTTCGTTTCCCCAAAAAGAATTTTACCTATGAAATTGCCGTTTTGTATGCAATAAGTGAAAGTACTTATTTTTTCAAACTTTTTTATTTCTGTTATTCGAAGTAATCACCCGTGCAATCGACGCATCTTTGATGCCCTTCTTGTAAAAATCAGCTGGACGGGAGGCAACAAACTCTTCAAAGGCATTTTGTACTACCACTAGGGAATTGAATTTTTTACCCACTAAAAAGTTGTCTAAATTTTAGAAAAAGTAATAATCGGTAGGTACAAGATCTGGTGAGTATGGCGGATGAGGGAGAGCTTCCAACCCCAGCTCTTGCAGCTTAGAGACTGTCTGTTGCGCAGTATGGAGTCGCGCGTTGTCGTGAAGGAGCAGTGGGGACGACCGATTGACCAAAGCTGGTTGCTTGGTACTCACCAGACCTTGCACCTATCGACTATTATTTTTTCCAAAATTTACTTTCAATTATTGCATACAAAACGGCAATTTCATAGGTAAAGACCTAATGTAATAATAATGTTTCGAATATCTGACACACAAAGCCATCTAGTTTCAAACTAAACAAAGCTTGATTGACTAATAAAATACTTACATATCCAAATAAAATACACCCATATTAGACATAGAAAACACCAAAACAAAAATTTGCAGTTCATACAAAGATTTAATCCGACCTGGGAATCGAACCCGAGACCTCAGCACAGCAATCCATACGCTACCACTGCGGCACCGAAGCAAAACAATAGTTAAAAGCGAATATTACAATAAAAAGCCATGCTTCAACGTTAATAAACCAACTCGATTAGTGATAAATTTAAAAAAAACTAAATATTTTTTTAAATAGAATAATTGTAATTGGTATGTACATAAACTAAACTTATAATTCTTATAACTTAACCGAATGAAACCATACTTATAATTAAAACGCTCACCTGATCATATGGTATGAGATGTGGTTGGTGGAGAGCCACTCCAGCGCCCCACTGGTGTCCACCAGCGCGGCGCTACCCACAAACTTGGATGCGCTCGCGCACGAGAAGAACACTACCACGCGACCTCCCTCCTGACAAAAACACCAAGTACATTAACACCATTTCAACCACCGGTTTCTAACCTAAAGGATTAAAGTATTGTTTTCGAAAGATAAAAACAATGCTTTTTCTTATGAAACCCTTTAGTCTTTTTTAACCTACCTCTAAGAAAAGAGGTTAATGCGTTTTTTTATTGTTTATTATTCTCGGATCTTCATTATGTAGGGACCGATTTGGAAAAATATTTTTTATTTGGAATTCTTTGAAGAAAAAAGTACTAATTAAGTCATCGTGATTATTTAAATGAAGAATTTAAAAATTAAAGCCGGTGATTTTTTTTAAAATAATTATTTATGTATGCAAAAGTTCATAATAGTCGTTTAAGTAATTAAGGCATAAGGGCGTATCAAATACATTCTGCTGAAACATACCTGTTTTATTTTCTGCAATTTCTTCGCAGTTCCTTGCGTGAAAGGGTACGTCCCTGTGTTTTGCGCTACTTCAACGCTATGCGTATCGTCCGCCTTAGCCACGAAGTACCTAACGTTGCCTTCGCCACTATCCCCTCCATACTTCTCAATGTTCGCTAGCAGGGTCTTACCGTTCGGCGACATAGGGCTTTTAGGACCGCTATATGACGGAGAAAACCCTTGAGGGACGTCATTTCTCCATCCCCCAGGTCTACCTTGGCCGTTTCTGTACCCATACGCATTCTGGTAGTAATTCCCTCCAGCGAAATCGTTTTGATTGTATTGCTGGTAATATTTGTTGTCGTGACGGTATTGCTCGTCGTTATCAAACCGAGAGCGCCAGTTCGGAGAGTCTACAGTTAAGGGCTTTGGCCGTTGGCCGATACCGATAGGCTGATTTAATCCCACATTCTTCTCCTCAGCCCCTAACACGTGTACAACAGTACTAAGTATCTGTTCATCTAACGGTGTCATTGGTTTAGCAGGATTCGACATTCTACGGATGACGAGCGCACATAGTTTCTGTCTGAGGTAGAACACGCTAATGGCATCTGATGCATCTGCTGTAAAAGCCATCCAGTCGTCCAGAGTCAAGACTGCCGTGTCAGGCGAGGAGTTGTTCTCGTCGGCCTCGCTGTCCGAGTCGCTCGACAAGCCTGGAGGGTTGGCACGCTGAGTCAAGGCTCCCAGAGGCAGTCGCAATGGACCACCGAATAACGCCACTGTTAATGGAGTAACGAGAGTATTGCAACGAATGAAACAGAATCTTCCTGTTCTAGAAATTTCTTCAAACACTACCCAGTCTGTAGGTAGACTCTGAACGAATTTTTGGGATCCTGTCAGACTTCCACCTTGGTGTAGTGTTGAACTAGGATGGAAAGCAACTTTAACTTCCTTAGATGTCCTTAGCGAACAGGAATCCCTGTCGACACGGGCTATGGACGGGTATAACCCACTTACTAATACAGCTTTGACAACATGCCACTTTTCAGAGTTCAAATTGACATCCTTGATGTCTCCGGAACCTCGGGCTTTGACTAAACACAAGGCTCTGAGCTGAGCGAGTAACTGAGATCTGTAGCCAACAATCATCTCCATGGTAGCACCACATATTAAGTTCTTGGCACAAAATGCACGTTCTGTACCATTGGCTCTCACAGATTGCCAAGCTTGGAAAGCTCTCAGTAACGCCATATGGTCAGAAAAGCTGTCTGCAGCAAAATCTTTCCTTGCAACACTCCCACGCTTTCTATTCTCAGGGTTCAAAGATATCTGGAACGGTTCTTTATTAGCTAAACTGCATACGATAGTCAATATGGGGTCCAAGCACTTCATAACACATGCGTATAACAACATTTTACCTAACTTTGGTTCTACAGTAAGGTCTAGGAGATGCTGCCCGATTTCCGTCAAATCTTCCATCGGAGTTAACGCTCCAATTGTTTTAAGTAAAGACACAGCATTCCTTACTGCCAAAAACGACGGTGGCTCTAGAGCTTTCGATAAGAAATCGGCTATAGGGGTATTGCCCGGCGCTAGCAACTTCGTATGTAAACACATTTCTTGTAAAGGTACTCGAAGAATTTCTGGTACGGAGTTGAGCGGGAGTGTCTTGAACCGTCGGCTTGAGCACATGTGGAAGCAATGTCCGGGCTTGGTCCTCCCGGCTCGCCCTGCCCTCTGCTGGCAGCACGCCCTGGACGTCCACACACATTGTAGGGAACAAACCCCACCATTCGATTCATAATACTTCTCTTTAACTTTACACGAGTCGACTACGTACACCACATCGTCAATCGTAATCGACGTCTCCGCTATATTCGTGGATATTATAATCTTTCTGGCATTAGGCAGGGGATTGAATACTTTCTTTTGGTCCAATGTTTGCATATTACTATGTAAAGTGAATATTTGATATTTGAGTACATTCATCTCCGAGCATGATTGTATCATGTCCCTCAAGGTAACTATGTCGTCATATCCCGGCAGAAATATGAGAATACTGCCCTTGGGTAAGTTCACGTGTATATGTTTAATGAGAGCTAACATGAGATCGTGGTCTATGAGCTCCTCGGAAATAGAGTGGTGATATACATCTAGAAGGAAATTATCTGTGGATGCATCGTCTTCTACATTCTCTTTGGATTCCTCTGACAGGTTGAATGTGGCAAGTAATTTGGTACATTCCGCGTGGTTATTCTCTACGGCGTAATCGTATGCCGTTTTGCCGTTTTTGTCCTTTGCAGTTGGGTCGGCACCTATAAAACAAATCGGAATTTTTAAGACAAGTAAACTATTGTTTTGACACAATATGTAGTCAATATGAACTTTATTGGCTAGGTAACATATTTTAAAGACTAGTTACTTACTAACACAAAAGTACATAGCTAGTTTTGAATCGTAGGCAGCTACGACATATACCTACTTATGTCTGAGTATTTTCTTTTCCTATCGACACACGAGTCCAAACCTTGCTGTTGCAAAACTTATAGGTGGTCTTCATGTTACTAACTAAATATTACTCTTCCTCGATTTTTTAGGTTTTCAGAATAAGGCTAGTTATAAATACATTTGTAAGAGAATATATATTAAAAACCATAAGCGTGTATCACAGAACTTTGGTGAGAGGTTATGCTTTGAAAAACTAAAAAATAATTCAATTCAATTCACGCCTGTTATTATGTGTAAAACTCAACTCAAACTCAGCTCAACAAGGTCAGCTCGGTAGCATTTAGCTCATAACATATAGTCTCATTCATTGGATTACACATAAAATTAAAAAACAAATAGATTACACACACAGGGAACACGGGGTCAAGCTGCCTGTATGTGGAAGCGATACAGGCAACGAGAGAGAAGGATGCCTGATATTTCCCTCTGTCTCCGTTTAGTTAAGCTGTGATTGGCTACTTATTAACCCCTTCTATTCTCAAGCCAGCACAGAGCTCGTCTAGAAAGAGATAGAGGGGTCTATCTGTTATCCATCTCTTTCGTTGCCTATATTGTAAGATCGGGGCTCTCGTTTCCTCTAGGTAATATATCTATGGTTACAAATCTCTATTATTTCTCCGTAATTTTATTCGTCGTTTCATTAATTCATTTAAAAATGATAAGGGTAGCTTCGAAACGTTCTGATTCATTCGTTCGTTCATTCATTCACGTACTAATTTACCAAAAATTGTTAGTGATCTGTGATAAGTTGTGGATTCTCTCGTCGATCAGTCGGTCGGTTCAGTGGTGGAGGGATAGAGGTGGTGAGGTAGAGAGTGGTTGGTTACCGATCTGCAGCATCTGCGCGACGGTCTCGGCGAGTCCCTTGGCGGCGGCGGCCATGAGCCCCGTGAGCTGCGAGCGCGAGTGCTGGCAGGTCACCGGCACACCCTCCGAGATGTACATGTACAGGATCTGCGTGAACGAGTCCTGCCAACACACGACGAATACCTTCATTGGATGCTTATCTAATACTAATTGTATTTCATATTTATTACAAAAAAAATAGTACAGATACTGTAGCAAAGGGAAAAGTTACTAAAGTTGTAGAAAATAATAAATAAACAATATTACAGGACATCTAACATACAACGCCATCTAGTTTCAAACTAAGAAGAGCTTGTACTATGAAAGCTAGATTGACTGATAGAATACCTATTCCTGTATTTATTTTTTTGTAAATACTTAAAAAACACTGAAACAAACATTTGCAAATCATACAAACATTTGGTCCAACCCGGGAATCGAAACCGAGACCCCAGCACAGCAGTCGCATTCGCTACCACTGCACTACCGAGATACATATTTTTATATCAGTATATAATAATAGCATTATTATATTTTATTGTAATAATGATACCATGATATAAACCAGGTATACGGTGATGCACCAGGGACTTCCTTTTTAGGGTATACCTGGTTCCCCGGCTATTAGTACCCGAGACGGCATACGGTTTTAGTCGGTTCGAGTTCGACATGCCACCGATAGGTGGTATCCGAGGGGATTTCCGCACGACAAAAAAAAAGGTATACAGTGATAGCTCCCCTTAATAATACAGTTAAAAATGTCAAAAAGGACTATTTACCAACGTTCCTTCGTTGATACACTCGTCGAGGAACTCATCCATATCTGCCTGTAGGGCTGGGTCCAACGCGTTCTCCTTCTCTTGACTTATATCCTTACTGCTGGAGCTGCCATCGTCTTGTTTTTGACCTGGCATCAGAGAGATAAAAATATATTATATAGACAAAAACCAGGTTTTCTTCTATATTTCTTCAGCGGTAACCTAGTGGTTAAGGCATTGGTCTTGCGATCAAAAGGTTCCTAAACGAATCCTAACCAGTACACTACCGACGTGAACTCACTCCTAAGACAAGCGATTTAGCTAACGGAGGAGTTAACGGGTATACTAGTAATTTCGGTTATTGGTGGACCTTTTAAAAAAAAAAAAAACATTATTGTATGACTTGTATGACCATACTACCATTTCTAGAGAGAGAAGTATTTGGGAAAACGTAAGGAAAAGGCATTATTGAAAGAGATAAATGGTGGTGGGGTGATGAGGTACAGAAAGGTCTAAAAGAAAAGAATGGTGTCTTTGGTGAAGTCATTTTTGGTAGGCGATCCTAATCAACAAATAAATAAAAAAAAAATTACATTTATGATTTATACGAAAAAAATAAGTTTAAAAATATAATACATTCTAATTAAAGTTCTGAAACTGATTAGTTACTATATAAAACTTCCCACTATCATCACCTTGCCTGGTCGGAGGAAAAAAAAGTCACCTCCTCAAGGAAAAAGATCCGTTTAAGACCGAAGTAGAAGTATTTTTTCTGATTCTTTTCCACCCCCAGGAACAAATATCCGGCACATCAGTGGTACTGATATGCTACTTACCTTCCAACTGACTCCAATAGCTGTGTCCTGTTTTAAGTTTGTGTTTAAGTTCTTTCTGCACTTGGTTCATCTTAGCGTTCCTGTACTGGGTGATCTTGAGCACGTCCTCGAGGTAGTAGCGCTGCACCTCGTATAGGCGACCAGGGATTGTGATCACTGGACAATTGTTGAAATACCTGCACCATATACATATTTAAGTAATGATATCTAAAGACATCTTTCTTAGGTTTACTGATGTGAAACGTCTAATGCTCCGCATTCCGTAGACGTTTCACAGATCGGTTGTTAACGTGACGACGCGTCGCCACGCTATTAGATAGTATTATGTAACATGCGCAAGTGACTATGACTTCCACGCTGATTTTCAAAGTAAGATTATACTCATTATTTTATATTTGCCTGATGTCCCACGACGGCTCAATATTTTTTTATATTTTGGAGCGAGTTCATAACTCAGAGTTCACTAAAATAGTCAAATGCACGGATGGCGTAGTGGTTTAAGCGGTCGCCACGGCCGCTCACTACTACGCTGAGTGTTGTGGGTCCGATCCCCACATGGGACGACACTTTGTGTGATCCACAAATTGTTGTTCTGATTCTGGGTGTTCTTTGTGTCCGTTTCATATATGTTTGTAAAGTACCCCGCAACACAGGATATATTCCTAATGCGAGAGTAGTCTATTAAAAAAAAACCTTTCAAGCCATTTCATACAAAACAATTCATACAAGGTACTGTGGACAAGTCTCACTTCACATCATCGTTTCTGATTACTTGGTTTTAGATCACATAGATGCACAATTTCTATGTACATGGTTCGTTTCATCATTTACAAAAAGCGTAACACGAGTTATGCTCTAGAAGCAACCATACCTTGAGAATATGAGCGTGTCCATGGTGGCGGACATGAGGACGAGCTTGAGCTCCTTGAACCGCGGCAGCGCGTCGCGCAGCGAGATGAGCAGGAAGTCGCTGAACTTGTCGCGCTCGTGGACCTCGTCCACGAAGATGTGTGTCACGCCTGCCACACAACACTCTATACTGACCATCTAACCACCAGTGCACCCTCATAAGGAGACACCAGAACGATTATAACATCACATAGTTATGTCCTTCAAAAAATTTTTCTCCAGAGGACAAGGTGTATTGAGTAGAAATTAATTAAAGTAGAAGTATAGTTAAATAAATACAAGGTATTACCTATGAAATTGGAGATTTGTATGAATTTTTTATTAATTTAATATAAAAAAAATGGTTATTTTTTTGTTTTAGCTAATCAAAGCACTGACATAAATTATTTATACAATTTTGCCATTTCGATGGCAGTTTGTTTAACCTTTTACTGTAGAAGTCTGCTGGACGGGAGGCGATAAGTCAGCGAACACGTTTTGTACGGCCTCTCGGGTGTTAAATTTTTTCCCACTTAAAAAATTGACTAAATTTTGATAAAGTAGAATTCTGTTGGGGCAAAGTCTGGTGAGTACGATGGGTGGGACAAAGAGCTTCCAGCTGTAACTCTTGTAGCGTTGTCGTGGAAAAGCAATTGGGAAGAGCGATTCACCAGTCATGGTTGTAGAATTGCGAACTTTTTCATCATCAATTCTTGGCAATAGACATCTACCATCGCTGTTGTAAAAATCACTAAAATAATGGTACAGTGTCATCTGTTAGATGTTTCGTAATAATACACACCAGTAAGCGAAGTGTCTCCCGCCATGAGTGTCCGGAGCAGTACTCCGTTGGTGCAGTAGGTGAGCACGGTGCGAGGACTCACGCGTGACTCGAGGCGGATCTGGTAGCCGATAGACTGGCCTATCTTTTCCATACGCTCGTACGCCACCTAATACAGTAAAATAGTATTTATCGTATTTTCAAAACAATTTGATTCTAGGAGGATTTAAATACTTTTTTACTATTAACTAGTTTTTTAATAATATACCCCTTTTTTTCTAAGTATTACAAAAAAGGAAATGCATTGTCTATTGAATCTCAAAACACTTGTATTGGCAAAATGGAGTCAAGTCAGAGGAATGACGTCACACGTTTGTAAATCGGAATTGGAGAGCTAAGTCAAACACAAGCATTGACAGAAGAGGTTAAACATGAGATGCGATAGGAAATTTGGCCAATCAAAATAGTTTAGTTAGATTGTTCTAGACTGTCGAAAAATATTGTTGCTTTAATGTTGCTATTAAGAATATGGAGTGTCACCACTTCTATTCATCCCGCGGGTATCCTACCAGCCGATTAAGGGGGCACACTACGTATGAAAACGGCACTGTAAAGAGAAGGAACACTTGAAACAAACCTTATACCAACCTGTCTGGCCAGCATGGTATAGTAGGCCAAAACCTCCTTTCTAAGGAGAGGCCTATGTCCAGCAGTGGACTACTAAAGGCTGTTGATGATGACGATAATAGGCTTGTGTCCACTAATAACAAATTGCTTGGTTTATAGTTTCAAATTATAAATGATGACATAGAAAAAAAATCTGTCTATTTCTCATAAAAGTTAAAGCTTATAAATATTTAAAAAAAAAATCGTACAAAATAGGCATTAAGTCACGTGACAGCGAACACCAATCAGAAAGTGTTACGTCACGCCACGCAAAACATAATTGTCGTTGTTGACGTTTTCATACAACAGAGCAGGTTACTCCTTATTCGTTATTCATTTTTTTTAAAACAGTTGACACTGGACAGTTTTATTTCGCAGACTGTGACATCATTCAAGACACCATGACACTATTCAGTGTTTTCGAAGAAAATTTAAATTGTTTTTTTTTTAAATACAAAATACGTAATGTAAATATTGCTTTTTCTTTAAAATATTTTTTTGGGATAAAATAGATATTAAAGTAGTAATTAACCAAGTTTTCAAATTGAGTCAACTAGCCTATTCTTAAACATCCACTTACTCTTTCGGCGACAGAAACTGCCGATATCCTCCTAGGTTGTGTGCAGTAAATCCTGGCAGGCTGTTTGTGCTCCTGGCAATGGTCAAGCACTAGTTGTGGCAGCTGCGTTGTCTTCCCGCATCCAGTAGCGCCGGCTACAATAATCACCTATTAAAAAAACATTACATTATCTTAGGTTCAGTAGGCAGATTGTCACTGTAAAAAATTGGTTGCCTGTAAAGTCGGTATACGGGCGAAAGTTTTACGTGACAACGACTATGTCTGTCTCTCTCGCTCTTAGGCGGGCTAACCATGCCCGATTGGAAGGGACGCGTGCCTCTCACTCGCTCTCATTGTGAGCGCATAACGTGAGCGGAGCGTAACGCAGTTTCTTGAAGTGTCACCCGGCAAACCAATTTATAAGACGTTGTCACGTCAAAAAATTATAATTTGTAAATCTTTGGTAAAATATATATACAAAAAAAACATGTATCAGCGCCATCTAACGAAAGCAATTGAACTACTTACTTAGTAGTGATCATACATCGCGCAAAGAAAGTTTTTGTGTCGTGCTCTGCCGCAGCGCCACTATAAGACATACCGAAAGATTATATCTTAAAATGATGTTCATCAAACGTAAATAATGTACTTATGCTGTTATGGCTGTACGTACACTAAGTAACAAATAAAATAGTATTGAAAAAGAAACGTTTCGCTAACACAAAATAACAAGATGTTTTGAAATGAAAATGAAAGTAAAGTCAAAATAATCAACACCACATCTTAATAATGATATTTTACAACACGTATGCAATAAACAGTATTCCTACATCAGTTTTCATAATAGAACAGTAGCTTTTTTTATCTGTCCTGAGTACGTGTTTTAAGTGGCTCTGCTAGGGAGTAGGCTCCGCAGCAGAGCCACAATCGCTGCTTATTATTTTGTTACATAGTGTACGTACAGCGATAACGGCATAAGTATACTCGTAGTATGCACGTTTCAGATACATCGTTTTAAGATATAATTGATCGGTATCTATTGTGGTTGCTCTACGGCAGAGCATGTCACAAGTTTTTGTGCTGTTGCTTACAATTATACACTATAACAACACCTACCCTCTACTAGGCATGTAAATCTTTTTTTTTACGTGTGGGAGCCCCCTCAAGTCATCACCCCACCGGGGTTTACGGCGGAGTAGTGTGATTAAAACCACACGGTGTGTTGTTGTTATTAAGACACCCGGACAGCCACACTTTTTCCACATATTACAACCCAGTTCTTCAATAGTACTCTATTAGTGAATAATCTTACCTGATTGTGCGTAATAGCATTAAGCAGATCTTGTCTCTGCTCATAAACTGGCAACTTCTCACGAAACTTCAGCAGGTCTGCGTTGTAAGAGGTGTTGGGTACCTTGTATAAACAAAATAAGCTCAGTTTTTCTTATTGGGCAGTTAGGATTTCCCAAAGGTATAATATTATGTAGAAAAATCCAAGGATGGTTGAATGCTTGTGCGACTTAATTGGCATAAAATTTTAGGTATATTAAAATCAAATGTTTTTATTTTATATCAGCTGGTAATAAAACCAACATTAAATTCACTACTAAATGTTTTTATATTTTGTATCTGTACTTATTTAGCTTCATATTCTTAACCATACACAGGATATATTCCTAATGCGGGCGTTGTATTGTAAAAATTGTTTCGTGTTTCTAATTTCCCTTTTTCATTTCTCAAAATGACGAACTTCCATACAATCATACAACCAGTTCATCACTAATTTTACCCCCCGTACGGAGTGCAAGTTACAAAAATCCTTTCATAATGGGTGCTTACAACAGAAAAAGCATTAACTATTTTTTTTTTAAGTTTGTAGCCCCAGCCCCAGCTCTGAGTTAATGAATCAGTCTTTTAGTCAGAGCAAGTAATTTTATATGTATAAATTAAAAGATTTTTAATAAGCTTCTATTCTACCTGTGCAACTCCATTGTTCAACTGTCCCATAGTCTTATGTGCCATTTGTGGGCTTCTTTCCTTCTCTGGACAGCTACTGAGATCGTCCTTCTCTTTACTGGTGATTGGAAATGTATTGCACAACTCGGCAATGCTGCACCGCATGTTGGAATCCAAAATGAATTTGGCATCATTTTGAATTATTGTGGAACCAATGCGTTTATATATTGTTAAGTACCGGTTCACTCCTAAAAATATTAAAATAGAAGTGAAAAGCCTGTGTTGCCAAAACTCACTTACATCACATACATACACTGTCAAATGTAAAGGTAGGTAAGTCCGTAGGTATCGCACAAAAGTAATAACTACATGTGTATTCCGTACAAACAGTCTATGCATAATAACACAAGTTGGCGGCCGGAGGGTAGGCCCCGCGCGCTTCGGCTGTTTGATTAATTACATTGCAATTTTTGACCATATGCGGTATTTATTCATTTATTTTCGTGAAATGTTCTGTTTACTCATTGTGATATCATTTTTAACCAGGAAAAATAGAAAATTATAAAAAAAGTGATGAAAATTTCAATGATTTTCGACTTAGAATCATGGTCTGAATACACTATTTCTGTATTCGTTACGATGTCCCTTACACCCGTTTATACTCGTATATATATATATATATGTATGCGTATAATATATATCTATTTACAAAAAAAGTATAAAATTTTCTCAGTCAATCTGGCTTTCATAGTACAAGCTCTGCTTAATTTGAAACTAGATGGCGTTATGTGTTGATGTCCAAAAATATTATATTATATTATTATAATCTTAGCCAAACTATCTCTGTGGTACAAACTATACTGCCTAATGCTGCAACCCTGTTGCAAGGGCTGTGGCCACAGGCTGACTCATTTAAAGGTATGTAGTACCTGTTATGTGATCATGTTAATTCCTATATATACTCACAAGAATTTACTTTTGCCCCGTGTATGAAAGTATACATGATAGAATGCAAAAGTGTATAAGTGTATAAAGTTGTATAATATAGCGGACCCGGCAAACATTGTTCTGCCACATAAATTATGTAGATAAAAAAAATAAGTATGTACAACCTATTGTCATACCTACATTATATATAAACAAAATTACATTATCAATCCTTTAAAAAAAAGTTGAACCAATAATAACAAAGAGCACTAAATACCTAGCAGCAATCACGATTGATTTGCTGTAATTTTTTGAAGAGTTTCGTTGTCTCCAAAACTCATCAATAGATCTATATGCAATTTAAATGGGAACATTTCAGAATAAACGCTTTTTAAACTTGTTTTTTTTTTTACAAACAAGGAATAAACAGTTACGTACAAGGAATTTATTTTTAACAGTTATTTTTTATTTATTTGTTTGCATCTAAATAGGTAACCACTCTCACAGGACAAACATACAACAAACAAAAGACAGATATTATTAGACATTTGACACAAATAAATAACTCACTATAAATTTACAAATCAGTAGGTCAGTACTTAATGAACCATGAGTTTGTGTACCTAGGTCCTAGTATTAAGGAGCAATATTTCTTCCTTTGCATGTATATGTCTTCATAACTAGTTATTTTTTCCTCCTCCTCAACTGGTTACGAATCATCCTTTTATATAGCGAATGAAGGGAAGATACCAGTCAATGAGCATCATACATGATTGAAAATTAAAAATAGATTTTGCTTTTAAGAAAAGAATCAACACTTTGTACTCACTAAAACTTCTACAACTGTATTAAGTGATTGGATTCTGTTCTAAGCTATACTTTAACCTATTGATACAATATCTTTCATTACACATGGTGTAAAAATGCTAATAAAACACTCCCAATGAGATTATTGTCCATGCTTTTTTGGAATATAGATTGCACAATTAATGTTAAGAGGGGTGACATGATTTTGAAGTATCTTATTAGAACAAAAAAAAAATTCGTTGTTAAACTCATAGGCATACTGTGTAATTATTACAATGAAGTTTTCTGATATTGTTTATGACTTTTATAAAATCAGGTATCTGGGACATAAAATGCATGGTCTTACAATATGTTCTGCATTACATTTCTTATTTTTTTAATATATTGACAAACAATTGTGCAACAAAATATGCAATTTCGACCAAATTATGTACCTGTGCTTATGTTAAAAAATAGTATGTAGTTAAAATGAAATCAACACAAAATCATTACAATAACAAACAATAAAAATTCAACATCAACATACCTTTCCCGCGCGATTTCGACTTGAGACCTAACTTAGCCACAGTTTCATGAATAAAACCACGCTCCTGAGCTGATAGGAATGTAGGGAATTTCAGCTCTGTTTCATTTTCGTCACTAATAAATTTATCCAACTGGATCTTCAGTGCTATACTCACAGATTCAGCGATCGGAAAATGTTTATTACCAGCGTGGCGTTTACCTTTCTTAGAACTCATTTCTATGTTATTAAAATACTTAAAATATCTACATGAAATATATACCTATGATATTGTTTACATAAGCAAATCACTATCAATAATACAATTGCGATCGGCGAAAATGAACCAAATCCAGCTATTGCATTCTACCCAATCTTCAATTTCCGAATAGTGGTGTACCAACAATCCATATTTATTAAGAAAAATTAAAAGGAAAGTCAAAACATAAAAAAAATAGTACGAGTATAGATTTGAATTCCGTTGAATAAAATTATTGACTTTTAAGACAAAGTTAATGCCTCTATTAAATTTTAAGCTGAACTTAGTGTAAAAATATTATTTTTAGTAGAAACTTAGGTAAAAAAAAAAGATTTCTTACAATCAACTACTAGTATTACTACTAGTTGAAAATATGGATCTTAAAGACCTCTGAGCAAATTGATTGATTAGTTAGTTAATTAGTTAGTTAGATTGAGCTTTATCCAATATTAGACGGATTTCTAGTATGATAGTGACAAAAAATGGTCAGAAGACCGGGATTAAATCTTTCAGTGGGTTTAAGCCCCTTTATTCCCTCCCACAGGGTTTTTAGTCAGGTGTTTATTGTTTTTCCTATTGTAATAGCCGTAAATTGTAATATCTATGAAAAAACTACTATGTACTCTTTTCTACTCTCATATCTATTTGTTTAATTCTTATTATCTGAAACTGGCTATAGTGGACGGATTATAAAGCAAAACAATGCTTCTGGAGTAAAGAATAAACAGTTTAGTAAGACAACTCCTCAGGGTAGTTCATTCTCACCAGGGACTTCCTTTCTAGGGTATACCTGGTTCCCCGGCTATTAGTACCCGAGACGGCGTGCAGTTTTAGTCGGTTCGAGTCCGACATGCCACATACAGGTGGTATCCGAGGGGATTTTCGCACGAAAAAAAAAAAAAAAAGGGTAAGTTCATTCAGCCGGAAATAAAAGAAACAAGCATTAAATAAACATTGATCTACCTCGTTTCTTAAAATAGTTTTAAAGTAAGCTGCTATGGCTATGGAAGCATCTAATCAATGCTAGATTATAAAACACTGAGATTTCGAAACAAGTGCAATCCACCCAACAAAAATAAAACTTCAATAAGTTACTACGTGATCCATTCAAAAGGTAATAATTGACACATTTAATGTCCCGAAGTGATAGACCAAAACTAAAACCAAACAGGTTTTTATTTGAAGTTTTTAGGTTGATAATAGTTAAAAAACATGCCATTTGGGTTTAAACCCGTTTCTTCCCAAGAAACACGGTTTAAACCCATGTTAACCCAATGGGTTTAAACATTGGATTAACATCTATAAAAGTGAAAGTTATTGTTACTAAACACTTTCGGTTGTCGCAATATAAAGCCTACGGCTACTTATTTCTTGTTGTAACATTCATCAAGACATTTAATTCATCCACATATACATGATATGCGAAAAAAATTTAGTCGAGTCCATGTCATAGCGAATGCCAACTAAAAGTTGCATTGACAGAAACGAAGCCTTTGGACTTATGCATTATACACACCGTTCTCTGCACTCTTTTATCAACTAATTAATTTAATTAAACATCTTGTCAAACTTGACAGTTCAAAAAGATATATAATTAAAATAATTTAGTTGATTGACAGTAGAACAAAATGTTTAAATTAATTGGCTAAGACCAAAAATAAGTAATTGTCTATGGTTATAACGACACTAGAAGACCCGCTCTCCAAACGCTTGCTACATTATACTAATCTGTGCTCATAACTTATCAATTGTTGTGTAATCCACCAACTTATGGCAACACTGGCATGGCAAGTGTCAAAATAATATCAGCGGATAGCCCCGAAGACACGTGAAGAAACTGTTGTGTTATTACTATATGTTAGGCGAGATCATTTATTTATCTCATGAGTAGAGTTTAGTATTTTTATACAAGATGCCTAAGAACATAAAACATTTAGTTGCAGACACTACAGCATTCATTAAAGCAGCTGGCTTACAAGATATCGCCGAAAATGTCTATACGATTCAAGAGGTTATCGACGAAATTACAAACGACAGACAACGTAAGAAACTCGTGGTTCTCCCTTACGATTTAGTCGTCAAAGATGTATTTACGGAAAACATCAAATTTATTACGGAGTTTTCACAAAAGACTGGTGACTATCGAAGCCTCTCTGCAATAGATATCAAAGTGATGGCATTGACATACCAACTGGAGAAAGAAAAGCTCGGGACTGCTCACTTGAAAACTGCACCGACCACGCAGAAAACTGTAAAAGTGACTGGTGTGCCCAGCCATAATAAAAGTTCAAACGATAACTCTGAAGAAAGAGAAAGTCCTGATGAAAATTCCAGTAATATTATTAATAAACCAGGAGCGGGTTTAGAAAATACTGTCACAACTAAAAATTCTATAGAAAAAGAAACTGAATTCAATTTAAATTCAGAAACAGAACTTCCTGTAGTTGAAAACACAGATAATGGCAATGTTAGTGATGATGATGCTATTATAGAACAGATAAAAAATATTGATCTAAAAGATGAACAGGTGGATGAGCTTATGGTTAAAGTTTCTGATGAGGAAGAAGAATCAGCCAATGAAGAAGACTCGGACAGTGATGGTGGTGAATGGATAACTCCTGGAAACTTAGCATCAAAGAAAAAGGAAATGGAACTGGGAGACTTTGAAGAAAAAGCTGTAGAAGTAGCTTGCATGACATCAGATTTTGCCATGCAAAATGTTCTTAAGCAAATAGGGTTAAATGTAACTTCAGTAGATGGACGAATCATCAAACAACTCCGGACATTTATTTTTCGTTGCACAACCTGTTTTAAAACCACAAGTGTAATGACAAAATTGTTCTGCCCAAAATGTGGCCACTCTACACTCAAAAAGGTTGCTGTAAGCATTGATGAGGAAGGTAATCAGCATATTCACATAAACGGTCGAAAACCTTTAACAGCTAAAGGTAAAAAGTTTAGTTTACCAACTCCTCGGGGAGGTCAGCACTTCCAGTACCCACTGCTTACAGAGGACCAGCATTTCCATAAGAGATTTGCTACTAAAACAGCTAGAGCTAAAACAAATGCACTAGACCCAGATTACACAGCTGGATTCTCACCATTTGCAGTGAGAGATTTGAATTCCAGATCAGCCATTTTAGGTGTAAGGGCTCATAAGGAAGATGTCAAATACTGGCTTAAAAATTATTCTAAAGGAAAGAAGAAGTAAACCTTTATGCTTTATGATCTGTAAATAAGGTTCTATGTTATTTAATAAAGCTATTATATGCATAAAAAATTTATTCTTCTTATTTCTATCATGCAATGTTAGAAATGTGCCCTTATACATATAACAACAATATTATAATATAACAAATTTTAATGTTTACAGACTTTCTTATCAATGAACTTGAAAACTGATTCCATGCATGAATACGACGTCATTTCATGTTTTTCATGACCTGAAAAAATAGTATTGTGTTAGTAAATATAGCTGATAGAATGTCATGGTTTATTTATAGTAAAAATAATTCTTATTAATCTTCTGGTGCCAGATGTTAGTGATCAGTTGGCTACTGGAAGGATAATTATCAACAGCCTTTAACAGTCCACTGCTGGACATAGAGCCTCTTATTAGAAAGGAGGTTCAGGTTTTTTCTTATGAAATAGTCAGATCAATTACTTTCTTTATATTATAAAGAATACATATTCTTTCAGAAATCTATTCTTCTTTGAAACAGACCAGTGACTATAAATGCTGTTCTGCTAAGTAACAAAAAAAAATGGCTAGTTCTATAGGAAATGTTATACTTTCATAGCATTTGCAATATTTTAAAGAACCAACTTATTTGAAAGATGATAAAAATATTAATTACTTTCCATATTCTATAAAGAAATGGTAATGTAGGTAAAACTGTCGTTCCAAAATTGTTTTAAGAATTCTTCATTAGGAAGTAATAGTAGGTACTGTAATATTCCTTACATAACCAGAAGACTAGGGTCTGTTGTCCTAACTGCCCTTAAACTCAACTGTTAAGTCCAACTCAGATAGTGACCATTACTACTCTCATAGGTACCTTAAGCTGGTTGATAATTTAGATGATGATGTACTGCTTACCTGCTGAAACCCTTGGAATATCAAATTCTGGTGTAGTCAGTGGTGTGTCAAGTGGTGACTGACTTGATATCCAATTTATTGCCACCTGTAATACAACAAGATATTCTTGGTAAATATCCTCAATTACATGTTGTGCATTTCGAAAAACTGATCAATCCCATTAGAGGTTATTTGATTAGGGAAACCACTCCCTTGAAAATTTACAAACCTTTCTTTTAAATTGTAAATTTGCTGATAATTGTTTGCGCTACTAAGTAATTGTACAGTATAATGTGAATGTTTATCCTCAGTAATATTGTAGCCACATTAGTCTATACGATTAGGGCCTACACGCTACGAGGGGCGGCTGAAAATTTCGCGGCCTAGGGTATTTCAACAAGGACGAGAGAGCTGTGAAGACGACCCTCGCCCGGGCCGCCCTGTCACCGTACTGACCGAACGTCCGAGAAAACGTCCAAGAAGTCGAAAAATACATTCTGGCCAACCGAAGAATTAAATTGTGGCAGATTGCTGAAGAATTGCAGATTAGCAAAGAACGAGTTGAAGAAATTTGACATGAATATTTGAATATGAGAAAAATTAGCGCGCGTTGTGTACCGAAAATGCTCACACCGCTCGACAAGCAACGTCGACTCGCAAGTTGCAAAGATTTTTTGGAGCTAGTCGGCGATAACAAGGACGACTTTTGGCAACGGATACTCACCGTAGATGAAACATGGATACGCCAATATGATCCGGAGTCCAAACAAGAGTCCATGCAATGGATATTAAAAAGAGAAAGGCCGTCGAAAAAATTTAAGGTGGAAAAGTCGGCGTCCAAGCTAATGGCGACTGTTTTCTGGGATAGCGAGGGCATTTTCCTTTTCGACTACCTACCCAGGGGAACTACGATGAACTGCCAAAATTACACCAATTAATTGACTATTGTACAGAAACGGTTCGCGAGGCTATTGTACGGAAACGACGTAGGAAACTGACGCGCGGAGTTGTCTTTCTTTAAGACAACGCACCCGTTCACACCGCACATGTTGCGAGGCAAGCCCTGAAAGACAAGGCGTTCTCAGAGATTGACCACCCTCCTTATAGCCCAGACCTAGCACCTAGCGATTTTTCCCTGTTTTCCAATTTGAAGAAGGACCTACGGGGACAGATATTTGCAGATGACAACGAAATGAAAGCTGCGGTTGATCGTCATTTTGCAGAGAAAGATACAGAATATTTTTTGGGTGGGTTAAAGGCATTGTATGCGAGATGTGAGAAATGTATTTCACTTGAAGGAGATTAAATTGAAGAATAAAAAATAGACCATATATTTTCTTTCATGAGGATGTGGGCCTGTGCTCTGCGGCGGTGACCCACCGCGTTCGTATTTGCTGCGCTAGTACAATTTTGGCCTCGAGTTGTTCGGATAGTCTATCCGAGTCGTAACCGGTTATTTGCTAATTTATTCGTTATCAAAAGTGACATAACGCCTTTTCGTGACAAGTACTTCAATTATTAGGTACACCATTTCAATCTGACGTCGCGTATAATCTAGAAACATAGATACATAGATTCTAAGTGTGCCATATAAAGTACCATATTAATAAAACTCATTTGTTCTTACCTCTTTCAAGTACTTGGTAACTTTTATATTAGAATAAACATGCACTGAATCCGTAAATGCAATTGCTTTGACTTTTTTCTCAAATTCTTTCTTTAGCTGGTCAGCTAACGTAACGGTCAGCACTCCACCATAACTGTGAGCTACTATTGCTATAGATGTAGCTTTGGCTTTCTGAACATAATTATTCCAAACATATTTTGTATGTTCTTCACCTGAACCACTTTGGGGTATCTTCTGGCCATTAGGCAGACAGTTATCATTTGGATTTAAAACCAAAACTCCGTAATCTTTGGATAAAGCATTTTTAATGTACGGTATTTGAGTGCCCATATCTAAATTGTCATTTATTATTAATCTGAAATTTTAATATTTAAATAATCAATTCAAAGTTCATAATTTCAAATAACAATAGAATAAATATTCTTGGACGATGCTTGTTAAAGTATAGTAGTCTTAATTTTTGGATGATTTATGAATATTTGATTGGCAAATTCTGTCATTCTGTCCGTTCTGTTCTTTGTGTTGACTTTTACACCATTACAGATCAAAATATGTAGGTACTGCATTTATATTTCCATAATTTTCATTAACTATAAATTTTAGATTTCTGCACATTCCAAATTATTATTTAAAAAGCAATAAAAAAAGTATTCCCAAATATTAATATATAATAAATAATAATAATAAATAATATATAGATATTTAATTGTGAAGCAACTTTTGACTGCCTAGGTGGGCAGTGGTAGTATACTCGACTACTGTGCTCAGGTCTTAGATTGTGTTGTATGATCTGCGTATATATGTTTTGGAGTTTAGGTGTTTTCTATATATAATACATATGTATTTACAAACTAAGTATTCTATCAGTCAATCTAGTTTTCATAGTATGAGCTCTGCTTAGTTTGAAACTAGATGGGGTTGTGTGTCAGATGTCTGAAATATTATTATTATTACTTACGATCTAGCCCATTGTCCGGCACGGACTGCTCCAGATCCATGTATCAATATTACCAACACATCTTTGCTGTCATAGTCTTTAGAAGCAAAAATAAATGTGCCATTATTGGAATCTTTAGGCACTGGTAGCCTGACAAGATGTAAATCTGATACTAGCATATAATATATATATTCTGTGATAGCTGTACCAAGCTCTTCATAGTGTGCTTGGCATTCCTGGTGCTGGTTGCTGACATTGAATTGGAATGGCTCTTCTGTTAGCTGACCATCAGCATCTACTTTCCTTAGCTGACCATCTTTAGAACAGAAAATTTATAAACCCTAATAAAATATGGCATTTTTAAAACAAGCTTAATCTTTTCATACCTGACCTTTAATTGTCATTTTATACAGCAATTTTTGCTTTATTTATACTTGATAAATGATCTACCCATTATTACCTTGTTATTAAATAGAACCATAGCTCAATATTACAAATCTTTGTCTAATAGTGATTAGTCAGGAGCAAACCCAGGTTTTAACTCAGGGAGGGTCAATTCTGTGTAGTCAGGCTCCAATTAGATTACCTCATCAAAATTATACAAACTATTACTCAGCTCAAGTCAGGATAACGACCCACTGGATTCGCCCTTGATATCAAAACAAATATAATTATTCCCATATATTATTTACCTAGAGTTAGGACTAATCATTATTCATATAACATATATTCTTGTGGATCATTGTTCTGTTATACAAATAAAAATGAAATTGCACCACAAACCAAATCCACTATATATCTAATAATATTATTAGGTAAAGCAATAGTGTCTTTGTTTATTATACTTTTACTGAGCAGAAAATCCTTACATTTTGGATACAAGTTACCATGGATACATTAAAGGACATAGGTAGCATTTCATCATTAAAACTTAATAAATCTGATAGTAAATTATGTTTACCAGTGTTAAAGGCGTAACCTAGGTCTTTCATAGTTTTAACCGCGTCCATATTTTGTATTTTAGTTGTACAATACGTCGGGTCAGATGCTCGTGACCAAATTCGTTTAGATTTTGTGGACACCAAAAATACTTGTAGCCTGCGTAACGCTTTTTGTGTCATGTAAGCAACTGGTTTAATAACTTGTGCCAAACTAAAAGAACTTTTTTCATGAATCGCTGTACTTTCTTAACACTAGAAGGAAAGTGAATACAAACAAAACAAATTCAAATACTTCAAATCAAACAATACGTCCTTGGGGCGTTAAGAGCACAGCACAGATAACTTATACCAACTTATACTAATAGTCAGAGAGGAAGAGGGTGCACGCACTGGTGACTTTTGTCGCATGGAGACTGACAGTGAGAAATCTGTTTGAAATTAAAGAGCCTGTCCGCACAGCGATATTTCGTTGTAAAAAGTTTTTGATACCCTTTTAAAACACCCCTTCTACCATATCTATACATAAAATTTAAATCGAATTCAACTTAAGATTTTTTTATAATTAGTTTTCATCCTCTAAAAATCACCCCAATAATACTTAAATAAAAATATCCAAGAAAATATTTGTTCAATATATAATGCTACAAGAAAACTATTCTTTTTTTGGGTTCATTATCTGAAAACATATATTTGCAAATTTTCATCTCTTAAAAAAAGAGTAAATATAAAAAAAATGGTTTAAGGAACTTTATTAATACTCACGAACGTTACAGTCCACTTAGTGATCATAGTAGTTGTAGGGAGTCCGTGATGGTTAATCAATGCATTAGATTACACCATATAAATTAACATTAGTTTATAATATAGTATGAGCTCACTTTTGCTACTTTATTTGTAGTATCAACCAAACCTTTCGGTAGTTTGAAAATTCAAACTAGATTACGATGATCGAAGCAAATACCCAACCACCCTCAAGTGTAAATTGTTAACATTGTATAAAGTAATGGTTTAATTACGCAAACTTGGAACTTGAAACATTTTATCACAATACGACAATAGTTTTAATCAATAATTTGAATATTGTTTTAATTAATTAATTTGAACACCGGAATATTTAATTGATAGTACATTTTTTTATTTTTGCTAAATTATCTCTTAGTTAGTTACAATGTTAAATCCTTGTATGGATTTAAATTGTTTTTGTCTGAGGGGTTGAGTTTGTGAAATTGGAGACGCCACATATATAATATATTTTTGGAATTTGTAAATGTGTATCTTTTAATTCCAATTAGGGTAATAACGGAAGGGTTTTATTGTTGATTTTTTTCATTAAAAATCCAAACCAGCTTTATTTTCGCCATAACTCCATTGGTATTTATGCTAGAGGCCTTTATAAAAAGGCTTTTTAAAAGTCTTAATGTACTTTAAAAAATATTACAAGCTCTTTCATCGTAAAATATACCGTTTTTTCGTAATTCAATGTTTAAAATCTTTAAATTTTTCGTTAAAAAAATAAGGCCTAACTTCAATGAGCTATAACTTTGTTTATACAAACATCCTACATTAAAAAATAAAAAACAAAATTCTTTGATTTTTTATTAACTACAATTTTGATCCATTTACTTTCATAAAATCAATAGTTTTTGAGCTTTTTGTGAAAAACCAAGTGAAGTGATGTTTTTTAGAAAAAAAAAAACTTTCGATCACGAAAATCTCAAAACGTATTGTTTTTCGAATAACTTCTATAGAACATTTTTAGCTTAGAATTCATTCTTCTATTGATTCCTGTTTTTTTTTAATTACCACCCCCTAGTTAGGGTGGTATACACCCCTAGCAAAAAGCACATATCGGCATAGGGTAGATTTCACTTTTTGAGGTAGGTATTCCTTACTTACTGTCAAATTCAGCAAAGTCAATCTTTCTTGAAAAAATTGGAACCCAAAAATCGTCATACGCCAAACTATTCGACGGGCGTCTGAGCTGTGAGCTGGGAACTGTATTAAACTGACAAAAATCGTTCGAAATTTAATTCGCAGTGCGTACTAGGTATTTTTCTGATCTCGTAATATGATACGCTGTGCGAACAGGCCCTTTAATTTAAAAAAAGGTTTTGTCACTGTCGAGTCAATCGATTTTTGTCAGTTTAATACAGTTTGCCTCTGAGACGCCCGTCTAAATGGACAACAGAACTACAATTTTAATTTATATGATACTTCGGCGGCGTAATAGAGTTTAACAGACGTATCAAAAGATACAAAACCTCCTTTCTAAGGAGAGGCCTATGTCCAGCAGTGGACTAGTAAAGGCTGTGGATGATGATCAAAAGATACGAACATTGAATTCACCCATTTAAGGCATTGAGATACATGAAAGGTTCTTTCTACATAAAAAGTACCGTTGGAAAACTGTGCAAAACGCGCAATTTTTTTTTTTTTGGGATTGAGGTCTGGTGATTGTGCAGGCCACGGCAATATCCGGATGTTTTCCATTGCCAAGTACTCTCTGGTCCTCGAAAATGTGTGCGAACGAGCATTGTCATGCATCAGCGTGAAATCTGAGCCAAAAAATTCTGCGAATGGGTGAACAAGGCCCGAGGACATCTTAAACGTAAGAGGACATTTGAGACGAACTGATCTCGATGGAACTGAACTAGAACTAGAACGCTTTCAGCGTTCATATTGCCATCTCCAAAAACGAGCTCAGTTCGTCTGTTCTTCATAATACCCGACCATACCAACACTGTGGAGTCACTATAAGGATGCACTTCCTGGACGCATCTCAGCCGTACAGCATTTTCGGGACTACGTGGATAATTTGGGGGTCTGCTCGCAGCTTATTTCTCACATTTTGGTGGTTAACAACAACAGCTCAGGAAAATTGTAGCTTCATATTTCGAGCGGTTAACGTCGGCTGACGTCTTGCAGTTGATTGTATGTATCAATCCTGTCGGTCAGATGTACTCCTTCCAAAGCCAAAGACGACGAGCCAAATCACGCTCCTATTGACACCAAAATGCCGAGATACCGTGGACTGATTTCTTATTGCTTGTAGCATCAGCAGTCAAATGGCGTCGCTCCATGACATAAAAAATGACTCACCACTTTCTTTTTTTTCAAAAAATGTTTGTCTCAAAAGGACAAAATGTGAGATAAATACCGAAATTTATCAAGCAACTAAAATCCATGAAATAAGGTAAAAATACTAAACTTTTATTTTAATGATAACAAAACTCAACCGAAAAGTTTCTATTTTCAAAATCAGCCAGTATATTTCCGAGAACAAAAAAGACTTTATGCTAGATTGGTATAAAAAAAATATATCAAAGAAAAAATAAAATAACAGGCAGTTTCTGTGAATGATGGGTGTTGCTTAGATTTTTCCGAGGTACTTATTAATTATAATAAATGAATACACGAAAGCATACCATAAATACATTTACTCATTATACCAATCCAAGAAGAGCAGACTAAATGATATGACTAGTAAGAAGAATAATACATAAACTCTAAGTCCAGCATTTCTTTGGATGGCCTGCTTTATTTGTTCATTAGCGTCTTTGACATTCTCTGTTGCACCAACTACTGTGTTTGATATCCTGTCTATATCCTGCTCCTGTTGCAGAACCTTAACAAAAAATATATATGATTTTATTATTTTAGAATCAATCATACTCATAAACAAGAAAACGTATAGCAACTTACGATGTAGGTGCTGTATGTTGTCTATGTGTAATCATTTAATATTCAGTTCAAATTTAATAAAATTGGAAAAAGGGCGGGAATGTGACAATGGTGCTAATTCTGTTGTTCGAAAACACTAAACTAAAAATTAGTTTAGTCCTGTCAAGTACTACGTTTTCAGAATACGAAACGTTATTTATAAATTACTAGCTGGTGCCCGCGCCTTCGTTCGCGTGGAATTTGAAAAGTTTACTTAGTGAGTTCGATTCCCGGACCATGCAAAATTGTATAGGGTTTTTCTGAGAGAAAAAATAGGCTAAGTTACTCGTTATATAGACAGCTACTTGATAGTAAACTATTATCTAAATTGGTAAAGCCGTTTTGAAGATTACCCGGAACAGACAGACAGACAAAAAATATTTAACTGGTTTTTAGGCATAGATATCGTGCAAATAACCGTGAAAGCATGAAAAAAACCTATTATTTTGACATTACAAACAGACACTTCAATTTTATTTATTTGTATGTATAGAAGTACAGATTAGAACCAATGACGATGTAATCATTATCTATATCTATACAAATAAATAAAATTGGAGTATCTGTTTGTAATATTAAAGTAACCGCTTATTACTAAATGCATATGTATGTTTACACGGTACATATGCCAAAATAACATTTTTTACAATTTTTGTCTGTCTGTCTGTTTGTTCCGGGTAATCTCTGGAACGGCAGGACCGATTTGCACGGGACTTTCACTGGCAGATAGCTGATGACATAAGGAGTAACTTAGGCTATTTTTTTTAGACTAGCTTCGCCCCGCGGCGTTGCCCGCGGTTATAACAACAAACGCGGGTAACACCGCGGGTCTCACAATCAGCTAGTCACACATAATATCCAGAGGCGGTTTACGTATTAAGAGCGCCCTAAGCAAGCATCTTATCTCTCGAGCGCCCATACTATGTTATAAATATTTACGATAGTAAAGTTGACTACACTTGACGATACTAAATATAAAGTTGGGGTAGTCATTCACCCGAATTTTAGTTACTGGTGTTTCTTTGCATTTGTTCACTATACTTTTTTTTTTCTAACACACTCGGGTTGTTCTAACACACAACCAACCGGTGTTTTCGGGGCCAGTGTATCGTAATGAACTGACTAAAAAGAAAAAAAGGGGCCTTACTGCCCCTAAAATACGTAACCAGGGATTTGTAACCACCTTCAGATTAAAACTCTCGTTTAGGCGACTTGCCAAGCACACGAAAACGTCGCCTCATTGGGTTGCCACTATAGCCACGTATATATAGGGGAAAAATCGTCCCGTCTAATCGCGGCCACATTCAAGGTGGTACGAGGCGCCTCTGACTCCCGATTTCCTGGCGGCAAATTGGGTCCAAGTGGAGATCAACTTCACGGGCCCTCTGCTAGTTGAGATAATATCCAAATCCACTGACAGCCATGGATCGTATGACGGCCGGTAGCGAAAGACCCTCTCCGATGAATTAGGAATCGACGCTGCATCGGCCATAGAGAGCAAGCCGCCTGCATGTGCTGAATCGAGTCCTCAGTGCAGTTGCAGGGGTGAGAGGCAAGACTCAATTTCCTCCTAGCGACCGAGCGCAGGTGCTCGGAAATTACTTGCGTCAGTCGGAAAGAAAGGGCCCGTGCTGCCGCTCTGCCAACTCGACTATGACCGGCGGCAAGGCCTACACACAGACCAGCAAGTCCAGCCGTGATGACCAACCTGTGGTCGTCGCTCGGCGAGCGCCCTTACGCTACTGACGGAGCTCTTCGGGTAGGGGCCCACTGCCGCTACCCACCCGGAACTCATCTCTCTGCCGATAAATTTTGCCAAGCACTCGCGTCCAAACCCTACGAATTCAATATACTACAATCCTCCTCCGCTGCTGATAATATCATTAATATAACTTTAAGGGCCTTTGCACAAGACATATTTTTAATGTGGAGGAATGGGTGTCTGACTCCTTAACAGTAAGTAAAGTGGAATCAGTTGACACAATACTACGTATGTTATGCTTTCACCTCTAAGCCACTAAACTGATATTAAAAATTCTTTTACCAATGGAAAGGAACATTATCAGCAAGGCTACTTTATACAGAGATAATTGGCATACACGCGGGCGGAGCTGCAGGTAAAAGCTAGTATCACATAAAAAAGAGTCTAGTAGATATATATACCTTTTCAGTAAATATTTCCTGCAGCTCTGCAATGTGGAGCACCTTACTCTCAATCACTTTGACCTCCTCTTGCATACTGTTGAGGTCATTGAGAAGCTGAGAATTTTCAGACTCAAACATCTGTAGCTCCTCTGCACTAAGTTCTTCATCAGCCAAAATGGCCACTTCATTTTCAGATAAGTCCATTTTTTTAACATTATCAACTTCTTCTAAATCAACTTCATTCCCATCTTGCTTCTTTAGCTCATTTTCTTTATGCTCTTTTATTGCACTCACATTCTCTATAATTAATGACTCTGGAATACTTGGTTTAGCATTAGGGAGTTCTATTCGTGACAACTTACGTAGGTCCAGGGCTCTTTTAACCCGTAGGGCTTTCAGTTCACTGTGTATTTTACAAACAGCTTTCAAATACATGTCTATCAGATCTGTCACTGTTTCCATATACTCTCTTAGCTGCGGACCTGCCGTAATTTTACGATTATCATTTCTAAATTCTTTAAGCAGATGTGAACATGTATTGATTATTCTTTGAGCTCCTGTGTCTATTTGGTCGCGCTCGGCATCGGTCATTTCATCTTCAGATGACACATTATTAAAAAAGCTCAAGTATTTCTCACGATGCTCAAGTAAGAAGTCCCGTAATCTGGTTATTTGTGATGTGATATCTTTCGCTGTTACCATAAATGCAGTTTTTGGCTTTGATCTCAATATACGCTGTTTATCTTCGCTAGTAGGACTTTGTATGCCAAAAGCTTTATTTCTTGTTTTCACAGTTTTTATACATGCTTTAAATAATGGAGTAATATCCATTTTGGCGATACGTTTTCGCTGAAATCGGTAGAAGAGACCAATAAAGCTTATAGTCACTTACACGTTCACAGCTGTGTTGTTGTATTGACAAAACTGACATTAAATATTTCGTTCGGATATGCACTTTAAAACAAACGAGAACCAAGTGATAAGTGCCCCGAGTAATAACATTTTAAAAAATAGACTCGATAAACATTTAAATACACAAGTTTAATAGTATACACGTGTCAGCCTTAAGCTGCTAGTGTATTAAATATAATAATAATAATAAACAAGTCTTAGTACTGTTAATCTATAGAAAAATAAAATTATTAATGATTAAGCACTTTTTCCAATTGGAAGAGTTTTTTTTATGTTTAAAAATAATGATTTTCTTTTATAATATATGCTTGAAGTCTAAACTTATTAGTTAAAATCTAAAGATGCACACATAAAAGTCGGTTTGTTTCTAGGAACTGGAACGAGTTCTGTTGTTTTTCTTTTCATTTTATCTGTCATTGTCTGTGGAAAAAAAACATTCAGAAGAGAAACGAAAAAGCAAATACAATAAGAATTTGCATTATTTAACACAAAATAGGGTAAATTTAAGAGCTAAATATAAGCAAAATCAAAAATGGGATCAACCGGTTATCACAGAAATGAAATACAACATTCTATTCCTATTGACATCTTAGACGACCTATGCAGGTAGGTTGCACATTTTATTGCACAAAATGAATGTAGGTACGACAAAGAATTGCAAATATTTTTGCAAAAATAATGTACGCTGCCAATAGCAACAACTAGAGGTATTCTTAACGTCCTCCGTAATATATATAGTAGGTTTCAATATGTTATTCGAAAGAATTGTATTATTTATGAATAGTAAATAAACAAATATGATTTCTTGTAACTATTTTGCCTTTAAGAGTATAGTATAGTAATTCAGTTCACTCAGTACCTAGTATTCTCTCTACTTAGTAGTAGACCTTAGTTATGTCTGGATTTATGGCTAACAGATTTAGAAATTTAGTTTGTCTTAAGAAGGAAGGCTATATATATCATCACGCTACGACCAATAAGTACCGTACCAATGAAAATGTTGCATAAATGGGGGAAAGTTATTCTTTTTTATCACAAAGAATAACTTCCATTGCGTGCGCTGAGTATGTAAAACCAGACTGCTGATAAACATAGTTATAGGTACCAGCACCGATTTTGAGTTCTGACCTTCACCTGCGCAGAAATTAGTGGGCCAGTGATTGGCTCACCGATATTGTCCTTGCTCCTGATTCGGTTTCTCCCAGTAAAGTGCGGCGAGTACACTTCTAAACAAATTAATAGTCTTTCTTTTTTTATTAATAATTTAATCATTTCTATTTTCGCTCTTCATCAATTTAATACAACAAACAGGTTCCATAATTAATACCTAGCTAAAGGTTTTACCAACTGTAAAATTTAAATTATGGAAGCATAAACTATTGAGGATTAAGTCATGGGTGGAAATCGAACCCACAACCTCAGGCTTAGCAGTCAGGGTCACTAACCACTAGACTAACAGGCCTGTCAAATTGTTGTATTTGTACAAATTGTTGCTGTATGTTGCAGTCGCTTTATAATCAACCTGCCTCCAGAGGATAGAGGGAATCTAGTCCGTATATGTTTTCAAATAGAGCTAGCACATTGGTTCTATTTAGACTATTACTGCACTGATGAGAGCGCCAGACTTAATCCTTGTGGCATAAGAGAGTTCGCGGCACATATATTTCAAGTAAGTCAAGATTGTTCATAAATGACAACCTCTAAATTAATAGTTTGAAAATGTTTTTTTATAAAGGGATGTCGTAACAAATACTGAAATTGTGTATTCAGATCATTATTCTGAGTCAAAAATCATCACAATGAGTAAACAGAACATATTAAAAAAAACTATTCAATAAATACTGCATATGGTAAAAAACTACAATGTTATTAATCAAACAGCCTAAGCACGCAGGCCTCTTCCCGGCCGCCAACGCCGGACTGTTTGTACGGAATACAAAAGTAGTTATTACTTTTGTGCGATACCTAGGGCACGGGGGATGGCACCTTTGACAGCTAATTGCATAAAACGTTTAGTTTTCCGACAGAAAATGCCAATGGCTTCCGACTCAGAAAGATGGTCTGAATAAACTATTTCAGTGTTCACTACAACGTCCATTACATTACATTAGTTGGTTTGTATACGCTTCAAAAACTCAAAAAGTTCTGCACTGATTGAGCTCACATTTTGACACGATATACAACACGCTTGAAAGATGGTTTATCTATTTTGCGCATCAACGTCACTGCAACCTTAATGTACTGCAGTGAAGCGTGGCAGGGTACAGTTAGTTTTATATAAAACTCCAATAAAGTGAGGACAATATTAATTACGCATGCCCGTGCTGGTTTACATCCTGAAGCTGTTTCATTCTAGTACTGAAATAGGTAGAAATAAGCTTAAAACTTATACAGAATATAAATTATTATTATGTCTTGCACAATAAAACTAATGTTTAAAATGCTACAGATATATTAACATGGTGGTAATGCAGTTTATTTTGTATCTCTTTAAAAAAATTACTAGTTTGGCAGCACTGCTGAGACAACATAAAAATTCCAATAAAAAAATTATAGTTTTAAACAACTAAAAAATAGAAAATATTTATCTATATTTTAGTTTGGTTTTCTATCGTAAGCGTGTTTTTAAGTTTTTTAAAACAATTTTTTTTTAAGTTAGTGTATTGTCATTCCTCGATATCCTCGATATATCTACAAAGTTTGAACGAATTCTGACCGTTTAAGGTCAGTCAAAATCACGCCCAAAGGTTACAAACATACAAGTGAAGCTAATATAAAGCATGTAAAAAATATATTGTCTATGGTTTTTGTGTATGTATAGCACGTCCCGCAACTTCGTGAGCACGTAAGCAGCCTCGACGCCGTCCTCGACAATTGGCGAGAGTACAAACAAACTGTGCCGACATATGGAGCGATTCTGTTAGACACAGAACTTACTCATGTTCTACTGGTACAGTCTTACTGGACGAAGGCGTCCTGGGGTTTCCCTAAAGGCAAAGTTAATGAGGATGAGGAGCCTTGGAAGTGTGCTGCAAGAGAGGTAAGGGTAGCAAAAAGTTCTTATTTCTGTGTGAAACACAATTAAAAATTACATTACATTGGTACACAAACACAAAGAGGCTATGCTATTCTATTATATTAAATATATTCTATTCCGTCCGTATGTCCGTGTGGTGACGGATTAAGAATACAAATTGTCACCACCCCAATTCATACCGTGGGTGTCGGAAGAGCCTAAGGGAGCAAACTAAGCAGGACAACAGCACTGCAAAGAGAAGGAAAACTTGAAACAAACCCTATACCAACCCGTCTGGCCAGCGTGGTATAGTAGGCCAAAACCTCCTTTCTAAGGAGAGGCCTATGTCCAGCAGTGGACTAGTATAGGCTGTTGATGATGTTGATGATATTTTATTCTATTCTATCAAACGGCCACATTTCGCCAATTACTTATAATTTTAGTCTCACTTACGATATAAGTGGCAAGCCTATTGCTGTAATCCGGGCACATATTATATTTCTCAATAAACATATTTTAATATTGACGGGCCTGTTGGTTTAGTGGTTAGTGACCTTGACTGCTAAGCCGGAGGTGGTGGGTTCGATTCCCACCCAGGACAAATATTGTGTTAAGAGCATGGTTATTTGTTCTGTGTCTGGGTGTAATTTATCTATAATATGTATGTATTTAAAAATCTATAAGTATGTTTATAAGCAGTCTGGTTGCCATAGTACAGGCTCTGCCTAGTTTGGGATCAAACGGCCGTGTGTGAGATGTGTGAGATATATTATTATTATATTTCCAAATATAAGGTAGATTACACCCAGATACAACGAATGCTCATCACTCATATTTGTGGATCCCCGGGTGGGAATAAAATTTTTCGAAGTCAAATATTCACCACAAGTAGCCAAGTCCAACCAACCATGCTTCAGATTGCTTTTATTTTGGATAATATTACAGTGGGCATATCTTACTCAAGAGGTAACCAAGTCTGTCTGGGTTTCTAGGGATTACCTGAGGCCAAAACCTCCTTTCTAAGGAGAGGCGTATGTCCAGCAGTGGACTGTTAAAAGGTGTTGATGATGATGACCTGAGGCTACTATGTGGTTTTAGTTGGTTCAAGTCCAACATATCACCTTACCGTTTGGCTTCAGTAAGGGGTATTTTTTTTTTTGGTATTGGTTGTGGGCTTCGGTTTCCGCATTTAGACTCAGAGTGGTCCTTTATGCGTCGAGGATTGGTTGACTAGGTGAGCCAGCCAAGCTCCTTCCAGAAGCGCAGAAGCCTCCTGGGGCGTTCACAGGCTTCTAGGAGCAACTTTATATCAGGAATGATACTTGCCCGTTGTGTGGCCACTCCCTCGCATTCCAGGACTACGTGGACGACCGTTTCTTCAGCTTCCAGACATCCCCTGCACAGGGGACTGTCCGTCGCATTGATTATGAATAGTTGTCGGTTCAGGGCTAGATGTCCTGTAATAGTTCCGACAACCATTCTGATTTCCGGTCTGCTAAGACTGATCAGTCGTGTTGTCTGTTGACTGTCAGTGCTGAGTCGTGGTGTGACTTGATTCAGCACCAGTTTGGACTGTCTGCAACCGGGTGAGTTTTTCCACCTCCGGTTGTGTGCTTCTTCAGTAAGGGTTATTTATGTAGTAGAAATGTGAAGGTTATATTTTTTTAATAATTTTTTTTTACTCGCAGGTACTGGAAGAAACAGGCTTCGATATCAGTAAGTTGATAAATAAGAATGACTATATAGAAGCTATAATACACGAACAAATTGTCCGCCTATACATTATCGGTTACATTCCTAGAGATACTAAATTCCAGCCACGTACAAGGAACGAAATTAAAGCTTGTGAGTGGTTTCCTTTAGCTGATCTACCAGCTAATAAGAAAGATATGACCCCAAAGGTAAAAATGGGAGTCAGTCCTAATGCGTTTTTTATGGTGCTACCGTTTGTAAAACGTATGCGACGTTGGGTTTCGGAAAGAATGTCAAAAGTATTTACTAATACCCGCAGAACCCGCCATAAATCCATGGGAGATATCGAGTCATCTACTAGTAAGAATAAAAATAAAAGCATATCTCAAGGCTTGCAAAATGAGATACATGAATTTCAGCAGCAAAGCCATTCAGAGACGAAACATTTCAAGGGCCATGTTAACCCGAATAATTATGGTAATCACGGTAATAGTCACGTAAATCACGGTAATAACCACTTAATTCATAGTAACAGCCACGTAAATCATGGCAATAACCATGGTAATCACGGTAATACTCATAATAATCACGGGAACAATCAAGGAAGCAACCAAGGAACCGGTCACGGGAATAACCAAGGAACCAGTCACGGAAATAACCAAGGAACCGGCCACGGAAATAACCAAGGAACCAGTAACGGTCATAACCACGGAACCGGCCACGGAAATAACCAAGGAACCAATCATGGGCTTAACCAAGGAACCGGTCACGGGCATAACCAAGGAACTGGTCACGGGTATAACCCAGGAACCGGTCACGGGCATAGTCATTCCAATACTCCAGGAAGTGTAGCAAAAACCACCCCCAATCCAAATAGCTCTAGAAAAGAACGAAAAATTGCTAAACGGCAGCTATTTACCCCCCAAAATACAAATTCGAACAACTTTTCGCAAGTGCAAAAAGACTCAAGTCCAAATAATGAATCTCAAGACGACATTTTCTTCTCTTTCGTGGCCCCATCGTGGGCCAACTTTAAATTTGACAGGCGAGCTATCCTGGATTGCCTCACTTGAAGTTGACATGTTACAAGTTTGGTACCAAGTTATAACCCTCGTTGATTCTCAACGTAGTATTTGACATATTTGTAATTAATAAATTACAAAGCAGGACATGGTTGTTTTATTTCCTAAAAAACAAGGCAGGAGTACACTGTGATATTTTGTAAATTCTATTAATGCTGACTGATTGGGTAGATGCTGACAGTCAGTCAAGCAGTATTTTTTTATGAAACGTCAAAACGATAGACTAATATGAAACGTCAAAAAAAATATGAAAAAAATATACGAGCAGACGGGTCACCTGATGAAAAGTGACCCCCTCAGCCCAAGAAACTCCTGGAACTCAGGAGTCACAAACGCGTTGCCGACCCTTTAGAAAGGAGTACGCTCTTTTCTTGAAGGTTTGAAGGTCGTATCGGTCCGGTCTTGTTCCACAAATTGATTGTGCGAGGCAAAAAATGTCATATACCTATGTCACACGTCATATATGATAGGTACATATATGATGTGTGTCATTATAAAGTCATTTATATTTAATATTGAAGATATCAAAACAATAAATTGATAATGGGGACAATCTTGGAAAAAACAATTACGTAAAATTGCGTATTTGCCTGTGTCGATCCAAGTGAGCCGTTTTTCTATGGAATAGAAGGTTAGAATAAATGGGTCATCTGATGGTAACTAGCCCTATGGAGCCTGCAACTCTTGAGTCACAAGTGCGTTGTTTTAGTCGGTTCGAATCCAACACACCGCCACACCCCAAACCACAGCCCGAGGATTTTCGCAGGTTAAAGAAAAAAGGGCGCTGTCAGATTTCGCATTTCGTCCAATATAAATTACTAATACCGTCAAAATGTTAAAAATAGTTTCTACATACACAATAGCTAGTCAAAAAACATACTGCTTCGGTGGTGCAGTGGTAGGTAGCATATGCGACTGCTATGCTGGGGTCTCGGGTTCGAATCCCGGGACGAACCAAATGTTTGTATTATCTACAAATATTTGTTTCGGAGTTTGGATGTTTTCTATGTATGATATGTATGTACAAATAAAAAAGTATTCTATCAGTCAATCTAGCTTTCATAGTACAAGCTCTGCTTAGTTTGAAACTAGATGGCGTTGTATGTCAGATGTACGATATATTATCAGTACGAAAAATATTATCGATAACACATACATACACCACATATTCGTATAAACCTACATACACCACGCCTTTATCCCTGAAGGGGCGAAGGTACATTTTGTAGTCTAGAATTTCAAGTCCAAAAACTGGTTGAATGTTAATGTTTAAATAAGGACGACATTTACCCACCCGCTCGTTTTGTAGCGTTTTTCTATCCCTCGAACACATTATTTTTGCAGGGTTGAAGGTAGCCTGTCCTTTTCTGTAGACCGTTTGCAAAAAGAAAATTTACTCCTTTTGTTAAATATAGTTGCCTTACAAACTTTGAGGTTACCATATCTGAATACTAAACTATGGTTAAAGTAATGATAAACAAGAGGTAGATACGCCATCAACGCACTAACGCGTGCTGAGAATTGGTCCTAACAAGGACCACTGCGAGCGAGTGGATATGCTAAGTATTTCGAGGAAATCCGTAAAATGCCTGCCTGTGTTTCGAAAGTGCACAAATTACGACAAAAAGGCAAATAAAGAAAGGAATATACCACAGGTAAGTGTATATTTTGTTCTAAAATGTTTTAATAGATGTATTTGTAGTGACGGATTAAGAATACGGAATGCCATCACCCCTATTCATTCCGTGGGTGTCGGAAGAGCCGACTAAGGGAACAAACTACGCTGAACAGCACTTCAAGTAGAAGGAAAAATTGAAACAAACCCTATACCAACTCGTCTGGCCAGCGTGGTATAGTAGGTCAAAACCTCCTTTCTAATGACAGGCCTATGTCCAGCAGTGGACAAAGTAAGGCTATGCATGTTACAGAACTAATATTTTGTGTGTGCAGTATGAATGTAACATATCTTCCTTAAAATATCTTTGGTTAAAAGGGTTATTAGGAAACGAGATACATAATTCAAACAACTTATGCAATATCAGTTTTTTATTCCATTATACATACTATATACAAACAAACGCAGATAGCCAAATTAATATCACATTAGAAAATACACAGCTAAAAAACTAAAGCTACAAAAAACACTAACCAATACATAAACCTTTGTCTGAAAATAAATTGATCAATTTTACATTCGCATCGCAAGTTAGCAGCCACCTGACGGTAAGTGACCACCACCGAAAATACACATCTAACAACAGGAATAAGTGCGTCGCCAGCCTATTCCCCCCTCATACTGGAAAGGATTGGAGGGAAGGAGTTTGCTCCATATTAAGTTAGGATTACAATTCTGTAGACGTATGAAGCTTTTATGAGCCTAGCTTGATTGGTTTCATACATTGAACATATACGCAGCATGCATTGACATTACATTAATAAAAATATAAACTAGATTTTTTTTTGTGTGTTTGTTTAATTATCATTATTATTAAGACTTATTAAGGAACATTATGGATAAGTTCACGCTCAAACCCCCAGGAGGGAAGCAAAAGCTATAAACGCTATTGGATCTGCGTGAACGGCTAGTATTATTATTTAAAATTTCATATTTACTATATTTGCAGGTCATCATCTATAGGATCTTAAAACTAAACCAATAAATATATATTTTTTTTAAGTTTTTTTTAACATACCTAAATACTGTAACATCACATAGTTTTTTTTTGGAACATTATTATATTTTAAACGTCAGATATATACATCTTTCGATTTTACTATGAGATTATATCCATTAGGTTAACTTAAAAATTACACAAGTTTATATACGCTCCAAAAGCTATATAAATTATACAATCAAAAATAAGTTCAATACAAAATATCTAAAATTCTGTAAATATGCTTAAAATGTGAATAATCTTGAAATAAAACTTTAGTTTTTAATCATGACCGCGAAGGAGGTCCTTCATCAAAGGGTAAGGCGGCTTGCCGCGACAGTCTCCTGCGCTACACCAATGACACTCTACATGTTATTTTTTTTTTATCTTTAAAAGAACTCTTATTAGGAATATATCCTGTGTCACGGATGACTTTACAAACATACATGTAACAGACAAAGAACACACAGACTTAGAACAACAATTTGTGAATCACACAAAGTGTTGTTCCATGTGAGGATCGAACCCACAACACTCAACGCAATAGAAAACGGCGTGGCGATCGCTTAAACCACTACGCCATCCGTAGAGACACTGACACCGGTGCATGACTCTTCTTGATTAAGGTCCTTCCCTGTCGGGTTCAAAACTATTCGGGTATCCTCGAAAGAAACAAGAGTAAAACCATATAGATTTTGATTGTACGAAGTTAAAATAGAAAACTAATCTTTCTTTTCTGAATATTAAGCTTTCGCGTTCCATGATATATAATCATGTACATACACGGGAATTAAAGCAATCACGATCACGCTGACGACTCACAGCTGAGCTGTCACAGCTGTCAGCCTGTGACCACGGCCAGTGCAATCTGGTCGAAACGTCAGTTTGTAATACCAGTGATCGCGTGAATTCAGTATATACAATTATACTCTTAAATAATAATATAATAGTAACAGTAATTTTTATTCCTCTATCGTCCGTCCTATTTATTAAATATATATATTTTATTACTTTATGATTTATTTCATTTAAATACTTGTATAGATCATTTCATTTAAAACACTCATAGATTATTCACACTTTATATTACATTTCGGCGAATACACATTACAAAATATAATTAAAATGATTTACCTTTCATACTAAATTGATAGAATCTTTGTAGGCACTTTATACAGTTTGAGCTTCATATAATTTTCACGTTTGTACATATTATAGTAAGGGGATAATTTTTTGCATAAAATTACAAGATGATTCATTTTTGGATGTATAATAGACAGAATAAAAAATAACTATATCGTCGGCTTATTGCAAGAACTCATTAACTGCAAAAAATCACTAAATACGTTTTTATCTATAATGGGCTCATTTTTACATATTCTACAAAATGCAAAAACACACTAATTTCTAGCTTATGTATTAAGGATAATATGGGCTAATTAACATAACCACTAACTAACTCCAACTAAAATGCCCTTTTCCCCTAAATAATGAATATGTCACATAATGACTTCTTGCAATAAGCCGACGATATGTTGTTCGTAGAGGTGCGAGTAACTTTGCACTTTGTGGCTGTTTACAAAGAGTAGCTATTTATTTAAACATCTAATTAGAAATTCTGTCCGTTATATTATTAAGGTATTGCATAGCTTCTATCGCGGGCCTTGAGCGTGGAGACCGAATCCAGAAATTCCGTAACGAAAATAACTTAACACACCCCACGTGATACTTTTTAGTTTTGCCATCTATCGATGAATATCAGAACTTTTAATGACTTTTTTGAAATATCACGCTTGTCTCTTTAGTTCAGCAACTCGCCTCTAGGTGGCATTGGTTGTATCGGCGTTCTAATTAATATCAAAGAAAAAAAACAAAGGAAAAAAAAACTGCATAAATAAAATAAATAAATAATTATAATTGCATAAGTTGATAAAAAATGCTATGCAATAGCTTTACCGCGGCAGTCCCCGAGTGCCACACGTCTTTTTTTTCCTTGTTTAATGGCTTCCTGACTAATAGTTTAAATTATATGAAGCTCAATAGAACTTGTCTAAAAATAACACATCTGGCCAATGTAATGGACAAAACCAGGCCCACTAAATGTGTCGAAAATTAGTCTCGGACATAAAAACAGATTATTAAATATCTATATAAGATTTTTACAAAAATAATTAGCTACTTAATTACAATACATTTATGTTCAGCGTTTACGTTTTAAAGTCATGACAGAATAGAAAGTTTTTAAAATAATGTTTGGGGTAATTTGGAACATTACAATAAACTTTTAAAAAGGTATTACCGAGTTAATGCACCGAATTAAAAACATGATGATTAATTGTAATAAACTGTATTTTTTATTAATAGGGGTGGTATATTTCTTTAAATTTAAGTGGAATAAACGACAAGTATACCTTTCTAAATAAAAAAAAATCGGTAATATCGTTTCATAATTGACGAAGTTTTTAAAAACAAACATTAAGAGAAATATAACCTTTTCTTTTTTACCAGTTCATTAAAAATGAGATTATGCAGTTACTAGCGCCAACAGAATAGTATCAACGAAACAAATGCCATTACTTTGGGTTATGTCGAGATTTTTCCATGATCCAAATTACCCCAGTACAAAATTTTTAAATTGTCTATGTATAAGTACACAATTCACTTTCCTAATAGAAACGAAACAGCGTACATTTCTGTTATATCGAAGTGTCACCATTAAAAGACAGACCTTTTATAAGTTTATATTCTGCATACCTTCTACTCATCATCAATAAACCTCTCCGGCAGGTTCCTCCTCTGCCTGTACCGCCTGACCAGCACGAACGTGACCCCTGAGAGGGCGAGCAGCACGGGCACTCCCAACCCGATAGAGATGATGATGATTACAAAGAGGGATACACTTTCCACTGGTGGTGACCCGTAGCCGAAGGTGAATGACCTGGGGTTAAACAATAGAGGGAATAAATATCTTAGTGACTGTTTAAGTAATTGACGAAAAAAACTTTTTTAAGATAACTCCATAGTTCTAATTGAGTCGATTCCCACCTAAGATAAATAATTGTGTGACGAGCACCATCAATTAATTGTTCTGTGTCTGGGTGTTTATTATCTATGACTAGCTTTTTCCCATTGCTTCGCCCACGTGTACGTCGGTTATCGCGGTAAACAATAACCTATGTTTTTCCTCAAGAATCAAAGAATCTCCATACCAAATTTCATCTAAATCGGTTTAGCGGTTATTATGTCCCCATACAAACTTCCGCCCTCCTTTTCACCCCCTTAAAGGATGATTTCTGGGATAAAATCTACCCTATGTCCTTTCGCGGGACTCTGACTATCTCTATACCAAATTTCATCTAAATTGGTTCAGCGGTATAAGCGTGAAGAGGTAACATACAGACAGACACTTTCGCATTTATAATATTAGTCGGGATTTAGAAATACATAAGTATGTTTATCAGTTCCCTGGTATAGTGCAGATGCTTAGTTTGGTATCAGAGTTTTATTAGTAAAGCGTCTGTCCGAAATACGGCTAGCGCTGTGGGTTAGAGTGAGAGAGGCTGCCTACCGCTGCCGTATGCGTGACTGGAACCGTAACGCGTTACGTAACGAAGCAATTTACCCTCCCATAAGAAGTTCATGCATAGCAGTTAAACACTATACAACTATTATTAATACTACTTCGTTTAAAACTTACCAGGAAGTAAAATTGCGCTGTTTGTAGTACCCATCCCCAGGGAGGCCGAATGAGATGAACATCTGCTGCGCCAACAGTTCTACAGGTTCGTAGTCTTTGTAAAACCGTCCTAATGTTGTCATGTTGTTAGGCAATGGCTTTCTAAAGTAAAAAATATAATTACATTAGTTATATTTAACAATTCTGTATTATACATAAATAACTAGTTATGCCCACGGCTCCACCCGCGTGTATGTCAGAAAGAAAGAGAAGTCGTCTTGATGAGAAGTTGTCTATCTTTCCTCAAAAATCAAAATATTTACATGAGAAATTTAAATAAAATTGTTTCAGCGGTTATTGATTGCCCATACAAACTTCCATCCCCCTTAAGGGATGAACTCTGGGATGAAAACCTATGTCCTTACCCAGGACTCAAACTATAGCAATACCAAATTTCATCGAAATCAGTTCAGCGGTTTAAGCGTTAAGAGGTAACAGACAGACGGTTATAATATTATAGTATGAATACATTAGTAGATATTAGATAAGGTAAGATATTAACCGTGGGAGAGACCATCTACGGCACAAATGGTGCGGCTTGCCCGATGTGACACCATGACCTCACAAAGAACCGTTGTATAGTAATTCTTACGACAATCTAATATGACAAAAGAGCAGATGGGTCACAAGGGCATCAATTCTGCTATTTTATGTTAACGTACAAGCCACTGTCATTCCATTGACACGCTATTAAGATGCCATTGACATCGATCAAAATATCAGTATTCTGCTAACATAAATTCACAGTGTCAATAGACTGTGGATGCAGTAAAAATGGCTCATCAATGGTGATATCAACAACATTACCTTATCTGGAAAAAGAAATATATAATTTCCTAACAAATTTAAAAAGTACCATTTACCAAACTATTACAAAGACATCGAGGACATTTGTATCTGTGGCAGTTCAGTGAGATGTTATCGGGCCATTGGTCTTACATAGTTAGTAGAATACGAAAAGTGCCAAGTTGTCACATTCCATTGTCAGTCTATTGATACAATATTAAAATAGCAGAATTGACGCCCTGAATGTAAGTGATAACCGCCGCCCCTGGACTCCTGTGACTTTGACGTTGGATTACGATCTCTATTTCTTTGGGTGGGAGAGATGGTGCATGAGAATTTTTACCTGGTTATCGGAGATATGTAAGCGTTGGTGGAGGACGAGACACTACGCTCTTGCTCCGTGTACCCGACTGGTCGGAACTGCATGAACCCACCAGCTCCCGAAGTACGAGATTTCGGTGTCTTTACCTCTATTATCTATAAAAGAATATATTTTATTAAGCTAGGTGGCGCGGCGGTAGAGGTTATGGGTCACTCTGGTGAGTATGGCGTTTGAGGGAGAGCTTCCAACCCCAGCTCTTGCAGCTTGGAGACTGTCTGTTGCGCAGTATGGGGTCGCGCGTTGTCGTGAAGGAGCAGTGGGGACGACCGATTGACCAAAGCTGGTTGCAGATGTGACCACCAGACCTTGCACCTACCGACTATTACTTTTTCAAAAATTTAGACAACTTTTTAGTGGGTAAAAAATTCAATTCCCGAGAGGCAGTACAAAATGCCTTTGAAGAGTTTGTTGCCTCCCGTCCAGCTGATTTTTACAAGAAGGGCATCAATAAACTGCCAATGCGTTGGCAAAGATGCGTCGATTGCATGGGTGATTACTTCGAATAACAGAAATAAAAAAGTTTGAAAAGATCAAGTACTTTCACTTATTGCATACAAAACGGCAATTTCATAGGTAAATACCTAATATAATAACTGTCACTATAATAAGAAATAAAATATTTGATATCAATCTCCAGGTACGTGTCACTAAGTCATAGGCCTTAACAAACATGCATTGTTTTGTCCACCAACATTCCTCAACTCATAGCTTTATAGAAAGTATTTAAGCTACCCGACTCATAAAAAACTTTTCACAACTACCTTACTAACTAACTACGCTAATTAAGTAATATATTTTTGTTTAGTATTGTATTTTTCTCTGCAAGTGATTAATTGTCATCTTTTGAGTAAAATAAATGTCTTTAACCGTAATAAGTAGTAAATATTTAAACGAAAATGTATATAGGTCCATAGCATAACAAGCTTAGTTTGGGTCTAGATAACTTGGGACTAAATATGTATATGTGTCTAACATATATATACATAACATATGAATAATCTAAGCACAACATAAATACTAGTAAATATTAATTTTTTCAAGCCTAATGTGCCTTTGTTACACATAAATAAACATTTTCGAACATCTGACACACAACGCCATCTAGTTTCAAACTAAGCAGAGCTTGTACTATGAAAGTCAGATTGACTGGTAGAATACTTATATACTCCTTTTTTTGTAATACAATATTATTCATAGATTGCAGATCATACAAACATTTGCTCCGACAAGGGAATCAAACCCGAGACAGCAGTACGCTACCACTGCACCACCAAGTCACATTCTGTTATTAAAAAAATAAAATAAATTAAGAGCTGGTTAACATGTCTTATTCTAAAACTAACCTCAAAAACTCCAGGCGTATGCTCATCATCAAGACTCTTCCTCATTGTATAGTTCATCACATCATTCCAGTTGTCAGTGCTGACCATCAGGAAGTGTATCGCGTACCTGGACGCGTTCATACTGGTCGTGAAGTTCACCAGGCTGATGTCTATTAGCGAGGAGTTAGCTGTGTGTATAAGGCGGGGTAGGTCTACTGCGTAGTCGGTGAACGGCAGCAGATCCAGCTGTTGGGTTCCAATGCATTTAATTAATGTTACAAATTAACAAAACCTACGGTAATTAAATAATTAATTATCAACAGCCTCTAAAATTCCACATTGGATGGACATAGTCTTCTTAGAAAGGAGGTTTTGGTCTACTATACCACGCTGGCCAGACGGGTTGGTATAGGGTTTGTGTCAAGTTTTCCTTCTGTTTGCAGTGCTGTTGTCCTGCGTAGTTTGCTCCCTTAGTCGGCTCTTACGACACCCACGGAATGAATAGCAGTGGTGACACTTTAAATTCTTAATTTGTCACACACGGTCATTTAATTTTATTAAAAACAATTACATAATTGATTTTTGAAAAAAATTTGACGTGTTCATTGTTTATCACTATATTCGTTAAGTAATAAACTATATTCGTCATTCCTTCATTTTCCAGCTTTGATGTTGTATTTTTTTCCTCAAATTTGATTACGACTAAACGGAAAGTATACCCAATCATATAAAAAAACAAATTGGTTTATAAATGACAAAGTGCTGCAATAACCAACATAAAAAGAAGTAAAGGGAATTCAGAGCGTTCTTCAGTTTTTGCAGTCGGTTAAAAAGGCAAGTATTTGAGTAGAACTGAATAATATGCCTAACATACAAAAATCAAATAATAAAAATACAAAATAGTCCAGGAAGTACTCTATCCTAAAGCATTAGAATAACAGACAGTATCCCAAGATCAAGTGGAAGTAGGATAAGGGATCACCCATTAACTCGACCAGACCAGCAGTGATGTTTGCAAATGAGATGGCGGAGTGGGACCGGGAGAGGTTTAGAACCCTCCCGGCGGTCATAGGGGTTCCCACAGGGGGGGGGGGGGGGACACAGGAGGGGGTCATTTACACGCCGTAGATGGCCCGAGGTACGTCGCGGTATCAGGCATTTCCTTAGGGTACCGTGGTTTCGACATAACCAGCGGTGGGTGGTATCGGAGGGGATTTCCGCACAGAAAAAAAGGCGTGGCATAGTAGGCCAAAACCTCCCTTATAAGGAGAGGTCTATGTCCAGCAGAGGACTAATAAAGGCTGTGGATTTTCCACATTTAAAGTTTTTATTCTTTAAAAATTGCTAAATTCTGTACTAATAATACATTAATACCAATAATTATAGTATGGGTAGGAGATGGTGATTAATGGACGATCCCGTGACAAAAAAATGGTCGATGGTGATGGTGTGAAAAAGAATGACTATAATTCTATGCTCTCCTAAATTCCATGGCACCGAAAATTGCAACTGAAATCATCAATACGCATTATGGCCTATATTTAAATAGTAACAAATTACCTTCATGTGTATTAAACCGGATCTCCTACGGTCTTTGTAGAACCCATGCATCGTTATCATGACTTCGTCACTAGTCAGGATGCTGGCGTTTAATGCCCATCCCACGTCCCTTAGCGGCAACGCCCTCCGAGGACATCTGTCATCTATGTGACCAACATCCTGACAGTCTTCGTATTCATAAAGCTGAAAAGAAACAGAAAATATTTTTTATTACCGGCCTTACCTCACATTACATTATACATCACTGACTGAGTGAGGTTTTGAGCCCAAACCCCCTCTCCCTCTGACTCAAAGGGGAGGGACTCATTAGTTTACTCGTTTGTTCATTTGCCCCCCTTATACCATTAAGAATTATCTACAATCGTCATCTCACGCCATTCATGGAAAACTTTGATAATAATATGTAATTTTAAGCATCTGAACAAATAAAATTACTTCATACGTTTATACACATAGCGACAGGTAACAGTCTGTTTGTACAACTATAAATTGTTCGTCTTTTGTAACAACTAAGAATACATAATTAGCCCACCAATACATAATTATGTACCAAAACCTCTTGTACCTCTAAAACAAAAATTTAATTTTCTTTTCCTATTCCATTTTTTAAATATTAAATTTGTGTTTTTTTTTTTTGATAACTCAATAGGCAAAGGAAGCTCGATTATCCACTGGTTTTGTTGGTCGATTTAATTTATTTTGTAAACAGAACGCGGAAAAAATTAGAACAAAATTATGTAAATACTAATACATTCATAGAGTTAAAAATAGTTTTACTGGTTAGTAGTACCTAAGTGGAACGTATTTTTTAAATATAAAATGACTACATTTAGGACATATTGGCTTTTTTTTGCATGTTTATTTATTAAAGAATTTACATTAGAAGATTCTTTAGCATTTAAGGCAAGCATGCGGACAGGAATATGATATTTTAGAATACTAAAAATCGATATGTACGAGAAGGGGAGAAAGCTAAAATGAAAAACAATACGCGCTATTAAGTAAATTATGTAAAAATGACTACATAAAGATAAAAAGGTTTAGAAGTCCAATATATATTTCGACTTCTTATAGTACAAAAGTCAATACAACGACAGTTCAATTGAAACTGGAAAAGGAAATATAAAAGGCCGATATCTACTTAAATAAAAAGTATTAAAATATTTACACAGCATTTATAACAAGAAGGTAGATAATTTCACGACGAATTAATTTTTAATTCTCATATTACGTTGCTGACAAATAGAATTAAGAAATTATAATTAGAAACAAATTATATTACGGATTATCAAATTGTAATGTACTTGCGTGAGTACTTTGTTATTTACTCCGAAACGAGGACATAACCTATGACTCAGTAGTCTGTTAGATCATGCATGCCATGTACAGTTTGATAGCACGCAGGTCGGTTTACAAATGACTAGATACCAATAAGTGTGACACATTTAATATAAAATTGAGTTTCCGCCTCGAACTGTATTAACGATTTAATTAGTTTTATTGGCATTATCATTAAGCATTGACTCCAGATTATACACTATTAGACATAGTGTTTTTAGACCACGCTCAAGACTTCGGAAATTGTAATTCTAAACCCCAAAACACACGTCAGTCTGATTCCAAACTAGGCAGAGCCTGTACTATGGTGACCAGACAGCTGATTACTTACTCAAATATTTCTAAATACATAATATACATATTATAGACTAGCTGAGACCCGCGGTGTTACCCGCGTTTGTTGTTATTACCGCGGGCAACGCCGCGGGGCGAAGCTTGTCTAAAAAAAGTAGCCTAAGTTACTCCTTATGTCATCAGCTATCTGCCAGTGAAAGTCCCGTCGAAAGCGGTCCAGCCGTTCCAGAGATTACCCGGAACAAACAGACAGACAGACAAAAATTGTAAAAAAATATATTTTGGCATATGTACCGTGTAAACATACATATGCATTTAGTAAAAAGCGGTTATTTTAATATTACAAACAGACACTCCAATTTTATTTACTTATTTGTATAGAGTATAGATATGTGAGACAGAAGAAATGATCGTGTTCATCACACAATTATTTGTCTTATAAATGCTGCTTTTTAAGAAACTACTAGTAGAAAATACGGTAATAATATTTTTCATTTCGCTGTTTTTGTAACCCATAAGTACCCATTTGTTTAGTCAACTGTCATTTTCTGCAATGCCTCAGTTTTAATTATAAATTCAAAAAACGAAACTGAGAACACTGGCATAATTGCTGTTTTAATAGTGTAGGGATCAAATGAGCAAACGTGTCACCTTTTTCGTCATATCAACGAATGAAGACTTAAACTGCACGGATGGCATAGTGGTTTAAGCGGTCGCCACGCTTCCTACTGCGCCGAGTGTTGTGGGTTCAAACCCCACATGGGACGACACTTTGTGTGATCCACAAATTGTTGTTCTAAGTCTGGGTGTTCTTTGTGTCCGTTTCATGTATGTTTGTAAAGTCCCCCGCGACACAGGAATGTATTCCTAATGCGGGAGTTGTCTTTTAAAAAAAAAAAAAAAAAATTTGTCTGCCCAAAATGCCGCTACAGCCACGGTATTGTCCGTTGCTCTCCTCAGCTCCTCTACAGTGCAGCTGGAGGGGCACAGTGGACAAGAAAGCAAATGTGGCATGGTTTGTATTGGAGAGTCACATTCACAGCGCGTTTGCGACTGGTCTATGTAGCCCCAATTCGTCATGTTGCTTTTGCAATGACCTACCTGCGTGCGTAAGCGATTCGGTGATCCCATGTTGGCCATTGCAGGTTTTTTTTTAAAGACAACTCCCGCATTATGAATATATCCTGTGTCGCGGGGGACTTTACAAACATACATGAAACAGACACTACGAACACCCAGACTCAGAACAACAATTTGTGGATCACACAAAGTGTCGTCCCATGTGGTAATCGGACCTACAACACTGAGCGTAGTAGTGCAGTCATTTGGTTTCCAGGTGGCAGGTTTTTTGCAGGTTTGATGAGAAATGCCGGGACAGGATGTTTAGCTGACCACATTTGCTCTCTGGCCCGTTACGTGTCACCTATATATAGATAGTAAGTAACTACCGCCGCCCAAGGACATCACCAACTCAAGAGACTCAAGTATTGGGAGTTGCAGTCTATTGAGTACCACTCCCCCTAGAATGAAGGGTTAAGGATTGGGCCTCCAATAACCTCAGTCATCAAGTGAAAAGCAACGAAAGGGCTACTTAACACCTGGTTTCTTTGAGGCCGAGGATTCGCTCATATCTACACGAAGCTTTATCTGGACTAGTATTTTTCTACGGTGTGGAATAAACATTTACTGGTAGGACTGTATATTATCTAAAATTATTTGTAGTAACCACTCGCGCGTTTCTCTTGACCTCGTATTTATATGCCATACTTCCGTTGGCGTTCACAATAGTCTTAGCAACTGGTATAATATTTATAACAAAGGCCATTATTTACAATACCTGCACCAACAAATAGTACATTTCTTTTAATATACTTTTCATATCACACTAGTGATATTTATACACAATGACAAGTATCGAAGAGAAAATTAAATTGCGTCAAAATACACTAATAAATTCACACTTGGCCGCGATAACAGCCGTCAACAGCCGTGGCAGATTTACTGCTGCGGTAGGCGATAGGATGGTGGCCTAGATTGCGCCGATAGGGCTTTACTAGGCACGGCGTCGATCTAAGGAGGACCTGAAATAACATGGTCTAGGTCCTCCTCAGAGTAGGGCACCGAGACAGGCCGTCCCGGTGGTTTTTAGTGGAAACACTACATACTCCTAGTTCCTGCATCCCCGAGGAGTCCGGAGATTTGAAGAGATTTACCACTCCGTCATCAAAAAAAAAAATTGACTGGCAGAGAATGCTGTGGGCATTAAGTCCGCATAGGTACAACATTAATAAATACTAAATAATAGATGAAGTAATAATTTAAAAAAAAAAACCGAGACTTTCTTAACGTTATTTACCTTTTTCATCAATATCAACGTAAGGTTTCGTTGTTTGAAGGTAAAACTTGTGCTTTTTGCTACTGTTGATAACATTATTGTAGTGGAAGTGGGTTATCACAACGAAAACACCGAGAACCACTTTCCAGCATTTAAGTTTCCCTCGATACGAAACTCATTAATGTCAATTTAATTCATTTTATACTAAATGACCCTAAACGAGTAGGTAAATAACATCAACAACATCAACAGCCTATGATAGTCCACTGCTGGACATAGGCCTCTCCTCTGAAAGGAGGTTTTGGCCTACTGTAATACCACGCTGGCCTGGTTGGTATAGGGTTTGTTTCAAGTTTTCCTTCTCCTTGCAGTGCTGTTGTCTTGCGTAGTTTTCTCCCTTAGTCGACTTTTACGACACCCACGGGATGAATAGGGGTGGTGACATTACGTATTCTTAATCCGTCACCACACGGAGTAAATAACACGATTCGAAAATATTACATACAACTAAAATATTGATTCAACACTTGAATTAGGAAGAATTGTAATAGAAGTGTGTTTTAGGTATGTAAAAAGAATATCATTTGCTTTCATTGAACTGTCTATTTTCCTGGCAATTATTTATCTATTTTCTTCGACTAAAAACCTTATCAGGACCATAACTACAAAATATATCAAACAAAAAGTTATTCAACTATTCATTTGTGTTTATATTTTAAAGATAATCGGTGCTCACAACAGTTTACAGGGTAAATGCTATTTTCAGTTCATTATTAAATGTTACAATTCATTCCAATTATTTCAGACTTTTTGCTTGTTCTAAAAATATGTAAAATACTAATCGCCATAAATTGATGTCACCAATTCAGTAAAAAAACGAAGTTAATTGTAAATTCTATAATATATTTATTCATTGTGAAAAAAAAAAAATATTCGCCATGAATTTCTCTTTCTCCAACACCAATCATTAAACTTTATTTAAAATTAAATTGTATTGAGCGCAGCAATTTAAATTGTGAAATCGAAATACCATACTATTAGTAAATAAGGTAAAAAAAAATTACATCCTTTTAATAATTACTGCTGGTAAACCCAGTCGTAACACAATCGTCAATAGCCATTACTAAAATCGCTTTATTAAATACTCATTCATCAGCAGGCCAATTCTCGCAATTAAAGTTCCGATCAACTCTCGATCTCACAACTACAACTTTCATAAAAGGTATTTTCGTAGTAAAATATTAAACATCCAACGTTGTGTAATGTGATTTGACTGTATTGTAAAAGGAAAATTGAATCGGTAATCTCTTACTCTTAGTAATATTTTACTATAGATAGTTCAACTCAGTTGTGCGCGCGGCCCTATGTGTGCGTGGGCTCGGACGACGATTGCCGCGTCACTGCCACACGAATGAAAGTTGTATATTTACAAGCCCACGCACACATAGGGCCGCGCGCACAACTGAGTTGAACTACTATACAAAAGTATCATTTATGACAGTTGTGAGATCAAAAGTATCACGGAACTGATTTTTATTACACGAATTGGTCTTTAGTCATTTCAATTAAAAAATTAAATCTGTACTTACTTTGTCAATAGCAGCTGCAAAACTGTATTTAACAGATTCCGTAAATGTGAAATTTTCCGGTTCCCTTCTATTCCATGCAATAGTCATGGTGGAGTTGACAGTTCCAACTGCATATATGACAGATGGCACACCTCTTGTGAAGTCCCAAATCTGGTGTATGGTGTCATCTTGTCCTTCTGCTCTTGTGTATACTAACGTGTAAGAGGAATCACAGTTTGGACAGCCTGGATTTAGTTTAGATATTAACTGTAACAAGAAATTATTAAATGAAACAGCAGTTTATTTTTTTATGGTACATGGGTAAACAAGTAGTGTCGTCACCTGAAGTTAAGTGGCTACCGTCGCCCATGATTTTTTAAAAAGCTAAATATGAAAAATTATATCCAGCAGAAAAGAAATTTTATGTCTTTTTTTATGGAAGAAGCAGTCACCCGTCTGCTCGTTTGCCCCTCTTCCATAAAAAAATCACAATCACCTGATAGAAAGCCACTATGGATGCCTATGAACGCATGAATGCCTGCAACTCAGTTGTTTTTTTCTACCTTATGAAGAGGGCTGGCACTGTTTAGGGTTTTGATTGATGTAATATTTGTTTGCAGAATTACAGTTATTAATATTTTTATATGTACTTTATGTTATAATATATTATGCAATACAGTATAACATAATGTTTTACACACCTACACTATAAAAAGCACACTGAATATTTTTACAGATGGCCTTCAGCTGCAAGTTTGTCTAACATGCATATGTAAAACTCTGCATTATATCATCAGCATAGTTTGAACTTGGTATTGGTGGTGGGATCCGGTTTCTGCATTTAGGTTCAAGAATAATCCTTTATGGGTCGACGTAAACGACCTCGCCTACCGAGGGTTCCGTACAAATTAGGTACATATTATAAATAGTTCAGGAAACGAATTTAGCAGTTTTTCCCGAGCTTTTCCCGTTTGTACCTCGATGATTGATTACATACTTTAAATAGACAATAGAAATAGATTTTTTTTTTATTTATTTACAAACGTATAGTTTTTCAGACCGACGTACGTCGGGCTATCAACGGCGGGTAGATAACCCTCTCCTGTGTGGAAACCCCCATCTTCTCTTTGTGCTCCCAAAGAGCAAGCGCGCATCGCAATGCGTCTCACCGCCACCTTGGCCTGCTTCTGCTAGGGTGAAAGATGGCCTCACCTGTCACCCCCAGGCCTCCGCTTATGGAGGACGGAGGTCGTTCTGCGACCTCCGGCGCCTGAGACGTCTGCGGTACCTGGCCCGTTCCCGAGCATGGCGGGTCGGGAGAGTTCTATACCTCTCCCGGTCCCACTCCGCCATCTCCTTCGCAAGCATAACTTGCTCGCAGTAGGAGACAGCAGAGTTCCACGCACTCTCGTTCCCCACCATGGCCGCAATCATTTTAACGAGCCAGAGAACTCCCACTCCGATGGCCGCCACGAGGTCACGCTTCTGCTCCACACTCGCCGGGCATTCTGCCAGCGTGTGGAGCGCCGTGTTCACGGTCCTTGCGGATCAGACACAGGTGGTGCCCGAACCATCCTTCCCCAATGATCACCTGCGTCAGCCGGTATGAGAGACTCCCGTGATGCCTCTCGAGCCAATCCTCCATAACGGGTCTTGCCGCCGCGTTAACGTCGTGCCCGGCCCTCAGTTGCTCAAATCGTTCCTTTCACTCCTCTACGAAGACACAGTGGAGTTGGGATTTCTGCTCATCGATTTCTCAAGTCTTAGGACTCCAACCCAACTCAACGGGAAGCACCCTATAAATTTTTATTCCCTTGAGAGTGTTGAAATAAGCATTTTTGCAGCATAAGCCAATCTTTTTTTTGTTAACTTAGAAGTTTGATTTTTTATACAGCTTCTAGGGACTGTAGACCTGAGTGTATGGTTTTAATTTCAACTCCATACCTCCACGTGTGACCGATATAAAGGGTCTTGACAGACAGACAACCAAGTCATCCTATAAGGGATCCGTTTTTCCTTTTGAGGTATGGAACCCTAAATACATTGAAAACTTAAAATTTTTGGTAATGGCCAAGAAAATAATGTTCTAATTAATTTAGTAGTATATTAAATATCTAACTGGCCCAAAGTGCTTTACTGTGGTAATTTTGGTAACCCAAACAAAAGATTTAAACATGTTTTCAAACTGCATTCCTAAATGTAGTGATTTGGTAAAATCTTTTCATAAACTGATAATAATTCAGAGCTTCAGTATCATGTTAACTCGCTACAAATGTTTATGAATAATTTGACCTCACTATGATCAAATTTCAATTTATTGAATGTTTCTCATGGAGTCCAATAACAAAGGGAAACTAACAAAAGGGGGATAGAATCACAGTTAGATTTAAAGATTGTTTAAATAGCATAATACACACGTATAGCTACGAGTATATACTAGCTGTCATCATAAGCTAATACAAACAATGAAAAGATAAACAAAACAAAAGGAAGCTTCAAAGGCCTTGACATGAGTTTAATATTTCTTAAATCTAATAAATAAAATGAATTAACAAAAAAGACTTACTTGTCTATCTTGCCCATACGCCAGTGATAATAAAAACACAATTAATAAAGTCTGTAAATGCATTCTTATCGTTTTAGGAAGAAAAACTGTAACAATTAATTATTGGAACAATATCAACGGCGCGCTGTCACTGTACAATAAACAAATGATAACACATCGGCACGTGTGCTGTGTTCGACGTCGACAATAATTCCTAATAGATAAAATGCTATCAATTAAATATTATTTATTGCTTTCTCTTGCGATCTTGTGGCATTCACGAATCAAATTTGCGTCATACTACCTATAAACTTACTAAATAACAAATCGACATTATTTTATTTTTTAAAACAATGGTGGCGCCACATGTAGTTAATTTCCCTGTAAATTAAGTTCCGATTTCGGATAATTGGCGTCTTTTGAACTTGGTCATATAATATTTCAATTCTTCCTGTCATTTCGTTCAGAAATCCTTCTGTCATTACAAGTGAGAGTTCCACAGATTAAGGGATATAATTGTTCTATTTTGACTGCTGTATTATGTCTTGCTTAGCATCAGCTTTTAGTCTTTGTTCCATAACCATGATACCTATATAAATATGTCTATAAATAAACTAGAAACGAGAATTATCACGATCACGTAATAGTTTTTAAAATTTACTTTACATTGCCCTATGTTTTGACAAGGTGCACAGGCCACTGTAGTCATAAGCTGTCCAGAGTATCGCATACCATTGTGAAATGCATCTTTACCTCTTAAAAAAACATTACGACCAAAAGGTATCAATAACCTCTCGAGCAAAATTGTTCAACTCATAGTGGTTGTGTCCAAGGCAGACAGTTGTTTATTTCGAGTAGGTATGCAGTTAATTAAAAATTCCTTAATAATGAATGAAGCCATCATTTTATGCGGCCTATGCTTCTTTTATGTGTATCTAGCTAAGCCAACGGCCAATTTCCTCTCAGTTTAATGTCTTATTACATGGCTACTTTAACTTCCTGAATGTCGCACTTTTAAGCTGACGCGAATTCTCATTTAGAAAGGTGAAATTAATCCTCCTTCACAATTTTTCGAGCTCAGAATCGAATGGCGAAGTACCTTCACCAATGTACTGTTAATACCCTTCCTCAATGGACTCTTCTCTACTCTTCAATGAAACAATCGTTGCAGGTGAACATAATTACAAAAGTATGCCATAAAGTATACGTAAGTTTGATTTTTGTTTGTAGCACATAATGTTTCCTATTTTTGTTTTAATTTTGCAAAGCTACCTGTTGCTGCGGTGACTGTATGTATATATCTGTCACCGGAAAATAACAAGAACCGAAAATGTATAAATTTCCTAGGAAATTTATAAACCTTCGTAGGATTCAAAACGAGAGAAGAAAACCTAACCTAACCAAACCGGGGTAATGAGCGAGCCGACCAGCTCGCCAAGAAGGCGCCTCTGGGACTGAAGAAAGCACCGGACTAGAGTTCGGTAAGTTTATCAATTTGCGAAAATGTAGGCGTAAAATAATAATATTATTATAAAATAATAATAATTTTTATTATTATTATAATAAACATTTATCTCGTTTAGAATCCTACGAAGGTTTATAAATTTCCTAGGAAATCTATGCATTTGCGGTTCTTGATATTTTCCGGTGATATATCTATAATTTGAATAGTGTGTTCATTTTTTTTTTATTTATGAGACAAATTAATGAAATTTTATGAAATAAATTAATTGGTTCTGAAAAGATTTAAAAAAAGTTAAGCTTCATATTGTGTATGTATTGTTCAAAAGTCCTAAATCAAGTTCAATTTGTACATGATCAAGATTTTAGGTATTTATACTAATAATATTGCAATAATACTAAAATATAATGAGTTTGTTTGCCCTTTCTTCTCATAAGGCTCAACCCCTTGGAAACGGGCGGTTGTAGATCGGCACAGGCATATCATGGATTTTGTAAAAGCATAATTTTATTTAAAAAAATCCTAACTATTTCACAAAACAGAGATTGTTGCCATTGTGTGTTGATCTACGACTTTAGAGTCTACATAAAAGACGACTTCAATTTGTTTTTAATTTTGATGAAATAAAGATATTTTGAGTTTGAATAAAATGTACGCCAACGAATAAAATCCAACATCGCAACAATATAAACATTTATTTAAACATTAATTTCTGTATCAGCATCCGTCTTTTTCCTCTTCTCGTCGTCGCTCTGCGGTGAATGCTGCCTCTTCTTATTCTTTGAGCACTTGTTCTGATTTCGTATCGCCTTAGACATTTTCTCCTCACCCACACTGAGAGAAAAAAGTAAGTATTTCTATATATTTATTCTAAATTCGAATCAGTTCATATTTCTGTTGTAAAAGCCTCTCCAGACACAGCACGGACACATAAGTACGCGATCAACCTCTTCGAAAGTGGTATCATCTATCGGGTTTTGAGGAATAGCTTAGACTCTATCCCATGCCCCCCTTGGCATGGGATAAGGACTGGATGATGATCATGATGATAGTGATGATTCGTATACCACACTGGGTTAAATAAATTATCTAATAGACTTCATATTTTGTCAAGAATAACAATGATTTTTTTATGTAGTTGGAATACTTAAATATCTATATATAACAGTCATAAATGTTCAGAATACTCAAGCATCAGATCAAATATTTATATCTGAATAAAGCAATCAAACATCTAATAACTGAAACAATCGTATGCAACTTTCATAAACTTACTTGACAGCCGCTCTAGAACCAGGACCCCAATGAGGCGCCGGATTGGTTTGAAACCGAAGTTTGCCATCTCTTCGGCTGATAGGGTTCGCGTCAGGTTGCTCGCTTAAGTCTACCGGTGTTTTGATATCTTGAGACAGTATGTGCTTCGTCACAGGGTCAGCTTCTAATCTAGAGTGATAAACATTATGATGGTTTTGATTGGGTTTTCATCCCGTGGGTGTCGCACTGCATGGCCATGGTGACAGAATCAAGTTGTTTTGTCTAGAATAACAGCGTTACTTACTTCGCTGGTTTCACCGGGTGGGTTTTCTCCCACGTTCGTACGATATCCCAAATGACCTGCGCGGGCGCAGCTGTCTTCAATGACATCTTTGACGCGTGGGAATATGAAACTTTGTAACCGGCATTTAATATCGCCGACCTGAAAATAAAAGAGAAGTAAACTCATTATGAGTAAGGCACTAATGATCAGGTAGGAATTATCATGACGATCTTAAAGAGACTAATATTTAAAATGTGTAAAAAGAGGGACAACAAACTTCAAACAGAGTCAGAGTGAAGTTTCTTTCTTTTTTTTCCGGAAATCGACTGCATGGATGGCGTAGTGGTTTAAGCGGTCGCCACGCCGCATCCTGCCCCGCCAAGTGTTGTGGGTTCGATTCCCGCATGGGACGAAACTTTGTGTGGTCAACAAATTGTTGTTCTGAGTCTGGGTGTTCTTTGTGTCCGTTTTATGTATATTTGTAAAGACCCCCGCGACAAAGGATATGAGTTGTCTTATTAAAAAAAAAGACAGTCGAATGCGCTAACGCCGTGCCACAGAGAAACTCAATACCATACTACCATTTAATAAAACCTTAATATAATATGTATATACTAGAACCAGGTTCCCTCTTTACAAAATACATAAAAAGGTGTACCATTGGTGTACCCTTAGTTTTTGGAATACACTTGGTCACAAGTAGACAATATATTTTATATTATTTCAACTGACACACAACGCCATCTAGTTTCAAACTAAGCAGAGCTTTTACTATAAAAAACTAGATTGACTGATAGAAAACTTATATACTTTTTTTGTAAATACAAACATATTATACATAGAAAACAACCAAACTCCGAAACAATATTTGCAGATTATACCAACAGCAGGTGCAAACACAGTAAGACAGTAAAGAATAACAATTCATAATGGTAACCAAAGACAATTTCTTACCTCATAATCAACATGGGCATCGTCTCCAAATGAACTCTCCCAAACAGTTTATCCAAAGTATAATACAGTGGCACCTCCTGCAGTTCTTCTCGAACCATGGCCAACACACCTGCTATCCGCTTGGCGGTGCCGAATAGTTCAGGGTGGTCTTCCACATGGGACAGTACCCTAGATACGAAGACGTGGTCGTGGATTGGCGCGGACCAGATTGGACCACCTACCTAAAGAGAAGGTCATTAAAATATAAGAATTTTTACATCAGAAGCTTCCAACGCTGTCATGATTGAGAATTGTTGCCTCTGTATTGCTTGAACAAAGATCACAATTCTTTTTACATAGGAGGGCTAAACGAGCAGTCGAGGCACCTGATGTTAAGTGACTACCGCCGCCCATGGACACCTGCAAGAGTCACAAGTGTGTCCCCTCCCCAGAATTAGCCTAAGTAACCTCACACACTACAAAATGTAAAAATCAACTAAAGAATTTCTTAAGAGCAGTTTTCTGTGAGGTGTTGTCACTCTGGTCCGACGTGTCATTCTGGTCCGTGGTATCACTCTGGTCGAGCCAGCCCATTTTTACCGAAGCATGGCTCTCCCCATGTTTTTAAACTTTAGATACCAAACTATTTAAGCTTTCTCTCATTCGCTGTAAAAGCTTTTACAACAAGCATAGTGATCAGAAGCCTTTTTGAATCAATTCTATATCAAAATTGTGCTTTATTTTCTTAATCAGAGAGTTGATATTTATTTGAAGGTTAGAGCGACCAATCTGTACTATTAATTAATATGTGTTAATGGTAAAAATTGTAGTGCATTGATTACAGCATATGTTTGTATATTGCAGTTGATTAAAATTCAGGTCAGGTCCATGTGATTACAGATTAAGAGTGAAGAGTGTTACCACCCCTTTTCATTCCGTGGGTGTCGTGAGTGTCGACTATGGCAACACAATACGCAGTACAATAGCACTGGAAACCAACCAACCCATCTGGCCAGTGTGGTATAGTAGGCCAAGACCTCCTTTCTAAGGAGATGCCTTTGTCTAGCAGTGGACTATTTAAGGCTGTTGATAATAATATTTATTATTTCAAATCAAACTTACATGATGTCTCTGATGGCAATTAACACAGTATTCTCCGACAGGTGGCGCCGCTGGCAGGTACGCCTTCATCTGTGCGGGGTTTTTCTCAGACGGGTTGGGTTTGAACCCACCTAGCGGCTGCAATGTTATGTTATCACAACCCGTACACTGATATACCATAGATAATTTGCTGAAAAAAGTTTTCATATCCATACAAGAATATATACCACTTACTTAAACATAAAAAATGCGTTATTTTATTCATTATGGTGGTAACATTTATAATTTACTTGTTTATTTGTCTGATGTTTCGACCGTATTGCACTAGTCGTGGTTAATCAGTATGAAACATCTTAGGTAGATGTTTCATACTGATTTGTGACATACGAGAGATCACTACGAGGCACATCTAATGTTAATTGTTCCATGAGTAGTATATTCCACCATAGACCATTACTCTTTAATATTTTAGAACATTGCATCCAAATGTTCCTGTATGTTTGTAAAATCCTCTGTGACACAGCATATATTGCTAATGTGGAAGTTGTTTTTTACGAAGTAATTAATCACTAAGTAGGCACAAAGGCAATATTTAAAAAAAAAGTTTTTACAGGTCGTCAAAAGTCTTAAAATAAACAGTACTGACTAACTTACCTAGTAGTTTTCTTGCAGTGTATAGCACCAGAATAAACTTTAACAAACACTCGTATATAAAAGTCTGCTGATATGCTGATTAATGGTACTATGTAACGGCTGTAACGATTTGCGTGAGATTCTATACATTGTAACATTATGCGCAATGCCTGGAAGTTGAAAAACATGTAAAAAAAACATTTTCTTAACATAAATTGCTTTTAAAGTTTAATTAACATTAATTTTGTAAATGCTATCAATCACTATCCGTGATGGATAGTCACCATACTCACTCACTTTAGCTTCTTCAATATTTTTTTTTTATATAAATGGTCCAAGGAGTTTTTTTTAGATTATTTGGGAGTCAGGTATATTCTCTTTACATTTAAAGCATAATATTACAGCAAACAACCATGAAATCAGTCCTCACCATTTCATGACAGCACTTGGTCTTCAAGCTAACAGCACCATATTTACAATAACAAGTTTCAGGCGAGTTTCCTGCTAGTACAGCCATGTCAGTTGCAGTTATGAGGAGCAGGCCCCCATCTTGTACACTCTGCACTGCTGAGTCTAAGAAGACAGAAGGGCATCCATACGGATCTAGGTCGATAGCTGCAAAACGATTTGAATGATGTTTGTGCTTGTACATCACCATGCTGGAATATAAAATTTACTTTATACATATTTGCCATAATAATAAACGAGAATATATTTAGTATATTTTCAATTTTTATTGTATTGGCAACAAAAATAAATACACACACTTATTCACTTACTCACAAATACTTTTTAACATTAATTTAAGAACTGATGGAGGCTACTGAAAGTGCAGTATTCGTCGCCAAATTTTGGGCCGACTCAATTTGAATTGTCATCGACACGCTAAGAAGAAGTCATAAAGTGTAAACCAACAATTTCCAATAACATCACCTCAAATTGTACTCCGTTTAGTGCATCACACATACAATAAATTAAACTTACCATGCATCGTCATGACTAGTCTCAATGATGTTTTCCACTTGGTTATGCACAATGTTACTTTTGATAGTCTCAACTGCCTGCAGAGACAGATCATTAGCCACTATTTTTGTTACGTTTGGCACTTCTTTTGCATAACGGATACTTCTTAACCCTGTTGCAGATAATGCTTCCAGGATTGTAATATCCAGCTAAAATATGATAATAGTAATATTCTACTATAGTCACACAACGCCATCTAGTCTGCAACTAAGCAGAGCTTGTACTAGAGGTAACCACTTGACAACTGATATAAATACTTGCATACTTGTTTTCTATAAATACATACATATTATACATAGAAACACCCGGACCAAATCAATCAATAAAAGTTAATGCACACAAATGTTTGACTTGAACAGGAATTGTCTGTCCGTAAAACAAAGCACTTTGCCATCCAGCCGACAATAATATATTACAATACTGTTGTAGGCATTACTTTGTTTTTTCTTATACAGTGCCACATAATTTGTGTACTTTCACTAACATAGGTTAAGTTTCTGTTACCAACTTAGTAAAAATGTCTATAATGGAGCGACATAATCATAATTGTGGCTAACTTCGGTCAACAAAATAAATACCAAGTCCATACCATAAAAATAAAAATACTAAGTCTGTTCATAAACGAAGGAGTTCTGTGGCTGCAAACATGTTTTATAGTAGAATTAATAACCTCTTTTTTTTAAAGTCGGTTAAAAATAAAACTCAAAGAGCTCCTCCAAGTAGCTTCTTATTCTTACCTGTTCACTGCCCGTTGTACCTTCTACATCTTCTCTTATAAGCTCTTTTTTATTCATAGTCTTCTGCTGTGCTTTAGCAAGTTTCTCAGTCTTATAATCTTCGCTAAATATTGTCAAAACAGCTATACTTAAATCACGATTAAACTCCTGCACGGGGTTGTAAAATACTTTCTCTGTAGTTAAATATATCTCTGCTTTTCCCTCTTTTATTGATTTCTGATTTGTGGATACTTCCATTTTCATACTATTCTAAAATTATTGTGTAAAGATAACCTCAACGTTTCTTAAATGCTAGGTTATGTGTACATATTAAAAGTTCTAGCATACAACAGCTCCGGTTTACATACCTGCCCTAATGTTCTAAATAACCTACGAAACTGTAATAAAAACATACATAGGATAATTGCAAATTATGCACGATATTTAATTCATGTAGGAACCTTGCAACAATACAATAACAAAATACGTAAATTTCTCAAATGACACTATTGACATGACAGAGATTACGTCACTTTAGGCAACGTCCACCATGGTATTTCTTTATCTTAGATCGGCACCTACATGAACCTAGAGGTCAAAAAGAACTCTACCGCATTACAAAGAACAGGGAAGAAAGAGCAAAAGACCTGAAGCATGTAAGATGTATAAAAGATAAAGAGGGGAGAGTGTTGGTTAAAGATGAAGATATAAAAAAGCGATGGAAAACTTACTTTGAAAAACTTATGAATGAAGAGAATAAATGGAGCGGAGTGCTAAAGCATGTAGATGTGAATGTCGGACTGGTGAACGAGATTAGTATAGATGAAGTTAGATTGGCAGTACGAAGTATGAACAATGGAAAAGCAGTTGGCCCCGACGGTATACCAGTAGAAGTTTGGAAGCTACTGAAAGAAGACGGATATGAGTGGCTGACTCTATTCTTCAATATGTTGTTGCTTGAAGAGGTAATCCCAAAGGAATGGTGTCAAATACAACTCGTAACCATTTTCAAAAATAAAGGAGATGTTCAGGAATGCAACAACTATCGAGGAATAAAGCTCATGTCACATACTATGAAAGTCTGGGAGAAAGTGATTGAGAGAAGAATAAGAGATGAGAGTCAGATTACCTAAAGTCAATTTGGGTTTATGCCAGGACGCGGGACAACGGAAGCTATATTTGCAATGCGCCAACTATGTGAGAAATACAGGAGTGCGCACAAAAACTTGCATATAGTGTTTGTGGATCTCGAAAAGGCATATGATAAGGTACCCCGAGAGGTTTTGTGGTGGGCTTTGAAAGAAGAAAGAGTGCCTGTAAAGTATGTAGAATTGATTCGTGCTATGTACAGAGAGTCTAGCACTCATGTAAGGTCGGTCACGGGAAACACTGATCAATTCAGTGTCTCTGTAGGCTTGCACCAGGGATCAGCTCTGAGCCCATACCTCTTACTGTTGATAATGGATGCTCTGACATCGGACATACAGGAGGAGGCACCTTGGTGCATGCTATTTGGAGATGACATTGTGTTGGTCGGTGAAGATGGGGTTGAGGTCCAGAGCAGACTGGAAAAATGGCAGCAAAGGCTGGAGAATGTTGGCTTGAAAATCAGCAGAACCAAAACTGAGTACATGTTCTGCGATTTCGGCGGTCTCTCCAGTCCTGAAACCATTTCGCTGGATGGGATAGCGATAACAGTCTGCTCCAATTTCAAGTACCTCGGCTCCCTCTTACAATGTGATGGTGAGATTGATCGAACTGTACAGCATCGAATCAATATGGGATGGATGAAGACATGTCATGCGGATCGATGAGGAAAATGTGGCGAAGAAAGTTTTAGTTATGAGAGTTGAAGGGTACAAGAGAAGAGGCAGACCGAAGAAGAGGTGGATGGACTGCGTCAGGGAGGATATGGCTAGGAAGGGAGTAAACAGTAAGATGACACATGACAGAGTAGAATGGAAAAATCATACATACTGCGCCGACCCCAAATAAAATTGTTAAAAGGGTAGGCAGATGATGAGATCGGCACGGCATGGTATGAAATCCTTCGGCATACTTACGCATTGACGCAAACTAACGGCCGAGAAATCCTCAGGCCTCAGGTCTGCTTAGGAATCTAGCCATCTTCGTAAAACTATGCACCTACACATGTACGATCAGGTGTCCAGAAGAGTGCTATAAGTAACCGAAGGCTGCCTTGGCTTTCGAAGACTTCCCAGGTATACCGAGACGTCCTTAACTCCTTAGGTATGCTATACGATCCGAAGACTTCCAAGGTATGCCGAGGTGTACATTATGAGCCTTGACCTGTTATGCAGTGCCAATATTGCAGATACTAATTCTAAAAATAGCTCCTAACATAATAATTAAATATAAAATACAATGAGAAACGGTGCTGACAACGTTCGCCTCAGGGCAAGTAAGTTTTTGTGAAACTAATTTTTAACAGACTAAAAAAAAGGTAGGAGGTTCTATGTTCCACTGCATGTACTTCTTTCACACAATATTTTATATTCCGTTACCGTATATTTGGGAAATCGAAAGTTATCAACACCTTTTTAGTAAACAACTTTTGTACCCGTTGTTTGAACTGGTGCAGATGTTTGTCCTGCTGTACTCAAGCGAGCTCGCTCACTACTGTATAAATTCTGTAAATTAGTTACCCTCGCATTGTGCACTGCGAAAAACACGACATTACGGGTTGTCACCAATCTGTGTCCCTACAGCAGTATTATTGACATGTAAGAATCTCTCTTTCAAGATGTTTGGGAGTGATTTCATAAAAATGGACGGAAGTCTTTAATAGGTAGAGTCAAACATGCACACTTTACAGAAGTGTGCATTTTTGATTCGACTAATGAACTCACTGTGTACTGAAAATATTATAAACAAGGCTTTTAATCCTATTTCAGTATTTAATAACATCAAAACTAGTATTATACTAAAAATATAGTAAATTACTTATGAGACGCTTATACGTGCAATACTAATCTTAAAAATAAATTAATAATGGCTGAACCCTTGCGAAGCCACTTAATGCGGCTGGAACGTTTGCCCCCTCACTTATTTTTTAAATATTATCATGAGGTTTATATTAAGAAAATGTTGTAAGACATTAGCCAAAGGACGTACCTGTCTTTTCCTAACTTTTTTAGGCATTCATAGAAGAATGAAAAATTGAACTTACAGTACTTCTTAAATTACGAATGACGCTAATGTCTAATTCCTAATTAAGAGTCGCTCACTTTTTATACCTAAAGATACTATACTTTATACCTAAAGATCGTCAATTAGTTTTTTCTTAATTACAATAAGTACCAACCTACTTCCTTATGAATATGCTGTTAAGTAGTTGCTGTCCCTGCTCTTGTAGCATTTCGAATTACAGGAGGGGCATAGGGTTGAGCATTGCCTGGTCTCTTCGAGAAGCTGCAGTCTAACTTCTGGTCACCTATCCAAGGCCATTGGAATCACTTATCCCAGCTCCCACCCTACCTGCTTTCTAGCCCCAACTTGCCTTCTTCTTATACCCCGTCTCGTAACCATTTATTATCAGTTCCCAATTAGTCAGACAGTCAGACGGTCACAAAAGTAACCAACCAAACCCCTTTTGTAATATTACACTCCAAAAATAAAATAAGAAGGTAACTACAAAATGAGTTCCATCTATGATCGTCTTTTTTGACGATACTGCCTTTTTTATGGAGAAAGATGTATTCAGTTTAAGCACTCATTTTTTTGTAAAAAGTTCGGTATCCATACTTTACATACGCATTTAGAGTTGAGTGCGGTACAGCCTTAGTTCTTTTTTTTTATTCACTGGGTCAGTCTTGTCTTCAGCTGTCAAAGTGACATTACTATCTGAAGAATCTGGAAAAATAACCTACTTTTTACATTAATTTCATAAAATTAAATGGAATAGGTCATTTAAAATATAAGATTCTAATAAGAATTAATCAAAATGCACAATGCCAGTACCCTATTGAGGAGCAGTTTTTTCAGTCCGAAGCTGAAGTCATCCGTAGTTCGCAATGCCTCAAAAGTTGCATCACACAGTAAGCCGGTGCAAAGATTATGCCGTCCTGGTTATACGGGTGTGAAAAACGTGAGAGTATGCGGTCATAGTTGCAGTTACGTGGGTGTTAATAGACAGATGGGATTTGCGCGTTATTATTCAACGGCAAAGAAGGATGATCCCCCTGAGGAGGAAGCAGAAGTTAAGGACGAGACCCCGCTGTTTTCGAGCCAGTTGCCAGCGACTGTGGCTGTACCTGAGGTCTGGCCACAGGTGCCTGTCATCGCGATTAATCGGAATCCAGTTTTCCCAAGGTTTATTAAACTTATTGAAGTAAGTTTGCATTTTACCTACAGTAAGATTAAAAACTGATGCCTCAGAGATATTTAATTTGTTTGAGACATTTTTGGTTTTCGTAGGTGTTATACTATATTATTTAATTAAGAAAGTGTGTAATTTAAAGTAGACTAAAGTATGAACAGATGTATGAGAACAGAAAAAAATACTTATACAATTTATTTTTAAATGATAACAAAGATTGTATGTTTAACATTTTCTTATTAAATGTATACTTTGTTGGAGCTTCACATAATTATTTTCATTTATTTCTTCACCAGATGCTCCAAAATTAAAGTAATAATATCTGATACATCTCACACATCTCACACACGGCTGTCTGATCCCAAACTTGGCAGAGCTTGTACCATAGTAACCAGACTGCTGATAAACATACTTATAAATACTAACTACATACTTATTAAAGATAAAGTACACCCAGACATAGAACAAATGACAGTGCTCGTCACTCAATTATTTGTCCTGGGTGGGAATCAAACCTACGATCACTGGAGTAGCAGTCAGGGTCACAAACCACTATACCAACAGGCCTGTCAATTTAAAATATGTTTATTTAGAAATATATGAGCCTGGTTTACAGCAATAGGCTTGCCACTTATAACGTAAGTGAGACTAAAAATATAAAAATACTTGTAAATATTAACTCACTCTTTCTTCCTCTATCTTGTCATGCTTCTTCAAAATCTGAAGATTTTTGAATGAAAGTCTTGTCTTAATGTAATATATTTGTCCTATATAATTATCTCTCTATTTTCAGATATCCAACCCAGCTCTAATAGATCTAATAAGACGGAAGGTCAAACTAAACCAACCGTACATAGGGATCTTCTTACGTAAGAAAGATGACGATAACAAGTCCGATGTGGTAACAAACTTGGATGACCTGCATCAAGTTGGTGTGTTTGCGCAAATACATGAAATGCAGGACATGGATTATAAGTTAAGGCTGGTTGTGATGGCACATCGGAGGATAAAGATCACTGGACAATTTATAGAGGATGAGATAGAAAGTGGACCTGCTGGTAAGTTACTAGTTTTTTTGGGTTGTGGGTAGTTCTGTAATTTGTGTAGATGAGACCTTTTTCTTAGCTTTCCAGGGATTTGCAGTGCGGGTGCTGGGTCCATCGCGTGATAGATGCTAGCTAATATAATAGGGAATAAGATACTAGCTTTTTCCCGAGACTTCAATTTCGTAACAATTATTTGTCATTATCTCTAAAACAGTATTTTCTGGTTTGAAAATTATTTAATATCCTTTTAAGGATAAGATGCTATGTCGGTTGATTTGCCATTGTCTTTTGATTTGCAAAAATGCAAAGTGCGTTTGTATTCATATAAGTAAACAGTATTTGAAATATTCTCATACATTTCTATAGTATATAATGTTGTGTTTAAGTATCACCATAAGTAGTAGAATAACAATAGCTCAAGAAAAACTCCCATGTGTGAGAAAAATACTATAAAAAATTATGTAAAACAGGTTTTTATAGTAAAATTGAGCTGGTAGCCCTTGCTACAAATGTATTATAAAATTAATTTCGTGTTTTAGTAATGTGCTTTGTATCCGTGTATGTTTAATGTACCTTGTGTGGTACCTGGTACCTTAAAAATAAATGGTTTAAAACTTCTAGATTCTAAACTGTTGTTTACTTAATTATATTAAGTATTTAGAAATGTTTACAATAGTTACTCATACACACACGGCTATCAATACTGCTATATACAGCTTCATTTCTGAAATGGTATATCATTTCAGAAATGAAGCTGAAGTTTCCATTATTTAACATGGAGCTTAACGTTGCCCGTGAAGAGACAGATGCGGAACGACGCCGGCGCAAGTACAGAGTCACAAGGAAGAAGCAGGACTCTGAGGCTCAAGAAAAAGAAAAGACTGAGACTCCTAAAGAGAAGAAGGCAGCCGTGGACCAAGTGTTGATGGTGAAAGTTGAAAATATGATGCATCAGAAATTCCAGCAGACTGAAGAAGTGAAGGCGTTAACACAAGAAGTCATTAAAACGATTAGAGATATTATTAATTTGAATCCTTTGTATAGGTGAGTGTGACAGTAACTATTTTACGTGATGCATTCATTAATTTCATCATCAACAGCCTCAGTCCACTGCTGGACATAGGCCTTTCTTAGAAAGGAGGTTTTGGTCTTCTATATCAGACAGGTTAGTTTAGGGTTTGTTTCATGTTTTCCTTCTCTTTGCAGTGCTGTTGTTCTGTGTAGCTTGCTCCCTTAGTGGTATCTTACTACACGCGGGATAAATAGGGGTGTTCATACTCCACATTCTTAATTTGTTTCCACATGGGGGCTAATTAAAGACTAGTATACGATTGAAGTAAAGGTCGTGACAAATTTTTCGGCATCACGTGACTTTTTTATTATAGTTTAAAAACTACAAAATAGGTATAGGTATAACTAGGTAAGCCAAACCCTCCTTTCTAAGGAGAGGCCTATATCCAGCAATGGACTATTATAGGCTTGTGATGTGATGAAACTAGGTATGAATGTAACACTTGCCTATTTTGCAGAGAGTCACTTCACCACATGTTGGCACAAGGACAACGTGTAGTGGACAATCCTGTGTACCTGAGCGACCTCGGCGCGGCGCTTACAGGTGCCGAAGCTGCGGAACTGCAAGCTGTGCTTGAGGAAATGGATGTAAGCTTAAATGATAAGATAATAAGAACACGAAATGTTTTAAGCAATCAGTCGTGTCGGCTTGCACGTACATGTAGGACGAATTCAAATTTTAGGGGGAATTGTATTAATAGAAAAATGTATTTTATTTGTACTAAACCATCAACAGCCTTTAATAGTCCACTGCCGGACATAAGCCTCTCCTTAGAAAGGAGGTTTTGGCCTACTATACCACGCTGGCCAGACGGGTTGGTAAAGGGTTTGTGTAAAGTTTTCCTTCTCTCTTCAGTGCTGTTGTTGTGCATAGTTTTTTCCTTAGTCGGCTCTTACGACACCCAAGGGATGAATAGGGGTGGTGACACTCTGAATTCTTAATCCGTCACCACACGGACGTTTGCACTGTACTTAATCTTCTGCATCTATTCTTTTGGATGTATAACATAGGTTAAAAATTTGTATGAAATACTGAACACTGTTAAGAATATTTTTAATGTCTTAAAGGTAGTTTACAAGCACTGTTAAATATTCTATTTAACATAGGCAGCATAGCTTTCTATGACATTTTTTAGGATCACATATTGTCATAAATTTTAAAAGTTTAGAAAAAATAGAACCAATTTTGTCACTATTTGTCAGCAGTTTTTTTTTGTTTAGTAACTATTGATGAGGTTTAACAATAAATAATATTCCTTGTTCCTACCTTTGAAAGACAATAATATAATTATGAGTGAATATTCTATTGAGTGTATTATGTGAATTAGTTCAATTAAGCCTCCACAGTAATTAAATTAAGTGTCCGATTTCCTTATTGGAAAATAACCTACCAAATTACTTCATAAACTTGATCAAATTCCATTGCTACCCACAACAGATTCCTAAGAGACTGATGATGTCACTATCGCTGCTCAAGAAAGAGTACGAGTTGTCCAAACTCCAGCAAAAGATTGGCAAGGAGGTGGAAGAGAAGGTCAAGCAACAGCACAGGAAATACATTTTGCATGAACAGTTGAAGGTAAGAATTGTTTGAATATAAGTTAAAAACTACGAAAAACTGATTGAATTTTTATTCCCCGTTCTTGCCACATTTTTTATTCATGCTTGGCTCCTTTTTGTCGTAACTTAATGTTATATAGCCCAAAGCCTTTCTCGATAAAAGGGCTATTCAACGGTAAAATAATGTTTCCATTTGAACCCGTAGTTCCTAAGATTAGTGCGTTTAACCAAACTATTAAACAAACTTTTCAGCTCTATAATGTTAGGATAGAATTTTTTAATGTTAAACTACGATGACCCGTGCTGGTCCATAGCGTAATGTTGTTGTAGAATCTTCCAGACGCTTCTAGGTTTCCCTCCAACTCAACCATTTTGCTTTCAAAATATGTTTTAATTAAATAGTGCATAGAAGTGTAACGTGTTACAGTTCGCTATTTGGAATAAAACACCTTATGAGCTTTATGTGTGATGTATGGTTTTTAGCCTCGACAATCTTGCACGGGACTTCGGTGAGCCCTGAGGGCTCTCAACTGGTCTTAATTAAGTAAATTACTTACTTAAAGTAATATCGCCCAAGGTTTACCCCCTGTTTGATGCAAATTTCGGCTTAGGGCGGCTACCGTGGCGGGACGGAATAGCGGACGATTTGTAGTAGCTCGCGAGCTGTGTACACTCGCTGCTGAGCGATTCTGAGTGTGTCGTCTAGCTCTTCTAGAACATGTTAATCTTTACCAATTCTTTCCATCTGTTCGCGAACGGTTGTCGAAGATATGGCTTGAGGTGGATCACTGTGTCGCTCAATTTCTTACGGGTCATGGTAACTTTAAGAGCAAGCTTTATTCATTTAAATTAGTCGAGACACCATTGTGTCAATGCTCAACACCCAACTCTCACCATGAACAGTCTGCTCATCATATCCTCTGGGAATGTAGTCTTTGGTATAATGAACGTAATATAATGCTGAATAGCTTGCAGGTGACATCTGGGGCGGTATACTATGGGGATCTTGTGTCAACTAGGGTGAATTTCCGTGCGTTTAGGCGATTCTGCCATACATATTATAGAAATCAAACATAGCTCACGTAGGAGCCGTAATATTTGTGGCCGTGGTGCTTCCCTGTTTAAAAGGGTGTATGCCCATTTTACTTCATTTAGTCTCCCGCTTTGCTAAGGAGGGAAGTGGATTTACTGTATTTCCAACTCCTCCAATTTTCTTCTGATTAATTTCGTTGCGGGTTCCAAGACAGTTTAATTTCTTCCTGGGACTTCCCGAGTGTCATAACTCGGTGTGTTTGTGGGTCACTGCTGTGGATCCTGGTGTACAGGAGTTACAGTGGTGGGCGTGTTGGTGGGATTAGTCCCAATAAAAAAAAAAGAACATGTTAAGGTCAACGTATACGTGAAATGGTGCTGGTTGTGAAATTTACAGCCGCAACCACTAGAAGGTTGGGGTAAGTCGGAGCAGAACACCCCGGTGACGACGTGTCTGTATTTATACTACTCTCTAGACCGTTTAAGTTCTCCTGAGAACTGTTTGTAACAATCGTGATCCCATTTTAAATGTAAACAACTTCGATCGACAATCTATTTCTGATTTTACACGGTTAATCCACTCGTTCATGATATTTTACTTTACTAATATTTGTAATTTCATTGTAGGTGATAAAAAAAGAGTTAGGTCTCGAAAAGGACGATAAAGACGCGATTGGTGATAAGTTCAAAGAGCGGCTGGCTAATAAGAAAGTACCCCAAGCTATTCAGACTGTCATAGACGAGGAGCTAAACAAACTCAACTTTTTGGAGAGTCACAGTTCGGAGTTCAAGTAAGTTTTTTTAATTATAATATTTAAAAAGAACAAATTACACATGGTCCTTTACTATGAATTATAAATTTTTCGGCCCTCCGTACATAAAACTGTCCATAATTTTTTTTTTGGTCTTGCCAGGATAAAAAATCTCAAAATTTGTTAATATACTACTACTTAGTTATAGTCACTTTTATATCTACAAGGATTTTTGGATAAGTTTTTTATTTTATTTTAAGTGTAACCCGCTGTTACCTCGACTGGTTAACCTCGCTTCCATGGGGGATAACATCTGAAGAGAACTTGAAGCTGGAGGATGCTCAAGTGATTCTAGATGAAGATCACTATGGTATGGAGGATATAAAGAAGAGGATCTTGGAGTTTATTGCTGTGTCACAACTTAAGGGCTCTACCCAGGGTAAAATATTGTGCTTCCATGGACCGCCTGGAGTGGGGAAAACTAGTATAGGTAAGATTTTTTAGATGATGCTGATGATGTCTCACACTAAAAATGTTACTTTTATAACATTGTTTAGTGTGAGACATTGTAGTCGGTATTAGGTAGATTTTTAGTGGAAGTGTTCTTTGTAAATATAAGTGAAATTTTTAGTTTAATTGAGGTATATTAATAAAAACAATTGTTTTAGAAGAATTGTTTCTACGCTCATAGAAATTCTTGAACAGCACTTATACATAATAAAAAAAAATCTTAAAAATTAGGCTGTTTTTGCAATATTATTCTCTCAAATAAGACTAGTAGTTCCAAAGAATAGCGTTCTACCCTAACAACGAACGTATTTTTTTTAATATTATAAATGTTGCTACGTTCACGTACAGAAAAAACACTTATTTAAACGGCGTATTCGTCAAACTAAAAACGACCTTAAATAAAAACTGCTACGAATTATTTCAGCTCGATCGATCGCTCGCGCCCTCAACCGTCAATACTTCCGCTTCTCCGTGGGTGGTATGACTGACGTAGCGGAGATCAAGGGACACAGGCGAACATACGTTGGTGCCATGCCGGGGAAGCTGGTGCAATGCTTGAAGAAAACGGCTACAGAGAACCCATTGGTGTTAATAGATGAAGTTGATAAGATTGGCAAGTAAGTAACTTAATACAGGCCTCCCTTATTTCTGGGGAGGGGGGGGGGGGAGAGGGAGTTGATAGGCGGCACTGAGAATTCCCATTCACAGTGACAAAACTTTCTCTGTCAAGTCTTGTCCTTAAAAAAAGATATAGGAAAACACAGTGGGGGGAACGTCTTTTCTCTAACACAGGTAACCAGCTATAAAATTTTCGAGAATGTAACTGTAGAGAGTATAAGACCACTCTTTTGGTCTCCAAATACGAGAGAAGACGGATTGACGGACCTGGAAACTGTATTTTCTCAATCTACGGTTCATTATCCATAAAAAAAGGTAAATCACTACCAAGTCAAAAAAAAAAACAACCCACAGTTATCCGGAGCCAGCTATTTTGTACCTAATCACCACAATATACATCATATTTTGTGCCACAACCTTTTTAATTTAATTCTTTCTTAGGGGTGTCCACGGTGACCCAGCTTCGGCTTTACTGGAATTGCTGGACCCGGAACAGAACTTCAACTTCTTGGATCACTACATGGACGTGCCGGTGGACCTATCGAAAGTGCTATTCATATGTACCGCTAACGTCATAGAACATATACCGGAGCCTCTCAGAGATCGAATGGAACTTATCGATATGTCTGGTACGTTGTAATCCTCACTGCTACGCTCCTAAATCTAATACCGTGATGTTACGTAGATAATAACTTTCTTGTAGAATTTAGTAATCTGATCATTATTCTGCCTAGTTTGGCCGTGTGTGGAATTATTATTTGCCTGCCTTTATTTCTTCACATTGCAGACTTCGTTAAAATTGGAAGTAAAATGACGAAGGATTTTGCCTCGGGGGTGCAGTGGTAGCGTGTTTGCATACGAGGTCTCGGGTTCGATTCCTAGGTCGGATCAAATGTTTGTATGATCTGCAAATATTTGTTTCGGAGTTTGGGTGTTTTCTATGTATAATATGTATGTATAAAAAAAAGGTATATAAGTATTCTATTAGTCAATCTAGTTTTCATAGTACAAGCTCTGCTTTGTTAGAAACTAGATGGCGTTGTGTGTCAGATGTCCGAAATATTATTAGACAAAGAAATATTATTTTGGTTGGTTTTTTTTGGACGGCGGCTACCTGACGCCAACCATCTTTATTTAATGGAATCGTTGCCATATGGGTCAAAAGAAAGGTATTGGTGGTAGACCACTAGGACAGGTACATTAACTAATTTTAGACGACTGCATGGCGTAGTGGTTTCTGTAGCGGACTGCTATTCCAAAGGTCGCGGGTTCGATTCCCGCTCAAGTCAAACATTTCTGTGCATGAACATTTGATGTTTGATTTGGTCTGGGTGTTTCTATGTATAATATGTATGTATTTATAAAAAAAAAGTATATATGTATTTATATCAGTTGTCTAGTACCCATAGTACAAGCTCTGCTTAGTTTGGGACTAGATGGCGTTGTGTACGTGGTAAAAAAAAAATAAAAAATTATGCCATATAGAAAAACAACCTTTGTTTAGCCTTAGTAAGCAGCATATATAGCAGGAGCTCGTGGCTAAGTGGTCACCGAGTAGGTTAATACATTGGAAAGTTAAGCAATCCTACCCAGGTCAGTCTATGGATGGGTGACCATACTAACACAATAAGACCTCTCCACGCCTCGTAGAGCACGTTAAGCCGTCGGTCTCGGCTGTCTGTGGCAACCGTCAAGGGTAGTTGACTTGGAACCCTAAAAAGCCCAATAGTCTTTCTAAAGAACCTCGATGTAGCCTATAACCCGGCAATCTCGTGCGCGACCGTCCCGCGGGGTGAAAGACAGTGGCGGGGGCGAGGTAGCGCGTCATTCTAGCACACGGCTACACACGAAGAGAAGCGTTTCCCTTCCCCGCTACACCACCCGCTACCCGCTGACATCGTGAGTACCTCGCCCCCGCCACCGTCTGTCACCCCGCAGGACGGTCGCGCACGCGATTGCCGGGTTATACATCGAGGTTCTTTAGAAAGACTGTTGGGCTTTTTAGGGCTCCAAGTCAACTACCCATCCATCTGGCCAGTGTTGTATAGTAGGCCAAAACCTCCTTTCTAAAGAGAGACCTATGTCCAGCAGTGGACTATTAAAGGCTGTTGACGATGGGCGGTGGTAGTCACTTCTCGTCAGTGATCCGGTTACCTCCTATATCATTAAAAAATCTGGATCCGAACCAACACACAGCGGTTTGATCCTAAACTAGATAGAGACTGCGCTGTGGCAACCAGACTTCTTTCGGCAAAATTCTTTATTTTCACCTTTTATTTCTAAATATAATTATATACATATTACACAATAAACATATTACACAATAGCTTGACCCGGGTCTCAAATCAGGAATCGCACTCAGGACCTACGATATAAATTATTAACTACAAACCAGTATGTTTTTCTCATCAGGTTATGTAGCCGAGGAGAAGTTAGCCATCGCTCAACAGTACCTGGTGCCAACTGCTCGGAAAAACTGCGGACTGTCTGAAGAACAACTGGATTTGACCTCGGAGTCCTTACATACACTCATCAAGTCATACTGTCGAGAAAGTGGCGTCAGGAACCTACAGAAACATATCGAGAAGGTGTGTGAAGTCCTATTAATACGGCAGGCGAACTGACACATGCCTCCATTTAAACTAGACGTTAAACGACACACACACACACACAAAACCACAATAAATTGCACAATTTCTCAACTCAAATTAAAACACGTGCTACACCGGTTTCCACCATTTCTGAGGGTTCAGGACTGTATTATCCCTAACGCAGGCTATTATGTAGCCTAGCTGGGAAAACAGCACTCAACCACGATATTATTGTAGACTCTAAGACACAAACTCATCATAATAAACGTAAAATTGTGTAAACCTACAATCTCATTTATACAATAAAAAGTTATTATTATTATTATTAATACAGCCTTTAACCCTGAGCCTCTTAAGGGGTTGTTATCTATACAAATAAAATTACTTGTCCTAACTGATTGGTTCATTAACACCGCTGGGGCTACAAACTAGAAATTTTGCTTTTTATTTTATAAGCATCCACTAAGAAAGGATTTTTCGTAATTTAACCCCTAAGAGGGTAAAAAAGAAGGTATGGAAGTTCATCATTCTCAAAATTAGGAACATGATTTAAATAATAATAACACGAGCGAAGTCGCGGCACCTAGCAAGTTATTATTATTATTCGACGATGGCGGATGGCGTAGTGGTTTGTGTAACGGACTGCTACTCTAAAGGTCGCGGGTTCGATTCCCGCTCAAGTTAAACATTTATGTGCATGAACTTTTAATGTTTGATTTCGTCTGGGTGTTTCTTTGTATAATGTGTATGTATTTACAAAAAAAAGTATATATGTATTTATATCAGTTGTCTAGTACCCATAGTACAAGCTTTGCTTAGTTTGGGTCTAGATGGCGTTGTGTGAATGTGGTACAATATTATATTATTTTTATTTCTTCAGATCGCTCGCAAAGTGGCATTCAAAATAGTGAAGCAAGAAACAGACAAGTTAATAGTGACTGATGGTAACTTGTCCGAACTTGTTGGCAAGCCCACGTTCAAACACGACCGCATGTACGACATCACTCCACCCGGAGTCATCATGGGACTTGCCTGGACTGCTATGGGTAACGTACTATAATTATAAGTTTTCTTCTAAAATGTTCACCATAATTGTTACTTGTTGGGATTTGTAATTCTTTATTTTTTATGTATGTATTTAAAAACCCGCATCAGGAATGTATCATGTGTCGCGGGGGACTTTACAAACATACATGAAACGGACACACAGAACACCCAGACTCAGAACAACAATTTGTGGATCACACAAAGTGTCGTCCCATGTGGGGTTTTAAACCCAGTTAGGAAGCGGCGTGGTGACCACTTAAACCACTACTTCGTTCGTGCAGTCGATTAGATCAATATACCGACTTATGTATGAAATACTTCATCATCATCAGCCTATCGCTGTCCATTGCTGGACAAAGGTCTCTCCCATTGCACACCACAAATATCGATTTTCGTTTTTTTTTAAGTTATTTAAATTAAGAACAATTTTAATTAATTAATTACAATAAATTCTGGTCCAATAAATGTTATTAAGGTAATGTTTAGGGTTGCTTCATTATTGCATTGGGTTATATCTGTAAAGTGGTACGCCAAAACCTCCTTTCCAAGGAGAGGCTTATGTCCAACAGAGGACTTAAGCTGTTTATGTGATGATGATGATACCTGTAAAGTGATGAAGATAAATATATTAAAAAATATTTTTTTTTGTAAAGGTGGTAGCACACTATTCATCGAGACGGCGGTCCGCAACAACGTGGTGGACGACAAGTCCCACGGCTCGCTGGAGCTGACGGGGCACCTCGGCGATGTCATGAAGGAGTCCGCCAAGATCGCGCTCACGGTCGCCAGGAACTACATCAACACTCACTTTCCTGACAATAAATTCCTTAATAATAGGTGAGAAAATTTAACTATATTAGAGGGCTTGGATTTATACAGGTATACTGCCTCAAGTTTTATAAACAAAATCTTTTTTAAATTTCACTATCAATCAGCCTTTATTAGTCCATTGATTGGACACAAGCGTCTCTTTAGAAAGTAGGTTGTGCCCTATTGTACCACGCTGGCCGGATTGGTAAAAGAATTGTTTCAAATTGATATGATATGAACATCGATTCTTAAGGAGTAAACTCCAAAAATATAATAAAAATTGAACTGATAATACATTTACATTTTACATTTTTGACGACTGGATGGCGTAGTGGTTTGTGTAACGGACTGCTATTCCAAAGGTCGCGGGTTCGATTCCCGCTCAAGTCAAACATTTGTGTGCAAGAAAATTTGATGTTTGATTTGGTCTGGGTGTTTCTATGTATAATATGTATGTATTTACAAAAAAAGTATATAATGTATTTATATCAGTTTTCTAGTACCCATATATCTAGTACCATAGTACTCTGCTTAATTTGGGACTAGATGGCGTTGTGTGTATGTGGTAGAATATTAATTATTTATTTATTTTATTGACTTAGGCAATGTTGAACAATGCGTCGAACAAATACATATTTTGCAACAATTCGATTTGTTTTTCATAATTTTTTATCTCTATATCACTATTTCTTTTTTAATTTTTGCTTAAGCAAGTCCTTGAGACATATTACATTTTATTATGAAAATACATAATATGACACAAACGGTCCCCAGCCACATCCACCTGCACGTGCCGGAGGGCGCGACGCCCAAGGACGGCCCGTCGGCGGGCGCGACGATCGCGGCGGCGCTGGCGTCGCTGGCGCTGCGCCGGCCCGCGCGCCAGCACGTGGCCATGACGGGCGAGCTCTCGCTCACCGGCCGCGTGCTGCCCGTCGGCGGCATCAAGGAGAAGATCATTGCCGTGAGTCGCCGCTTCATTCGTTTAACTACCCTGATTCGTATCGCCTAAACGCAGACTATTTCGTAGTGGAAGTCTAGTGTGGGCAAGCTCTTTTGAAGTGATAACTTCTTATGGGAGGGTAAACCGCTTCGTTACGTAACGCATTACGGCGCCAGTCTGTTTGGCTTCCCTTTCTCACACGCATACGACAGCGGTAGCCAGGCTCCTTCTCTCTCACTCTAAACCACAGAGCTAGCCGTATTTCGGACAGACGCTTTACATAAATTTTAAGTAATAACCTAAGCTTTAATCAAGTTAAACAATTTCGATATTAAATAGTTCAACTTAGATTAGTTTAAGTTATCAGTTCTGTCGGCCGTCCCGAGACGCACATTTTTTTATGTAATAGGGGGCAATCGAGCAGACTGGTCAGCTGATGGAAAGCGACTACCGACGGCCAAGAATTATTTTGTTTATTTTTTCCATTTCTTATCTTTCTCTTCGCTTTCTTTTATCATCATCTTGTTTTCTCTTCGTTGTCTTTTTACCTTTGTCCTTAATAACTGGCACACTAGCACGCATAATATATAATATTCTTTTAAATTTAATAGCAAACAAGCTCATTCTTTTAAAAAAGTTGAGTTGAGTTTGCCCTTTTTCTCAAGAGGCTCAATCCCTTGGAAACGGGCGGTTGTAGAGAGCGAGCATATCATAAAATTTCGATACGTAAATATTTATTTTACTAAATATTTGACAAAACAGAGATTGTTAGTATTGTGTGTGTTGATCTATGATTTTAAAGTCTACATAAAAGACTATTTGAAACATTTTTTTTATGAAATAAATATATTTTGAATTTGAGTTTCTCGAACGGTATGAAACGACCCGTAAAACAATATTGATTATTATAGCTATAAACAAATCTTTAAAATTTAACATTACTTTTAATTATTGTGTACAGTAATTTGGCAACATGTAACACACCGTATGTCAAGAGACAAGACGGGTCCTGAATGGACCTCTTGGGCGCGGTCACTGCTGCCAATAAACCTCTTGAACTTACATATATATGAGTCAGTTTGACTTACCTAACAGATTAGACTTGGTTACGATAGTTTGATAATAGAACCAAAAAAAGTTAATCAAAAACAGGAAAATATTATTTGCATTTTTTATTATTGCAACACTTAAGCTTATCAATCGCTTGTCAACAAATGAAAAAACAACATTATCGACAAAAAAAAATAAAAATTAACTACAACTCAATCTTTTATAAAGTTGCTAATATACTTTATAAAAGACTAGGTTTTGCCCGCAGCTCCGCCCGTGTGCATGTCGCTTAAACGTAGCCTATGTTACTCGCCAACAATGTAACTTTCCATTGGTGAAAGAATTTTTTAAATCGGTTAAGTGGTTTAGGCGTGAAAGTGTAACAAAATCACTTTCACATCTATACTAATATTATAAAGCTGAAGAGTTTGTTTGTTTGTTTGAACGCGCTAATCTCAGGAACTACTGGTCCGATTTGAAAAATTCTTCATCACGCTAAGACCAATAGGAGCGGAGCACCAATGAAGAATGTTTCAAAAACGGAGAAAATTTATTACTATTGAGAGACGCAGACGAAGTTGCGCGGGTCAGCTAGTTTATAATATAACTATGGATGAAGAAATAAAACATCATATTTGTTACAGGCGAAACGTGTTGGAGTAAACTGCGTAATATTACCTGAAGAAAACCGCCGGGACTTTGACGACCTGCCATCTTTTATCAAAGAAAATATGGACATACATTTCGTGACCAAATTCGACGAAGTCTTCAAAATCGTACTGGAAGGAGAACAGGTTTAAAACGATATATAGACTGTATTGTAACATAATAAGATTTAGAATTAGTTAGCAAGTAGCTTGTAGATAGTACTTAGTGTTGTTAGAGTGGCGGCCTTAATATAATATCATTTCAAATTAAAAATATTTTGAGGGTAGCATAATAAGGACAAAAGCACACATTTGTTGATTTGAATAATAAAAGTAAATACCTAATTGATTTTATGGAACCACTTATGGAACACACCATTGCAAAAGAGTTATTTAATATTCATAGTAAAGCAATATTTAAAAAAAAATTTATATGTTAATTTCTGGCACCAACGCTAAGAATTGAAGAAATCTTTCCTTTGATGTCTCAAGTCCTGGGGAAGCTGGTAGCCGTGGCTTATAAGCCCACTCCTAACAGCAGCATTTAGCTTAACTAGAGGGCTTAAAAGCTAATACTAGTACGAGTAATGTGTGACCCACAGGAGTAATGTGTGACCCACAGGAGTAATATTTTTTTAATATCACGCTATGATTCTTAGGAGCAGAAAGCACAGGCCATGAAGTCCAATCAAACTGCAGAATAAAATTTTGATAATAGTTAACACTAATAAAAATTAATTTGTCAAAAATCTTTTAATATAATGAATGTTTATTTTCAAATAATCAACTTTTGAATGCTTTTTTAAGAGCACGGGAAACACTGTTTTAATTTAGGTTCGAAAAACAAACCGCCTATGACATCACCTTACACCACTTTGCAATTAAATAGAAGTATTTGTATTTTCACGTTGGTAACCCCATGCATTGGTCCGTGTGGTGACTGATTAAGAATACAGAGTTTCACCAACCCTTTGTATCCCTTGGATGTTGTAAGAGTCGACTAAGGGAGAAAACTACGCAGAACAACAGCACTGCAGAGAGAAGGAAACCTAGAAACAAACCCTATATCAATCCATCTGGCCAGCGTAGTATAGTAGGCAAAAACCTCCTTTCTGAGGAGAAGCTTATATCCAGCAGTGGACTGTTAAAGGCTGTTGATGATGATGATGAACCCTATGCATTGCGAGGGTGCCAGTGCTCTTTAGTTCCAGAAAAATCTGTCACTCATTTGAAATACATAGCTACTATTCTTGTGTTTACCTGATAACAGTCCAATTTGTTTTTAAGTTTATGCATTTGTTGGTTGTAAGACAATTATGTAGATAATTATGAGTTTGTTTGTTTATTTTGTTATCTGATATAGAGAAGAAACATGGTCTTGAAATCGTTGTGTAACATGCCCTTGAATATTATTATTATGCTGCTACAGAGCTAGTGGCTGCTAATATCGTCTTACAGTAAACTTTTGTAAGACGGGATTAGCAGTAATCTCGTCTTTGAGTAAGTTTCTACCGATTTATACCGCGAGAAGTTTCTCGAATCTTGTTTTATAGTATAAACCTGATACTTTAAACAAATATTTTAAATGTTTTAAGTATCATTTATAAATCGCAGAATCAACAACTTAAAAAAAAATTGATAGTATTCACATGAAATAAAAAAACAACAACAAGAACAAGTTATCGTCTGCGGTATTTCCGGACCGATACGACCTTCAAATCTTCAAGAAAAGAGCGTACTCCTTCCTCAAAGGCTGGCAACACGCTTGTGACTCCTGAGTTGCAGGCGTTCATGGGCGGCGGTAGTCGCTTTCTATCAGGTGACCCGTCTGCTCGTTTGCCCCCTATTCCATAATTTTTTTTTTACTAAATACTTAAAATACTAAATTTCAATAATTAAAAAAATGAGATTTGCGGCATAATACTAGTATATTGGACGATTAAAGTTTATATGTATTAAATATATTTAAGATAATCAATATTTGTAAATGCAAAACGTGTTTCTTCTATATTGTGTCAAGACAGTATGTTTATGTAGATAATGTGAATATAGACATTAATATAATTATTAGGAAACTATTATTTTCCGATTTTATCCTAAGTACCTATAGCCTTAAACAAATACCTTTTTTTTAATCGGAATAAATAGTTTTGTAATAAAATTTAAGCTTTTTGTTCATGAAACTCAACAGCAGCAATATTTCTTCTTTAACGCCTTTTGACATCGACCAAAAAACCGTGAGACCATGGATCAAGTACCTGTAGATGTATCCACATTGTCAATTATAAAACAGTCATTAATCATAATACAGTATCTCATGACAGTCTTAACTTAAACACAAACTTCTAAGAAATAAAAACTACCTCCCGTAATTCTGGAGACTCAAAGACTCAACTCTGGAAAGGCGGGAACTCACATGCGATTCTTGAGTTGCACGTGTCTATGGGCGGTGGCGGTCTTTTGCTCCGATCATATCATTAAAAAAAACAGGGGTATTAGCCGATATATTTACAGCTGAGATGTCTTTTAGACTATCTGTAGAAGTTGGCCAACTTAAGTCTGTACTCTGAATGAGATAAAATCTTATTTCTAAATCTTATGGCGTATTACAGTCACATTTACATAAAACAGTTAATAACTAATGCAAATTTTTATGAACAAATGAGTTTAAAGTAGTTTATTAGAATCGAAATAATGTTGTTGCCAAGTATTTGTATGTTGTTGTATGTAAGTATGTTGTTTACCACAATAAATATTTCTTTTTTTTTTTTTTTACTTTTATTTTATATTTTTCCTTTATATTTGTTGCAGTCAGAACTCCTAAACATTACCATCTCTTAAGTTCCACTTATCCTGATCTTGTTATGATTGTTTTGAGTTTTTTTGCGAATCTATCTTGTGTAGGTTGTATATAGCATGTATTACAACTAGTTTTGTTTTACCTTTATAATCTTCCTTTTGTAGATAACGGATGAACATCTACAAAGGACCAAGAAGAAGAAGGTAACATATATTTTTTTACTAAAATCTAAACCCGAATCAGAATAAGGTGCGAATGTTTTTGGCAAATTCCCTAACATCACGTTTTGCAAAAAGTATTCTGGTATTGACAGACATCGATACAGTTGACCTTGTATCCATAAGGTTCGTGTAGTATTTTGTTAAGAAATAAAAGAGAAATTCTAAGGATGCGAAAAGCAAAAATAATCCCTGAGAAATCCTTTTTTTAAACGCTGTTTATAGGAGGATACATCCGGTATAGGTCTCCTTTGTGTATTAACTATCTGTAGACTTTAGTGCTCTAATTCTGTTGTTCCAAAACTCTCTAAACTAAACTAAAAATCCCTAACAAAAATTTTAGTCTTGACATATTCTACGTTTTCAGAACAGGAAACGTTATTTGACAGGACGTAACAATTTTTTTGTGAGTTTTAGTTTAGTTTAGAGAGTTTTCGAACTACAGAATTAGCACCATTATAGATTGCAAGGATAAGAAGAAAGAGAAGGAAGACATGGATAGTAGTCACTGCAATCAATATTAAAATATTCCTTATGATGTATTTTGTCTATCAATTCTTTGATAAACCGTCCCGCAGGCGAAAACCCAATTAAGTGGTTTCTCTGTACCAGTACGAGTGAAACTTATTCTACGGGTCGTAGTAGTATCCCATACTATTATAGGACAGTTTTTTGACTATAGTTAAATCGCGTTAAGAAAATAGTGACGCATCGACCAAGCTCTAACCTGATTAGTCAGCGTGCGCTCCGACCAATCAGGTTCCAAGCTTTCGTACGAAACGATTTCTTGAAACTTGATTGGTCAGGGGGCGGGGCTTGATCGATGAGTCACTATTTTCTTTACGCGAATGAACTAAGTAAATTTATTCTTACTAAGACGCAAGTTTATGTGTTTACCGTTAAGGAAACCCAGCCTAGCCCAATCCAACCCATTATAGGTCCACAATTTTAGCAAAAGGGTATTGTTATCCTTTGTATTGAGATAAATAATAATAATACACGCAACGCCATCTACTTTCAAACTAAGCAGAGCTTGAACAATGACAGCTAGATTGAGTAATAGAATACTTATATCCTTTTTTTTGTAAAATATACCTATTATACAACAAATCTTAAATAAAAATCATTAATTTTCGCTAAACGAAATTTAATTGAACTGCCTTATGTTTTCCTTATACCATTGTATCACTCGCCACATTTATATATAAAGTTTTTTTGTATACAGACTGCTTTCCAGCACAAGGCACGAATGATGACATAGACAAACACGCATAACAGCAATGGTTTCATTGCACACTTCGAAAGCTTCTGTCCCCTGAGGCGTGGCGACGCTACATACTAGCTAAAACACACTACGCTAGTTATAAACGCGGTCTTCTAGAATGGAGGTGCGTCGCCAACACCAGCTGTCGAGCCCAATTATAAAATATTAATATATGTTTTTCCACATTAGATGGAAGTGCAAGACATCACACGCGCTGCAGCGAATTAGAAGTGGAATAGGAAGCCAAAGATTACTGTTTAACGTTTATTTTAAATAAACAACTTAAAATTAAATAATTGTTTTTCACTTACTACCTAAGATACTGTAATTTATACAGATAAATAATTTTGGTATCTTAATAAAGATATTGTATTATTATTCAATTTTTGTCACAAATTTTATGGAAGTTTTCACTAATTTCGAGTTGACGTTATTTCGTTAATGTCAGACCATGCAAGATCTGATTTTAAGGACATGTCGCTTGGCTCCTTGATGAAGAGATCCCAGATATAACTGGACCTGGTTGATTGTCTACAAAGTACACATAAAGTCGGCCTTTTTCTTTATGCATTTTAAATACCACTTATTATTTTAATGTCTCACATTTTCTCCCAATTATTATTCTTGAGGTCTGACACCCAAGTGACGGAATATAATCATGCTAATCAAGAAAAGAGACTACACCTCAAAGGTCTGCAACGCATTTGTGACTTATAAGTTGTAGGCGTCCAGGGGTTGTTAAGTCATACACCATCAGGGTGATCCGAGTCTTTGTTTCACCCTTATATCATAAAAAAAACATGCTTCCGCTACTTAAGCAGTTGTGCTATTGACGCAGAATAAATTCTAACAAAATAATACTTGGAAGGCAAATGACGGAAACTGCAATGATGTGTACTTTGAAAAGCAGTTACCGCCAAGTCCTGGAGTAGTGTTAGTTGCTATTCTGTCTCAAAGGTCAGGTTTTATTGTGCAGGTAGTTACCAATTGCAAGGGAATGGCACACTACTCTTTTTAAGAGTACTCTATATGTATCCCACATTCAACACCTGTATAATTTAATAACAATATATCCCTTTAAAATGTTAAATATCTACTTCTTCAAAGACTTTCGCCCATCTTCTAGGAGTTGCAACAACACTGGATACACCTCATCATATGTGGCAATTTGGTTCTGCCTAACGTGATTTTGGTACCTTTGCAAAGCACCAGCAACAAATTCTAATCTATCCCTCTCATTTTTATGGGTATCCAACCACTGCATAAGCTTCTGTATATTCCACCCAGCACACGTGTGAGGCGCCAGCAACTGATGACCACCATGAGAAAATAAAAACATCATAACCATGGAATACGGCAGACATGCACCCTCAGTTTGACTCTTGGCTATTTCTTGAGGAGTCTTTTCTAGCAGAAGATTTAGTGCCTTTAACTGTCTGTACTGATCTCCGAGCTCTGTTAAATCATGAACTAAGGGTGACAAAGCTGTCTCTAGATGCTTACAATCTATTTGAAGCTTTACTCTTCCAAACTTGCTTAAAGGTCTCACATTACAAATGTGTTGTGTAAACCGTTCCACACATGATCGGGTTATATTAATACAACATTCATTTAGAGCAGATTTCTCAGTGAACATTGACAAATAAATGTCTTTGCATCTTGACACAAATTGTTGGAGTTCTTTCATGTATGGCGAACATGATAGTGATTTGCCTGCTGGATCATCCGCTCTGATCAAATCAGGCTCATCATGCATTGTCATAAGTATAATGTACAGGGAGTTTTTAATTGATTCTGCAAATAATTGAAGTACTGGCATACTGGAAATATCTTTTAAGCTGTTCTGTACTATTTGGATACTTTCTTGAGGTAAAATTGAGCTCATGTTATTAAGAACTCTTTTAATCTGTGATGAAAAATAGTATAAGGCGTTACAAAGATCTGCATTCTTTTGCTGGGAACTTGTCGGTGGTTCTACAATCTGTGCCACATCACTATCCAAGGACAACCTCTGTTCTGCTTCTACATTCATCTGTTTTATAGACTTGGCAACACTGTTGGCCAAACTTATGCTCAATTGTTTGTCACCTAGAGAAATGCTTAAAGCCTCAGCGATGACTCTGATGGCATTGTCTATTTGATCCATGTTTGGTACTTGGGACAAATGCCACATACTCCTAACTGGTTCAAGTAGTTTGCCTAAAGACTTAGATAAGAAAGAATTTTCCCACTTTGTAAGACATGTGCGGTTCATTTCCAGATCTTTAGATTTAAGTCTTGATAGTAGATCATTAAAACATTTAAGCAGTTTTGGGTAATCTATCTCAACTGACTGGCTGACAGTCAAAGGGCTTTTTTCCAGTTCACTGCTGAAGACAAGACATAAGTCAGACCAAAAACTTTTTGCTATATTCCTGAAATTTCCTATTGCATGCAATTCGTTCACAACATTCTGGAGCATTATAACTTTGGTGCAGCAATTATATATGTCCACTTTGAACAACTTCTCAATGTTATCCCACAGTTTAATTTTGAAATCTTGGGCATTCATGATATTGGCTTTCCCAGGTGCAATTCTGCCCGAACTTGATTTTTTTACTTCAATAGACACCATCTGGACATTCAGTGCAACAGTAATTTCTTTTTTCAAATCACTTAGTATTGTATTGACAGTTTTTTTTATCTGTTCTTCTGTACACTGAAGATTATGGAATACTTTAAAGCATTGTAATAATTTGGTTTTATCTCCATTGAGCAAACTCGACTGCAGGAGTTCAGTTGAATTTGTAAGTAATGTGGTCCTTCTGAGTTGAACTGACTTCAGTACTTCATCAAGAAGATCGATTCCTTCAAAATCGTAATCTCCAATCAGCTCATGGAGTTCATATAATATAATGGCTTCTTTGGAGGGGTTATCTTTGATGCCTTGCAGTTTGTTCCACAAAGATAAGATTTTAGAGGAATGCCTGAGTAAATTGCATGTAGTTTGGACCCTCTCCAACATCATTGTTTGGTTTTCCAAGGCATAATAGGGCGTGTGTACTCGTTCTTTCAACTTTTCGGCGCCCCGTAACAAGCCTTGAACTTGGGCTTGAACTGATTCTAATGTTACTTCTAAGTCAGAAATATGACTTGCCTGAGTAAGAAGATCATTGTGTTTAGCGAGTACTTGCTTCTCTAGACTTTTGCTAAGCTTTTCTATCCCAAGAGTAAGTCTATTCACTTGGTCGGTGACTGATAAGCTGTCGCTTATGATGGGTTTTACAGACTCGTCTAAGAACTTGCTATAAAATTCATCATTTTCTATTTCAACACATACATCCTTCGCCTCCATGGCTTTTAACTTGCAATTCGTGTTATTAAACAATTTGCCTTCTCGGTGTTTACAATATTTAACTTAATTTGACAACATGACTGACATTAATTTGATGACATGGTAGATTTAAGGATACCAGATTAAAAATTAAAATTTCTACCAATATTTTTCAATTCGGAATCAACTCAAAAGAGTTATTAGATTAGTTATTAGATCTTAAATAATAGAAAATAGTTTTGGGCTACTTAAATATTTTTAATACTATACTATCGACGAATACTTATAAATACAGTTCTATAAAAAAGCAATTAATTTATAATACTTGTTTTTTTCACTTCTATAAATTCAATAAATACGCGTGCTTAGCAAAGGATAAAAAAGCAGTAAAGTTGTACCTACATCTCATAGCAACAAATAATTTGTTTTGCATATGGTAGTAGATACAAGATATTTTGTCGATCGCTTACAGAAGCGAAATTATTTTCAACTAACTTTTGGGAACGGCTCTGTCCGCGTATATGTTATCGCGTTAAAATTAGCATATGTTACTCGTTGATGATGTAACTTTCCATTGGTAAAATAATTTTTGAAATCGGTTAAGTGGTTTAGGCGTGAAAGCGTAACAAAAATAAATGTCTGTTTGTAATGTCAAATTAATAGGTTTTTCATGCTTACACGGATATTTGCACGATACCTGATGCCTAAAACCAGTTTAAATATTTATTGTCTGTCTGTTTGTGCTGGGTAATCTTCAAAACGGCTGGACTGACTTTGATAATATTTTACTACTAGGTAGCTGTAAGGAGTAACTTAGGCTATTTTTCCTCTCAGAAAAACACTATAAAATTTTGCCCGGTCCGAGTAATTGAATCCGAAGCCTCATGGACTGCAGTCGCGTACAGTACTACACTAAGGCCGTGGTTTTCAAATTCTGCGCGAACGAAGTCGCGGGTACCAGCTAGCTATATGTATAGGATATGTATCGAAGAACAAAACCGGACCGGTAACTTGGAAAGAGTGATTTTGATACTTCGTCTTTCTGTTAGTTTTTCTACAACTTTGCGGGAGTTTTCAGGATCTACCGCTGTACGGCAAATCTCAGGTGAAGGCGCAGCAAATAAAGGTGCATTTTGTAAATTCTGCTCTTTTAAACTTTAAAAGGTATCATCATGAACAGTCTTTAATAGTCTCCTGGACATAGGCCTCTCCTTAGAAAGGAGGTTTTGGCCTACTATACCTCGCTGGTCAGATAGGTTAAAAGGTATTACCGATTTCAATTCCCCGACGTCGCCTTGTCGTGATGAATTGTAATGAACTGTTTCCTTCACTTATTTACTTTTACCCTTTTATGTGAAATTCCCAAATTGAATAAAACCAAATACTCACCGTATTCTCTTTTCAATAATTTTCTTTTTTCCAAATTAATTCAATAAATACGGGTTCTGAGGTAACAAACATAAAAATACCTCAGTACATTAAAACCTCTTCCTATTTTTGAACTGGGTTAAAAATGAACTTGGAAAAATCAGTAATAATTTCGAGGTGATGGCCCGTGGGAGTGTCCATAAAGCTACATGGCTACATACATGAATATAGTGGTATTTAAATAAAATAAAGTACAAATAATAAAACGCGTCGCCTCTTCAATTTTATTTATTTCAATTAGCACGCAGTCTTGTGCTATATTGTTACAGAATTAATTAGATATAAAATACAAACTATTTCCAACGAAATTGTGCACTAGCTCTGAAATTTACTTTAAATATATAATGAAACATATTTCTATTGCCCTTGCCTATTATCGGTATTATAAGTATTCATTTCCTAGAAAAAAATAACAATAGAATACTTAGTTATATGAAAATATTTAACATTTACAAGCAAGTTGAATCATATACAGCATGACATACATTTTTGACCGCAAACATCTGCACATCTGCTAAGCTTTAGATAAAATATCTTTGTTAAACACATTTGTATGGCTACAATACGATGAGATATACATGGCAAAATTGTTCTGGCTGATGTGACGACTTACATGGCAGCTTGGATTTTCGTTCAAAGTTAAATTATACGTAATTTGTAAAAATACACCAGGTACTTAGTTTGGCACCTATAACAGAACATACATGTTTATAATAAAACTGATATCACCAATGTATTATATTCGATTTATACGAGGAAACGTAGACACATATACATATATTGTTTTATACAATATATGTATATGTGTATACGTTTCCTCAGTGAAGTTCTAACAGTGCGTAAGTTACAAGTCTCACTTCACAGAATAGCGAAGGACGTCTTTCATTAAACGTTCTGCGAAATTTTGTCGCAATTTCCAAATGAAAAATTGATTTCTCATTTTTGCAAAAAAATATATATTTTTGAGCTATTTATAATGTCTCAATAAAAATGTTTACAAATTATAGTATAAATATTGCAGATTACGAATTTAACCAAGTGTCAGTTTTATTGGGAAATACGGTGCTTTATAGTAGCTTTCTTATTTCTGACTGGTTGTAAGGAAGCGCGTAGATCAAGCGCTTTCTGCTAGCATTTAAAAGTATCATTTATAGTTTCACAAGCAAGAAAATGAAATGTATTAAGCGTATATCGTTAAATCCAAGTATCTGTTGTATTTTTACACTATAAAATTAAACTAACAACTATTCATTATAATATTAACCTAAAATACTTAAAAAAACGCTGTCAAAGTATTAAAAATTCATGATTCATGTTTGATATTTCATTAAAAATTCATTGTCAAAATTCATCGTTTGAATAATTCATTGTACACGCTGAGTAGGTAATATAAGAATATACACATATAGAAATATTTTATAACGATCTAGGGTCTTGATACTATCCAACATCGATCTTACAAAACTACAATAGTTAAGTAGGTCATAGAGAGTTTATTAGGCACGTAAGCATATTTTTCACATATAGTATCATTAAAGAAAGAATTCAACCATTATATTTTAAGAAACATATCAAAAAATTGTGACTCATTTTTTTTCTGTTTTTCAACACGAGATAATAGTTCACATATTGTATATATTAAAAGCCAAAATTTGCTTCTAGCTAAAATAGAAAACATTTAACAATGCCCCTAATATTATGCTACAATAACGATTGTATATGATATCGGCTGCAGTTGTTTTTCGCGGCCATAATTTACAGATAAATTTAGTAAAACAGGATCTCTTTCATCACTATTCATAAAGGGAAAAGCGTATCATAAGTATCAAGATTTTAAAGGATGTTGCTGTTTATATAACAATAGTTTATTATTTAAAATATCTTACGTTCGATATGAGACATTATGAAACGGTTATTATTTCAAACAATTGTGCACTATTTGTACGTAAGGTATAACAACCAAATGTAATTGTACTTGAATAATGCACAACCATTGTACACACAGAAAATGATACTAAACTATTACTTTGATAAAAAAACACATTTTCAAATTAAACTATTATCAGTCCTAAGTAAAAACTATCTTTAATTAAAAAAATTTGTAAAAGTTTAAGTATTTTTTTATTGGATCTAGTACCTTTCTAACAAATAATTATCAAATGTATTGCCACAACTTTCTGTAAGTTTTAGTAACACATTTGATGTAGTAGATCAAGGCATGTTGTATGAGAACCATAAAAAAACTGTAACGGATGATTAAAAAAGATTCTTAATAGGAAAACTTGTTGACACATTGTTTGCCTAAGAAATTATTCATAGTCATGTAATTGGGTGTAATACTTAGAATTAATCTTGTGGCTATCCGCTGTCAGTCTTTAGACTGAGGTCTTATTTGATATTGAAGCCGTACTGATATGACCCCATACTAATTTAGCACAAATATCTTTAATGAAACATTTAATTTTATTCTAAAAATTGATATAATAGACAGTTTTCATTTGTCCTTAAAGAGGTACTCACTGCCTAGAAATATAAGCTTGAAGGTGACAATGTAAGCATATTATAGTATTAAGATATTTTTCTGTACAATACTTTAATCTTATATTCGGCCATAAGGGGTAGCTCAGAAACTGTCCCAACTGTACATAGTAATATTTAATAGATATTTCTTAAACAGATCAGCTAATGAAACAATTGTACAATAATACGGGCTATAATAGGTTTCATACAAAGAGTATGAATTATATAGCAGTAAATAGTACATTTCAGATGCTGATTCTTTTATAAGTGAAGAATTTTTTTATTAATAACAGTATTAATATCCTACTGATGTATAAACATAGTATTGTATGTTTTGTGATAATCTAGTATACTAGATCCTGACGTACCTTAATATAGACCACAAATGTCACTTCACTTTTTTTTTTTAATTTGTGGGTAGTATTGCTTAGGTAAATCGGTTTTTTGAAATAATAGACAAGAATTGTAACAAATGGGAATTATTCAATAACCCCCCTCCGCTAACTCCGGGGAGAGGCACGCTCTATGTGTAGGTGTCCGTGGGCCGTGGTAGTCACTTACTACCACGTGACTCGTCCACTTAATATAAAAAAGGTAATAAAGAAAAATGACATTTGTGTTCTAATTGCTTTGATGAGAAGTGAATCTTTCATGTGTCACCTTCGAAATGATTAACCACCTTCAGCTTTAAATTGAGCTCTGTACGAGTTTTCCTTATTTCGAGCTAAGAATATATTTTCTTAATTGCACATACTTCAAACATTCATTTGCATGTTGGTTTTCTTTTAACGTAGTTACATTTGCCCATGGATACTAAACTTTAACGCATTGTGATAAAGCTCAAGTTCCATAGGCAGTAATGTAGTCTACAAGCTAACCTACTGGCACAAAGTCAATATTATTGTCAACAAAACTAAATTGTGATTATGTGATAAATTTCTCTACCTGAAAACTCTTAGGTATAAAACGCTGTAGTAAACTTAATATAAAAGTTGCCATAATATAAATAGTAGAAAACGATTTGTCGACAGTAACATTGACTGTATTTTCGTCACCCCGTTAGATAATATCAACAAATATTATCACTAAATTATATTTCGAATTACAGAAATGTGCACTTGTACTTGCGTCCGGTGCCCCTATTCCTGCCTCTACTCTTTTTGACCTTACTAGCCTTGTCTTTGCGGATCTCGCGGACTAGTGTGTAGAAGGCGTCGTCTACGCCCATGCGAGTTTTAGCTGAAGTTTCCACGAAGGGAACATTGTAACTTCTCGCCACCTGGAAGTTAAACATTATGCGATAAGTTATTATGTTAATCATAGATCACCAGGTCTCCAGGGTTATGTGAAATATTGGTATCGTATCATAAAATGATTGTTTTGTATCTCAGTTTAAAATTAAAAAAATATACATTTAAATCCAAGCATTTAAAACGTTGTGAACGCCTGATGAAAAATATACTTATAAACAGCAACATAATTAGTACGGTGCCATTCTTATCTAGAAAAAGATTTTCGAGGAGCTCTCAATCAATAGAACCCCACTGCAATACGGACCTTTGTATTTTTTGATAATGACAACTCATTTTTTTTGGTATTAGGATTCCTGCAGCTTGACAATTGACTAACTTAGATTAGCTGCACAACAGCAGTTCAGTGAGCCATAAAAACATATTTTTAGCAGTCGTCGAAATTCCTACCAATGGCACAATTTGTAGACGAAAAATAACGAAGTAATCATTTAACTAATATAGTCAGTTTCTAGGTTCATGTGTTTAGTTCATCAGATTTTCTGGCGAAGTAACAAGCTAGCGGATTGTGAGAATTCGAATCGGTTGCGATCATGTTATCGTAAAAAAAATTTTGAAAGGTGTTACACAGTCCGCTTATTTGGGGAACAACTCATAGTTTTGCAGAGAGACTTCTCATTAGAGGTCTCACAGTTACTAAAAATCTACGCATTTTTCAGAAGCTCTCACGCAAGCATGACGGTCCGCGAATTGCATGCAAATAAAACTTATTTACAAGAACTTTTTCATACGGAACCGACAGTCATGTAACGGTATTTAAACGCATTTTAACTTGACATGTTAGTAACATCGTAACTATGTTTAAACTCCAAGAAATCTTTGTACTGACTAATAGCATTATACCATACAGTTTTTTTTTATGTAAAGGAGACATATTACTCATGCGGATAAATAAATCAAATTATAAATAGTTCTGACCTGAAACCTATATTTCCTACTTCTTTAGGAAAATTTACAACTAATGCTTGAGGATGTATTTGTATTTATTGACGACTTAGACAATTTATTATTATTAAATAACAATGCAGTGTTTAACTCCACGTATACCTGATCCTTTTATTTATAAAGATGACAGATGTCGTTTTAGTCCTCAGGCAACACTAGGAGCTTGGGATTGTCTTTGGCCCAAATACTTATAGATTAACCTATGGCTGCTTTTCGAATTTATTCACCAGATCCTGGACATTATCTTGGTGTATAAAGGCAACACAAGTGCAATGAGGCGAAAACAGAGATCTCTTTTTAATGCTTATGGGGAAAAAAAGTAGAAGGGACATCTAATGGTAACAGGCTACCGCAGCTAGTGGACAGCTGCTACTCAAGAGACGCGAGCGTTAACGCTCTTTGAGTGTCACCTTCTGGATTATCTCGGTGAAAATCAAAGAAGTTCCTTAACATGGGTTTTCTGTGAGGCCGTGCTTTCGCTCCGGTCGAGCCCGGCCCATATGTGTCGAGGTATGGCTCACGCGCAGTTGGGACGAACTAATATAAAAGTCAATTGTAACATTTGATTCCTACAAAGAGCCAAGTTAAATAAAAGCTTGTTATAAAACTATTGCGTCAGTTCTCATCACAAGCATACATAAGCACTTTTCGAGAATGTTTGCTATAAAGGCTTTTTGACCACCATGATGTCAACTTAAAAATTTCAATTATGGTCATCACTTGGAGCGTTCCTGGTTGCAGCTTTATATTCGACTCTATTTAGTCCATAAGAAAAAGGAAAACTCTTAGAGAAAAGGTTGACTTCTCGAAGCATCCTTATGGTGTCATTACAAACGTTATATGAAGAAGAAGAAGGGGAAGCAGGCCAGATTTCTCATGTAAACAAGGGAACCAGAGTAGAGAAGGGAAGAGGGAAAATACATTCATCTTATTTTTCTGTAATGATGAAAGACAACTCCAACACTAGGCATATATCCTATGTCACAGGGGACTTTACATACATTCATTCAGACACCCAGACTCAGAACGACGATTTATGGATCACACAAAGTGTTGTACCAAGTGGGGATCTTATCCACTACGCAATCCGTGCAGTCATTATTTATTAATTATTATTGAAAGTCGAATTATAATACGTAACATCTTTTATCTCGTTTGTTTGTAAAGAGAAGGCAATCTGAAAGAAGGGGGAAGGAAAAGAAAACCTTGGAATTGAAACCGATTTGACTAATGACCGCGTGCGGTGTTAGAGTTGGCCTTTAAATATTAGGTGTGATGACAAATACTCGCTCATTTTAAAAAGCTGATAAAATATTTCTCATGAAGTAATCAATATTTGTTGTAAATGATAAGATTTTTATATATAACAGGGTAGATCCCCTACATATAAACATGACAGATAATGATAGATAAAGATGACAGTTTCTTGGCACCGACCAAAGGTCATACACTTCCTGCAAGCCCTGCGTACTGCCCTTGGGACCAAGGCTAGACGTATTCACGTCTTCGCAAACAAATACTCTTTCGACTATATTTATTTAAACTCCTAATATTATTTTTAAGTTAAATATTCCTCGACTATAACGATTACAAAAGAACTGAAAATATTTAAAAGGGTGAAAAGATTTTTTGTTATTTTGGAAAGAGAATCCATCCGTTTAGGAGGTACAATGCCTACAGACAGAATGCACACGTTTAACTCCTTCTTCTTAGGGCACAAGGCTCACACCGTGGGGACTGGTGTCTTTGCGATAACCGATTGACCCAGGCCCGTGTCTTTTTTGAGTTACAACTTGTTCCTGTTTATCGAATTTCTGTGATAGCCTCTTGGATTCTTAACGGTGGATCGATGGATCGACGGTGGATCATCATCATCAACAACCTTTAATGGTCCACTGCTGGATATACGTGTTTCCTTAGAAATGAGGTTTTGGCTTAATATACCACGCTGGCCAGACGGGTTGGTATAGGGTTTGTTTTAAGTCGGGCCCAGATGAAATATCTGGGCCTGATCCTCGACGGGAGGTGGCTCTTCGACGAGCACTTCCGCCAGCTTGCTCCAAAGCTGGTCGGCGCTGCGTCTGCCCTAGGGCGACTTTTGCCCAATTTGGGTGGACCCAGCGTCGCGACAAGACGGCTGTACACGGGGGTTGTCCGGTCAATGGCACTATACGTTGCACCGGTGTGGGCGGCGGCTCTGACCGCCCAGAATAGGGCACGCCTCTGGCGCCCTCAGAGGGTAATGGCAATCAGAGCCATACGCGGTTACCGCACCGTTTCGACGGAGGTGGCGTGCGCGTTGGCCGGAACTCCCCCGTGGGTTTTGGAGGCGGAAGTGCTCGCCGAAGTTTATCGGCGAGTGGCTGACTCCCGGGCGGAGAGCGGATTTCGCCCTCCGCCCGAAGACGTGCGCGAGTGGCGTGAAGCCGCTCGCCGAGCCACGATGGCTCGTTGGTCGTTCCGGCTGGAGACTCCACGCGCTGGCTTCGCCGCCGTGGAGGCTCTCCAGCCGGTCATCGCCGAGTGAACAGGGCGGCAGCACGTGACCCTTACCTTCCGGCTGACGCAGGTGCTTTCCGGGCACGGTTGCTTCGGAAAGTATCTGCACTCGGTCGCTAGGAGGGAACTGAGTCCCGCCTGCCACCACTGCGACTGCAGTGAGGACTCGGCCCAGCACACGCTGGCGGTCTGCCCCGCATGGGCGACGCAGCGCCGGGCCCTCACTGCAGTTATCGGAGTGGATCTCTCGCTACCGGTCGTAGTACGCTCCATGGCCGGTAGTGACAGTTGTTTTACCGCGGTCGCAACCTTCTGCGAGGAAGTAATCTCGCAGAAGGAGGCGGCGGAGCTATCACCGCCTCATGCCGCCCTGAGTGTGGCCGCGGGTGGACGGGGTGGGTTTCCCCTCCACCCGCATTAGTTTGGCCAGTCGCGAGGGGGCGGCGTCCGCGTGTGCCGGACGTCGCCTAAAGAGAGGAAAATTTTGAGACGGGTCCCGCAACAGGAGCGGGCCGGCGCTAGGAGGGGTCCGGATGTCTTAATAACAGCTGTTCCCGGATCCCTCCTATTACGGGCGCAGAGTGGCACACCGTGTGGTTTTAGTCGGTCCGAGTCCGACACACCACCCCGCCGCAAACCCCGGTGGGGTGACGGTCCGAGGGGATTTCCACACGTTAAAAAAAAAAAAAGGGTTTGTTTTAAGTTTTCTTTGTAGTGCTGTTGTTCTACAGTTTTTTTCCTAAAGATAGCCCCCGCATTAATAGTATATACTGTGTCTCGGGGGACTTTACAAACATACATGAAACGGACACAAAGAACACCCAGACTCAGAACAACAATTTGTGGATCACACAAAGTGTCGTCCCATGTGGGGTTTGGAGTAGTAAGGGGCGTGGCGACCGCTTGATCCACTACGCCATTCGTGCAGTCAATTTGTTAGTTTGTTGTCTTAGTCAGCTCTTACCACACTCACGGAATGAATAGGGGTGGTGACACTCCGTATTCTTAATCCGATACTAACTCTTAGATTAAACTAAGACAAATGTGACTAAACATGTTTAGTCTTAAAACAAACATGGTTTTGTAATATTTGCGTTGTAACGAAGGCCGCTTTCGTTCTAGTGACTGAATAATATAATTACAGTTGCATACAACTTTTATGAACGAGTTTGACGCAATTTTTGTTACTAGACTAGATTTGTACGCGTCTAATTGTTTTATAAATTAATATCATCGCATATCGTCCCATCTCAAACGATTGATAAAGAATTTCAAAGACATTGTTTATTTATTTATAATCCAATCGGCATCGCCGAGGGTTAAATGCTAATAGACTAAGACCACCTTAAACATCGGTTGCATCCTTTTTCTTTGTCAATAATATCAGATACAAAGAAGAGACTACATAAGAAAGAGAACATTGTGTCATAATTTCTGTTTGTAATGTTGTAATAACAGCATTACCTGTATAAAAATAAGTTTTTTTTTATACCTCTGCCAAAAATATTGATTTCGTAGACCTGGC